CCCCCGATCATGACTGATCGTATTTTTCACTGAAATACAATAAATCATCCATATCTAAAGACTCAAATTCTTGATGAAAAACCATCGTCAATGAGAAAACTAAAAACTAAAATAAATCTGGTTATACAGCTGAACAGAATGAAATCTTTCTGTACAGTTAGGGTACTATATTTTTCACTTAACTCTTTACTCGAAAGACAGTCTTACTTATCCTTCTAATCCAACAATAAACCATCAACCTGAAAAACCAAAAGTTTTTCCCCCAAAGTCAATAGTAAAAGATACGGATTCTGCATTTTTTCCCCTACCCTGTTTGAACGCTAATTTCTCAGTAACCTGAATTCCGATAAAGTTCGAACTATTTTTTGCGATTGTAGTTCAATCATGGCTTTCATCCTATGTGAAAATTTTCTTTAGAACCCGTTTAGTTTGGACACAATCTTCCCGCAAAAATTTCATAGTTTGACTTTATATATTGTATAGATAAACCACTTTTCTGGTTAAGCTTGCAAATGAAATGCAAAAGATGATGCCAAAGGCTCGAAAATTTTTATTAAGAACTGAGACTTACAGTGGTTTAGTAGGGAAATAAAAACTGAGTCCATTGGTACTATTAAATGATTCATCCGATGTACAGTTTTCTCGAAAATCGAGGTCAAAGTTGAAACTTCGATCACCTTTCCCTCTGCTATGGAAGCAGATTTTTGTATGAAACTGATTCTGCTAATGTATCTTTTAATGTCTAACGATTAAATGATCTTATTTTGAGAGATAACATTTTCTATTTTTGTAAAATAGATCAAGTTCGATTTTTAGTTGTAACGACTTTTTTCTTTGATGTTAAAAGTTAGAGATCTGAAACTTATTGTGCTTGTGTAAATATTGATGGTAAACATCAATGACCAAATACTTTTTTCAATTTATCGAAATTTCTCTTAATTTTAGAGATTTACCTAAAAACTTTGAGCCTCGATATTTCGAGAACGATATCACATACAATCACCATTCTTCGACCAAACATTAGATTTTGTTATGGGCCATAATAAAATATGACTGAATACATGAGAAAATCTGAGCTTATTCAGTCAATAATGAAACTTTCCTAACAAAAAGATTTGTGTGTTGAGCAATCATTTAACTTTATATATCAAGTATAAAATCTGGCAAAATAAGTAATGAAATGTTATAACTTTTTTTGCACAGAACCTTGGATGATTATGTATTTCAATATATCATAGCCATAACAAAATCTAAACTTTAACCAAAGAATGGTGACTTTAGGTGCTACCATTGTCGAAATATCGAGGCTCAAAGTTTAGAGTAACAATGGCCAAAATCAGAAGAACTATTGATAACTTGAAAAAATAATTCGATCCTTAATGTGAACCCACAATTTTTATGGACGATTTATAAGTTTCAGATTTCTAACTTTTATGGTCACAGAAAAAAGTCGGTTTAACTAAAAATCGAACTTGATCTGTTTTACAAAAACAGAAAATTTTATTTCTCTAAATAAGTTCATTTTCTGATTGACCCTCAAAATTTACATCCGCAAAATTAGTTTCACGCAAAAATCTTCTTCCACAATTGTACAAAAGGCGATCGAAGTTTAAACTTTGACCTCGATTTCCTCGATAACTATTGATCAGAGAAACTTTCAAACTGCACTAATGGACACAACTTTCATAGCCCAACAAACTCAAAGAGTAATAATTTCGTAGAAAACGATTTTTACCCGATTCTGGCCATTTGTTGCAATTTGTTTATAACAAATGTTACAATTGTGTTTAATGTGTCTTTTCAGTAACAAACTGATTGATATTGTATTGTAAATGTCCATAAAGTAGACTATTTTTGTCATAGTCTACAACATAAGACTATGACAAAAATATTTTATAGCCCACAGTAAAATCTAATGATTAGCATTAATTTCAAGATTTATCAATTCAGGTTAAGCCTAGGATCGCGAACAATGGAATAAGAAAAATAAAGTTTAATTTAAAATTGGCAAATAAACACGGTCAACCTAGTAAATGTTTAGGACTTTATATTCGATTTGCATAAATCAATGAACTTACCAACAACATTAGGATGGCATTCACATTTTCCAGAATATCTATCACAAACTGCTGTACCAGTTTCGTCACACTCGCAAGGTCGGCAATCTTTAAGTTCAATAGCATCTCCATAATAGCCATCAGCACAATACTCACAAGATTTACCGGCAGTATAGTTGAGACATTTGGTACATTCGCCTGAATACAAGTCACATGAACCAGGATCTGTTGGATCGGTGTTACCATTACAGTTGCATGGTTGACAGTAGTTGCCAGCAAGCATTGGATAACCAAAGTGACCAGCCGCACAGAACTCACATAATTGCCCACTATAACCAGGTTTACAGTTACAATTCCATTCTGCTTGAAGTCGAGCATTGGTTCGGATTTCACAGGAATCAGCGAAATTGTTTGGTAATGGACAAGGACACATTAAACAATCGTCGGGCTTTCCAATTGTTGCATTTCCGTAATAACCTGATTTACACAACTCACAGTGATCACCGGTTGTTTCATGTTGACAATTGAAACATTTTCCTGTCAATGGGTCACATTCATTTGAATGGCCATTACATTCGCAAGGAATACATGAACCAAGATATGGTCCAGTTGGAACTCGATAATAACCACTAGCACACTCCTCACATGAGCTTCCTCGATAATTTGGTGGACAAATGCACTGTTCAACACGAAGAGCTAATGGTGCATCAGGACTTGCTTCATTAGAAACTGAATCAAAGGTGAAATTGGTGATTGAAACAAACTCGACTGGAGAGAAATAAGAAGCTCGAATGTAAACAGACTGTAAATCAACAAGTAGAGTCATGAACTGTGCTCGACTAACTGGCGTCGAATCAAGCAGATGGACAAATTTGGTCTCTAAAAGTTCGATCTCAATCTTTTGCGAGTTACCAGCAGATTCAGGTTGTTCATCACGAGTCAGTGAAATTGAATCATTGCGTCCAGTTAAAATAATATCAGGTGTGATTGGAGTATCGACTGAAGAGGACCCTGAAGGCAGTTCATTTACCACATATTGAATGAAACCGCCGTATGAAGTTATTCGATTTCCGAGGAATTCTTTTGGCAATTTAAAGTAAATGTTACTTCTAGCGTCAGAACTTGGTTGAACATCGCTCTGATCTCCACGGGTAAAAGCGACTGGTTTCATTTTGAATTCTGCTTCAGTTGAGCTTGATTCAGTGTCAATGGAACTGAAACGCATTCCAGATTCACTAAATGATATTCCAACAGCAGTCCAATTTGAATAGTTGTCTACTTTGACTGGAGCAATCCTCATCTCAGAGCTTCGACAGTTTTCGGTAGTTCCGAAACAGAAACATTTGGTACAACCTTGTGGGTTATTTTTTTCCAGGTTATAAGTTCCTCTCCTACAAACATCACAATTTGGACGGAGAGTGTTTTCCTTACAATAACAAGTTCCTGATTTACGGTCACAAATATCGGATGTTGTTCCTTCAGCATGACAAGCACAAACACGACAAGTAGGGAAATCAAAGTAACCCGGTTTACAAAGATCACAAGCTCGACCATCGTACTTTTCCTTACAATCACAAATACCAGTTTGCAAGTCACACTGAAGATTACCGTCTTTAACTCCAATTGAATGGCAATTGCACTCTTCGCAACCCATTCTGGAATCATAGCCAAAGGTTAATGGAGCACATCGATCACAATTGTCTCCGACAACGTTCTTTGGGCAAACACATTCACCAGTAACTGGTTCACAATAAGCAGCATTTTTGGCTTTACAATTACATGGCTTACAATCAGGGAAACCAAAGTATTCGGATCGACAAGCTTTACATTCCCTTCCAATTACATTGGGTTTACAGTCACATTGACCTCCAAGAGGATTACATGTGTACCCTTTCGATCCTGTTATATTACAACCACAAAAGGCACCCCCGTTGTTGTGTCCAGTGGTCAACGTGAATAAAGCTTGTTTACAAAATTCGGTAGAAGAATCGTCAATGTAAAAAGCATCTTGAACACAGTTGCGAAGGAATTCGGTTGATCTATCAACAACTGGAAGATCAAGTTGATTTGATGAGAATGACTTTTCAGCAGTTAGAAGTAAATAGTCGAGGGTAACACCTCGATCTTTGGGTGGAATCAAAATTAGAGTAAACTCTTTGCCTTCCTCTAACACTCCAAGTGGCTTCTTAAACTTGACAATGGATCTACATCCACTTTTACTTGGACAATGAGCAATGCTAAGTGTTGCTTGTTCTGATGGGGAAGTTGGTGTTCTTTGGAAAGTCAACTCGATATCGAATGATGGATGATCGGGTTGATAATAGTGAACAATTAGTTGATAATTTTGTGTTCTTGGTGCAGTTCCAACCAAATCAACATTTCGATCTTGAGTTTCGGGACTTCCATTTGAAGCTGGAACAACCTTCCCTTGAAGTCCGAATGGGATTTTAGTTGCATCGGTATTTGCATCAAATGACATATCCAAACAGGTCAAATTGCGCATCACACATATCAATGATGGTTTAACATGGTCAATGTGCCAATCATTTTTAGGTAAAAATACTAAACCTAAAATACCAAAAGTAGCTTCACCAATTTCATTGTTTAGTTTAACACTGACTGAAGGTGATCCAGATTCAAGATGAAATTCAACAGGAGCTGCTTTTTCATTCAAAACGATGTGTCGACAGGAAAAGGTATATTGACACATCGGTACTTGGAAGGGAATATTTACCGTTCCATTAAGAGTGTTGACTTCAACCGTCAATTTGGCCACTTGTCCCTTTGGTGGTGGATTAGTTACTCGGTAAACATAATTCAAAATGAGAACATATTTTTGCGACTTTTCAATTTCCAAGTCAAAAATGTGTTCCCGATCCTGGTCAGATAATAGAGTGGCATCGATTAAAAATGAGTCTTTTGTGTCTTGAAGCAAGTTGTTGTAAGTAGCATCTTTTGGATAAGTGACTGCCGTTGCGGGGAACTTGGTGTATCCATAATGTCTACAAAGTTGATAATTGGCAGTGGAAATGGTGCAAGCTGCTGTGACATTTTCTCGAAGAATGGTCGCTTCAAAATAAGCTTGAGGTAGGAAAACAATGTAATCGACTAAAAGTGGTTCCTCACCAGTTAAAATTGCTTTCCATGGTCGTTGGGCAGCAAAAAGGTAGAGAGGAGAAGCTTTGTCCATCGGAACCAAATATCTTTTAGGTTTGGTTGTCGGTGGAAAGACTAACTTTATGTGTTGAGGAGGTTCATTTTCATTAGATAGAGTTAAATTTCCAACAATCGGTTCTGTTCCTGGGTTGTGGTAGTTGAATATGACTCGGTAAAATGATGATCGAATAATGACAAAGTCAATTATAACCTTCTTTTGAAGGTCCGGGAAGTTGACATAACCTTTCCATGAGAATCCAGGGAAAATGGTTTCATTGTAATCATAACGTACATTATGATATTCACCTCGACCATCCTCTAGTTCATAAAGATATTGATAAGTTGTGTAAAAGTAATGAGCTTTTTGTGGGCGATCACATCGACGGCCCTCAATTCTGAATTTACATTGACATGAACCAGTTCTTTGGTCACAAACGCCACGCCATGAACCACCAACATCACAATCACAAGGAACACAGCCGAGGTAGTTACCGACTGATAGAGCATAAGAACCATAAGAACACCGATCACAAGCTAACCCAGAAACTGATTCTTTACAAACACATTGACCAGATTCACCGTCACAATAATCCAAACCATTGATTGAACCAGCTCGGTTACATCGACAAGGCTCACAACCGGCCGGATTGGAAGCTCGTAAATTTTTATAGTGAGGGGCGCAAGTATCACAATAACGGCCAGTTACTCGCTCTTTACATTCGCATAATTTACCAGACATTATTTCAGAGCAACCAGGAAAATTGGGAGCAACTCCGGCTGGGTTACAGCTACAGCTTTCACAGGTTGGATAATTGTAATAATTTTTCTTACACTTGTTACATTTGATTCCTTCAAAGTTTTCCCGACACTGACAAATGCCATTTTGACAGGTGGTACCATACGAACCGGCAGGATCACATCCACAAGGTTCGCATTTGGGGAAATCAAAGAAACCAGGACTACACTGGTTACATTTTGATCCACCGTAATGAGAGGCACATAAACATTTACCATCCTTGTTGCAAGTTTGATTGAGCGATCCAATTGAATCACAAGCACAAGGTTTACAATCAGGGAAACCAAAAAAGCCTGGTTCACATTCATCACACCTTTCCCCACCAAAACCGGGTCGACATTTACACACACCGTTACTTTGATCACAAATGTCTTCAGTGGTTCCCAATGGATTACAATTACAAGCCTGACAATCGGGATAACCGAAGAACCCAATTGAACAAGAGTTACATTGACGACCAGAAAATTGTTTCAGACAAGTACATTGGCCATCGGTTGAATTACAGTTTGGAGAAACGGAACCAGATTGATCACAGTTGCATCGTTGACATTCAGGGAATCCCCAATAAGCAGCAGCACAAGATGAACAATCAGAACCAGAATAAGGGTCTTTGCATACACATTGACCATTTTCTGGATCACAAATGTCACCCAATGTACCATTACGATAACAAGGACACCGAGGACAATCAGGTTCATTGTAATAACCATAGGCACATCTGTCGCATGCTGGTGCATTGGTAAAGTTGTCTCTGCATTGACAAATTCCTGTACCTACATTACACCCACCAGTTTGACTGGTCTTGGAGCAACTGCATTTAACGCAAACATTTGTTGCATTAAGAGCTCGGCCTTCGGGTCGATAGTAACCAAATTTACATTCATGGCAATTGACTCCCATAGTATTGTGATCACATGCAATACAGCGACCTCCACCTTCATATTTACCATGAATATCCATAGACTCCTTGTTTCTTTCAACATCAAAATCAAATTCACATTGTTTCGAATGATTATTACAATTACATTCTTCACACTCAAATGGATTGCTAGAAGTTGCAGGTCTCCAACGTTTCTGAACGTAAGGCGGTTTACATCTTTCACACTGAGCTCCAGCAGTATTGTGTTGACAGGCACAATATAATTTATCTGGTTGAGTTTGATTTATAACATCACAAGTCTCGGCATGACCATTACATACACATCGACCTCCGAGGTTAATTTCCCGAATACTGTAAAAATACTGAACCCAATAAAAGATTGGTTAGTTGAATGTTGATGGTGAAGCTCAATGAATAATATCAAGTGAGTACTTACACGACGAGTTACTGTTTGATCAACATTCCATAAATGTCCAAACGTTGTTTGTGGTCTAATAAATCGAAGTCGAACATTAGTTGCTTTGGTGAATTCCTGAAGAACTTCTGAACTGGTAAAATTGTCTCCATTTGGTCGATTAGTTAATAGCGATATAACCATCTAAGATGACAAAGTCACAATTGTAATGATACAACGGGCAATAAAAGATGCAGCCATTCATTTATATTAGATCAACCAATAGAGAGCATTTTAAATTCATAAATCCATTTGTTTAAACCTAACTGCTTATCCTTAATTGTAACTAAGGATAGTTTAACTGTTTTAATCCACATTTTGGATTTCAATATTTCTGAATTTCTCATCAATCTGTGCATCTCTTATACTTTAAATGGATGTCAAGTTCATTAAATGACACTTATGATTTCAGTCTAATCTCAATGAATAACTTTTACAGTGTTGACTGAACACAACTTACCTCACCATTTTCCAGTGGAATTAGTTTTGAATATTTTGTCTCACAAATTACTTGATCATCTCTAACCAATGGTTGGACACTTTCTTCGCCAAACTGTTTAATACATTCTTCTCGTGAATCAGCAAAATACATCCAAGGTTTAAACGTTGATCCTTTATCAGTTGATCTTTCAAGAACCCAGACGCCTGGTCTAGGCGAGTTTGCCATTGTAATATAAACATATGCTACATGGAATTCCTGTAATTATGATAAACATACAGAATGAAGTTTGCTATGAAATCTGCAGACATTCATGAGATCTATACCAGTATAAGGAGTTACCAAAGACGAATGCAAAGTGTAACCATTTAAGCTCAAGATGAGTGAGAACAGACTGGGAAACTGTTTAACCAGTTAATTATTTTGAAATACTTTGTAACCCTTTTATAGATTTAATGATTGATTCAAAGCAACAAGACCCAACTTTGTTACTTCAATGAGATGTAAATGAAAAGTTCAAGGAAGAATATGTAATTGGTAAAAAATGTAGCTAAAATTATCTCAATAAATTAATCTGATCCATAGACATTTCATCTCATTTCATCTTTTTGTCAGTCTGTCTCTAATATATCTTTGAATTGTTGCAATTATCCAAAGAGTTTGGTTCTGTAACTGACAAAGATAAAGTATTTGAATATTTTCTAAGCCAGTTTCTTAGCTCAACTTGCTATAATTGTATAGTTAAGATGAACTTGGCAATCAGCCCAAAAACAACTCGTAACATCCATTTCCGCTGGTTTTATCTGCAATTGCAGCCTAACTTAAACTCATCTTATTAACGAGTCGAGATGCTTTAAAAGTTTAAATTTAACTTCACTCAGCTTTCCTCGTAAAATGACTGTTTAGTTAATTATCAAGACCTTTTGTAGCGATGAGAAAGCACAGGAGAGGAGAAAACGGAAATTACATGAATGGTACTTTTGCACTTGCTTTTGGATACAGACCAAGGTTCATTTGCAATTGATGAAAATTTAAACTGATCGATTGAATCAACATGCGAATGACCAAAGATTTTGTTGAAATTTTCGGGTTTCAAAACACTAACTTTTGTTGTCTTCATTGCATTTTTCATCTCGTCTTCTTTATCTTCCTTGCTCTTCTCTTTCTTTGTCATTTTTTGTGAAGGTTTAAAGTCTTTTAAGCTTGAATAATGGACACATAAAGTTTGACCGTCATACACAAAAATAAACCAAACAAAGATTTTGTTTACTAGCAAAATCCTTTCGTTTAGAGCAAAAAATTGTGAGTCAACTTTGCAGATGTTATCTGATTACAGGTCAAAATTTGACCTCTGCTCTCGGTCTCTGTTTCTGGTTCTTGTTTTGAAAATACATTTTGAAGTAACAAGTGTAATCATCCCAGTTAACCCAAACAGTGAGCACATAACTATGAGCACAGTTAGAAAGGCGAAATCGAAATTCAATCGTTCGGTTTATAAACCGATCGACCAAATCGATAAATCACCAGATGAGAAAGCTAGAGGTTTGATAGATAAGCTATTCTATTTGATAATCTTTGTCTTTAGATGCTTTGATTAACCATAAGATTGACAGATTTTGACTTGTAGCTCATTCGTGTTAATCGATTCTCGAAAGACAATTGTTTCTTTTTATAAACATTCACAAACATTCATAAACATTTAGCTATTGCTCGTCATCATGAATCATCAATGAATTTGGTGAAGGTGACATGGAAAATGTTGAGTTATGTCAACTTGCAACTCGAGAAATGTTAAATGTAAATGGTCAAAATGATCTGTCGCAAGTAAAATTATCTCGCTTCTTTGTTTTATCTGAAGGCCTATCATTGCTCTTACGTGATGACAATGAAATATTAACGTTGGGCAAAATAAATCGATTACTATACTTCAATTACGACAGTGTGATTGGTTGAAAATGATGCTAAAATTAGCTAAAATGTGTTGAAATTATCAAAAGAGTTCGGTTCTTTAACTGAATAAGAAGGTCTGAAAGGCATTTCAACATTTTCCTAGACAGTTTCTTATCTTAATTTGTTAACTATAACCGCATAGTTAAGATGAACTTGGCAATAAGCCCAAAAACACTCGTAACATCCATTTCCGCTGGTTTTATCTGCAATTGCAGCCTAACCTAAACTCATCTTATTAAAGAGCCGAGATGCTTTGAAAGTTAAATTTAACTTCACTCAGCTTTCCTCATAAAATGACTGTTTAAATATTTAATTTTCAAGACTTTCTGTAGATGGGAAAGCACAGGAGAAGAGAAAACATAAACTCTGAAGAAAACGGAAATTACATGAATGGTACTTTTGCACTTGCTTTTGGATACAGACCAAAGTTCATTTACAATTGATGAAAATCAAACATGCAAATGACCAATCAACGATTTTGTTGAAAAGTTTTAAAACACTAACTTTTGTTGTCTTCATTACATTTTTCATCTTTCATCTCAGTTCATTCAACATGGTAACTCCTGCTGGTATTTCATGGAGACAATCGAAAGGGTTACTTACTTGTCCTAAATCAATTGTTAAATTAACTCGACTTGCATCAGGCCCTCTTGATAATGGAGGTGATTGCCACCATTTAGGTGAACCGTCAATTGCATATTCAGCTGGATGAGATTTCTTTGGATCATTTGGATCACAATAATCACAAGCTTGACCCTGAAGTACAAGTCGATCTTGATTGAAGTCAACATTTTCTGTCCACATGGAGCCAATAATTTTACAATAAAACTCTTTGCCCACTTTTTCACCACAAGTTTCAGTTGCTTGGATCTTGCGTCCCTCAGCAATGTTGAAGTAAGGTGGGTTGAGCACCTCTTGGTCAGTCAATTGGATGAAAGCGCAAATCAACACTAAACAGCCAAATATCCATTGACACGAACCCATTTTAATTATATCCATAGTCAATGTATGGACACAATCAGCTACTGATTATTGCCACTAATACAATTAAATATACTAAACAAAAATATTGAATATAAAATACTAAAAAAGTGTCAGACTTTTTTTGTACAAAAAAAAGTCTTACGAGCTTTAAACATCTCGTTACAACTGACAGTATTTTAAGTTAAAGGCACAAAATAGTAATTACAAAGATATTTCGAGAGTAAACTTTATTTTCATCTTCATCCTCATCACTCTCATCCTCATCATCCAGAAAAAGGCTAAAGGAAAGGGAAAGAAGGAGGAGAAACCAATGAGCGATGTGAAGATGAAAAACAGACTTGAAAAGCTTCGCATTTCAAAACACTGGCTCTTCCTCTCTTTCATCATCTGTGTCTTCATTTTTCATCTTTCCTTCTTTATCTTCCTTGCTCTTCTCTTTCTTTGTCTCTTTCTTTTCATAGCGTTATATCGTTGTGTCGAGATTTTGTTTACTGATTTTACTTTTTTCAACTTATGAAAAGGAAAAGGCAAAGACTAACTTTGTTACTACAAGAGGAATGTCATTTTGTTCAAAGGTCTGTAAAGCTTCTCAGCTTGAATAATGGACACATAGATAAATGACCGTCACACACAAAACGGACCAACCAAAGATTTTGTTTACTTGCAAAATACTTTGGTTTAAAGCCATTGTGAGCTAAATCAACTTGTTATAAGCAAAAGTTATAGTCAAAATAGGCAAATGTTATCTGATTCCGGGTCAAATTTGACCTTAACTCTTGGTCTCTGTTTCTGGTTTTTATTTTTAAAATACATTTGAAAGTAACAAGTGCAATCATCTCAGTCTAACCAGAAAAAACGCCTTAAAGATGAGCGCTAAGGATAAGGTCAAATTTTGCGTTTAATAAACTACTGTACTCTGATTTGCGATCCAATTAGTTATTTTATTAATTCTGATAATTACTTGTTTCCATGTGAAAAAGCTATCTGATTACATCTATTTTAACATTTTAAGATTATTCAAAGTAAACCATTGATTTCTGGGTAATGTTAACCAACTCATCACCGACCTTCAGGAATTATAAACATTGGTATAAACACTCAATTATCAATGGTTACTAGGTGCTCAGATGCTTGATTTCAGTCAATTTTTCCCATCATTGAACTTGATCCAGGAATTATGGAGCATTTTGATGGCCTTTTGTAGCAAAATGGAACGCTAAAGTCGCCAATAGAATTTTTATTTATTGATTCATGTTTTACTCGTTAATTCTTTCTGATTTATGAGTTGATTCGTTTGATAAAGTGACTCTTTGGCAGCTAACGTCCCAATGTGAAATCCTGCTCATTCAGCTTTTATTTCACTTGGTTATTATGAGGTTGAATAAAAACAGTCTTTCACATTGATTATTGAAAGGTTATTTAATACGTTTCAATTAAGATTAAATCATAAACCGTTGCAAAGTATGCAAAAAATGGTAAAAGTTTTCACGTTCAAATTAACTTAAACATTTCTCAATTCACTAGAAATTGTCATTTTTATCAAACACTTTGATAAGATTAATAAAGATGAGTAATTTCTGCTTTACTACCATCTAGTGGGTGAGATTATGACTAATTTTATGTAACTATTTTAAATTACTTTCAACTTGAAAGTTTCAAACAAATTGATCGATTCTTTGATCATATGCCATTACGTACCATGTGCCATGCCATACGTTCATCTTGCAACTGTTAAAGGAACAATTTCTCGATCATTAAACGCTCATGCATTATCCATCTCTAGTAATCATTCTGTTAAGAAAAGATTCATGGAGCTCAAGAAGATTTTCAGGTGAAAGTCTATGAGTTATCCAAAACATCTAGACTTTGTAAATCAATCGTCAGCTCACTTTTTCATCTTCAAAGTCTCAGCTAGCTGAGTGAAAGAGCTGACATGATCTATGGTAGTTGAATCAAATCTGATTTAATCTATCTTAAATTAGCATGAAATAATCCAATTAAGTCCAGACCTAATTTAGCTAATTAGATTCGGTTATCTTCATCAGTTCGAGGATTGACTCAACTGGCTGAGACTTTGAAGATAAAAAATTGAGATGACGGATTTTCGTTTACCCTTACTTTTCGCAAAATGGTTCAAAACAGTTTAATAACTGATCTCTAATCGATTAAGAAGCTTGCAAATACTCATTTATTGATGGACTATCTGACCTAGTCTCATTTTAATTTAGAAAATTTAAGCCTGAAATTCGTAGGCTTCGCGAATTTGATCAAAAGAAGTTTATTCACTTTTAATTCAACTTTGAATAAAAAAAGTAAAAGTTTATTGATAGATGGCGTGAAAAAACTGCATCATTGTTTCTATGGAATCAAACGCAAACACATTTTATTTTGTTTTTGAAAGTTGTTTATCAAAAGCTGTGTTTCTACTATTTTTACATAATAAATATATGAATTTTATGAAACATGAGATTTTTAATACCTCGTTCTGATCAATTATTAACTGTTATCAAATATTTAGGAAGACGACTGGCATCAACGGATCCTCGCAGCAAATCCAGTTTTATTCGAGATAAAACTCATGTTAATGTTTGTTGTTTGGGTCATACTGGACATGGAAAGACAACTTTATCTTCAGCAATAACTTTAGTGCAATCGAAATTGAAGCGTTCAGTTTATAAGCCGATCGACCAAATCGATAAATCACCAGATGAGAAAGCTAGAGGTTTGATATACAAGTTATTCTATTTGGACATCTTTGTCTTGTAGCTCTTTCCGTTAATCAATTCTCGAAAGACAATTGTTTCATATTGTAAATTTTTAATTTTAATTTTATCCTTTCAGGTCAATCGATAGTTCCATGTAAAATTGAATTTACAAGTGCATCTAAACACTATGTTCTAACTGATTTACCTGGAGCAAAAGACCTTATTAAAAATACAATATTTGGAGCTTGTGGATCTGACGTAGCTATTATCGTTGTCAACTGCCAAGAAGGTCCATCAGAACAAACTCGTAAACATTTAGCTATTGCTCGTCATCATGGTGTTGAACATTTTGTTGGTTTCATCAATCAGTTTGGTGAAGCTGACATGGAAAATGTTGAATTATGTGAACTTGCAACTCGAGAAATGTTAGTTGAAGAAGGATTAGATGGTGATGCGATTCATTTTATTCATGGATCGGCTGTTAAGGCACTCAAAGAGGATACAAATGAACTTGAATCAATAGAAAAACTTATTACAATTTTAGACACTCTTCCTAGTCCTGATCGTAATCTAGATTGTTCAGGTTTGCTTTACATTGATAAAATTTACAGTCCACCTGGTCGTGGAACTGGAGTAACAGGAACTGTTAAACAAGGAAAATTAACAAAAGGTCAAATCATCGACTGTCTTGGATTTGATCGTCACATTAAGACAAAAATTAATTACATCGAGTGCTTCAATAAAGTGTTAGATGAAACTATTGAAGGTGATTCTGTTGAAATAGTACTACAGGGAGTAAAAAGAGATGACATAACTAGAGGTAAGTCTTGTTATAATTGTTGGGTAAAATTATGATTGATTATAATTATAACTTTATATTATCTATTTCATTAGGTATGGCTGTGTGTCCATCAGGCGAATTCAGCCAGTGTAATAATCTTGAAGTTCTCTGGCAATTCTTCAACTCATCTCATCGTTCAGATGCTCTTCGTGGAAAGTTTGTTACCACCAATATGTTAAATTTTCATTTTGAAACTGGAGACGTCGTCGGACAAATCATTCTATCGCCTGGAAAAGATTACATTACATCTGGTCAAAGTGATCTGTCGCAAGTAAAATTATCTCGCTCCTGCGTTTTATCTGAAGGCCAATCATTGCTCTTACGTGACGGAAATGAAATAGTAGGGTTAGGAAAAATTAATCGACTACTAGACAATATCAATAAAGAGGAACAAAAAAAGATTTTAAAAGGTCGGAACAGAATAGAGAGAGAACAATTCAAATCACTTCTCGACAAAATTGAAAGTGAAAATGAGCATTAGACCAAAAAACTAGTACTTAATTCAATTTAAATTGTAAATTTTGATAAAAAAATGTTGTTACAAATGGATGAAATCCTATCATCGAACTTCTCTTTGAAACTGTGTAAATTATCTTCCATTAAAATTGACGATAATCCCAAAGTATTAATAAATGTATTAAATATATGCCCATCTTACAATTCAATGATATTTAATCGTTCAAAAAACAAATCCATGAAAAATCGAATGAATTTTTCATTTCAATGTCTCGCGTCTGATCTCTCATTTCTTGAATTAAAGGATAGTCGATTAGATTTGTCGCTTTGCTGCTTTTAATTTTTAATAAAAGCTGAAATTTTACTAGGAACTACTTTCTCAAGTTCAATCACTCAACTTTATCTTCTGATTAGTCTATAATTGTGGTTAATTACGCACTGTTGTCACCTAAAATTTTAATATCTGCCAAACAAATATGGTAAATATGGTCATGGTTACTTTGGTTACGTATTTGTTTTTATTTTCATTAATATTTTCAGTCAATTGTGGGAAATCTTATTGGAATAACTTTGAGGTAAAAAATTAAATATGTATCATGTTACTAGTTTATCGACTTCTGACAAGCCTTATTATTCCGTAATTTGTCGATACATTGAAGCTGATTCTCAAAAAAAGCGCAAATTGGTGGTGCCGATACGAGATTTGAAGCCTTCTACAAAAGATATATTATCTCATTTTCAAGGTACAATATCTATTTTGTTTCATTGCGATTCTTATTATTTTCAATATTTCTTTTGAATACAACAAGACAATTAATTGATATTTTTGTTCATCTATATTTTAAGCCATTGGAGCAGTTATACGATCGAAACACTCAGCGTTGTTGGACTCAGTTGATGAAAAAATACTCCTTAAATGTTTGCTAATTGCTCATTATCACTCAACTGGTTCTTCTGATTATCGTTCAATTGAATTAGCTGATAAATTGTTGAAGGCAGAAAGTAAACCAAACAATCGTCGAGTTTCATTTAAAGTACCACCGGAGGCAATTAAATATGATGAAACGGATTCCTCCAATGATATTCAATCACCCAATCCAGTGGCTAGTGCAGCAACGATTACTGATGATTATGATGAGGATGATGACGATTTTGCATTCTAATCACCTTTTTATTGTTTTATTTTCAATTCACATTCAAGTGTAAGAATTTTCAAATGATTTTTGCTGCTTTGTTTTGATTAGATTCAAGTTAACTAATCATTATAATTTTTGCAAAATTAAATTTTAATCATTAGGCAGAAATAGATAACAATATTCATTGAATTTAAAATATTCAAAAATTAATTTATTTCCTTATAATGATTTTCTGTGAATTGTACTCTGATTTTCAATGTTATTACTCAAAAGTACTTTTCAGCACTCATGAGGTTGAAATGATTTTTTATGCATTTAACTTTTGTTTTCATGGCAAAGTGCCTAACATCAATACGCACAAGTGTTTTATTCAAAATGAAAAGCTAAAAAATTATCCAAAAATATCTTTTCACTCGATTTTATCAAAATTCAAATTGATCATTTCATTGACAAATGGTGCTTTTGTAAAGTGTACATTTGTATTAATCGCTTGTATTGAACTCAAAATATTTGATTCCATTTTTAAGAGCTTCTTCCGATTCCCTTTTTGCAATTTAATTCAAAATTTTTGTGTAATTTTCGCTTGGAAATGTTGTTTTCATTTTAAGCATAACCTTTGAAAATAAATTGATAATTGTTTGATTGAATTTGATTATGAAACGAGAGATCATTTCTGGATTCGCCATTAACTATCTGAAAGCCCATTATTAACAATTCTGATTTAAATTTTGTATTCATTTATAATTGTAAAATAGTCCATTTGTGGTCCAATTAAGTCAGGTCAGTAATAATAGGTCAGATAAAAGTCAATTCTCAAACGAAAACATTTATAGCAAATGTGTTTGTAGCTTCTTGTTTGTTGTTATGTCATTAACTTATGTTTCTTATTTATTCACTATAATTCACTATTCATTATAAAATGATTTTATTGTCTTAGCACAAATAGTACTTCAATTTTTATATCACCTAATTGAAGAAATCTTAAATTGATTATCTGAAAATAATCATGAAAAGATAAGAAAAAGCTGAATATTAAGGTTATGTAAAAACCTATGTCATAAGTATCCCTCGACTTATTCAAATCTCCCTCTGCTTCTCTTGTGCTCTCTTTAACTCTCCACAGAACACGCTGGGTCCAAGGAACATTTTTTAACTGCATCTTAATAACGAAAGGTAAGTTCATCTGCACTTTGTATCGTAATTAACTTATCTTAACAGATGATCAATACTGCTTCCTCAACTTGTTATTTAACTGTTCATCAGCTCAATTCTCATTGCATGTGTGTATTAATATCTATGCTTACTGTGTCTCTCTTTCCTCGTTCAATTGCTTTCACTCTGTCTCTCTGTATTTTATCCACTGCCTGTGACTGTATATTTAGACATTTCTAGAGTCTTGATTTCGACCCATTCAATCGAAATACGATAATTCCATTAATTTTCGTTTTTCTTGGTTCATTTTTTCCTTGTGATTGACTATTCTGTACCCCTAGGTTGGATTACATAGGTAATTGAGAGTATCTCTGTTACGAGCGATGTATGCTTTACCCAAAGGTAATACAAAAGAGATATTAGCAAAAACACGACGAGGTAAGTTGTTGATTTTCATTAACATTATTTTTCCACCTTTACAATGTCACGTCTCTTCTACAAACTGTTTTATGCCGATTCGCGTTAATTATTCGTGTCACATGTGTGTGTTAATCCATTTACTGTTGAAGGGTCACCTTAGTCCTTGTTGCTCCATTATACAAATAATTTCATTTTCTTTCTACTCTCAGGCATCTCACAAAAATATGAATCATTTGGTAATCAAAAGGTATCTAAGAATAAACGTGATTCTGATCATCTACCAGTTAACGAGATAAGGTCAGTATACTTTGATTTAATCCATCACCTTCAGCCACTGTCCACTTTTACCAACATCAAGTCATATATTTCAATAAACTATCTTGTAGCATATCAGATAATATTTTTCTTTCCTCTTTCTTTTTTCTTCATGGCAGCTCAGCAAAGCCAATTTTTCACAATAGAACCAAAAAAGTATTAGTTCATAAAGATGTCCAAGAGATTACTCCACAGCATCAAGAGATGATTAAATATGTCCATGAAAGTAAGGAAATCCTTCAATCCAATGTCATAGGGTGATAAAAGCATGCCTTACCAGACTTCAATTTTCAACTGATTGGCGGCTGATTAGTTATCATTCTCTGACGTTATATCTTATCATTTTACCTCATTTTTGCATTGAAACATGTCTTATTGCTCAACAATTATTTTCAGGTTGGCTTTTTGTGATGAAAGATTTTGAAGTTTGTAGTAAAAGTGATAATGAAGCGGTAACTAATAATGGACCCGTTTCTCCAAATCAAAACCAATCAACACCAAAAGTTTCTTATTACAAAAACAGAAGTGCCTCTGTACCAAGTAAGTTGATAAAATTCACCAATATTGAATCATATATCATCTAATTATCCTTTCTCTCTTTTTCAGAATTTGAGCCTTTTGATCTCGAAACCTTCTGGGGTCAGAGGTTATACCAGAATTTGACCCGATCTACATGATACGGAGTAGTAAATAGGATCTGAAAGTCAATTATAAAGTGACCAGTTTTTAGCAGGATAAAGTGTAATACAGAAGCATCTCGGTTGTGAATCAATTATTTTAAAACGACAACTCGCCAAAGATGCATAAGTTAACACTAAGAAAGCAGTAAATTGTAACCAACTATAGCAACACTTACCAGGATTTTGTGGAGAAGATTTATAAGATGCAATGACGAACCAAAAAGTGGATTGAAAACTATCTTTTCGATCGGCCAAACTCACCTATTTATTTACTTTTTTCAATCAAATTTATCGTTAGCACCAATTTGGTTATGGATTTTGATATTTTGCCATTGAACATGTTGATCAGTCTCTTTCTCTACCCTAGAGACTTGATTACCTGAAATTTAAAGCTAAACTGCATGCTCAATCAACGAAGGATTAACTAGCTCATTCCAAAGATGCCATTTGACTGAAAGAAATGGAATGAAAGACTGAAAAATTGATCAAGCAAAGTCTCTTCACGATTTATGGACTATACTTGGTTGATTATACAAATCTAGTATCTTACCTAATCTATTTTTCCAATCTAATTCGTCTTTGTTTAGTTAATTTCACAATATTAATCCTACCTCCTCATTGCCCTTCAATTTACTTAAAAACTTCAAAATTATACACCAATCCACTATCCTTTGTCCCTTTTCCTGACCCATTACTACCTTAGTGATTCCTGAACTCGCAATGACATAATTTTTGAATTCAACTCTTGCCGGGTGCATTCAAAATCCTGATTTCTCCCAACTTCTCGTCATTTTTTCATCTTATTTTTTCTTCTCATTACCCATTAATGACTTTAGTCTACTAAAATAATAAGGTAGCCTTACCTAGGTTGTGATATTAATCATTGTAATTACTGTTTTAGTTATTTCGTTTCACTCATAGTTCCTTTTTATTTAACAAAATCTTGTTTGTGATCACAAATCGGTACAACTTCGCTTCTTGTTGTTTTCATTTGATTTACATCGATTTCAACAAAAGCTTATATCACATATTATAATAGAGAAAAATTTCCTTATATCATGGTAGTTAAATTATGTTTTTTTCTGTTTCCTAGATTCTAGTTTTATTTAAAATCGACCAGCGATAAAGTGAAAGATGCATTTATTTTAATGACCACCTTTTATCCTTTTATCATATTACCTCACTGGACAAACCAACTTCTAATCAACTTAGCAATAATCAATTCTCATAATTTTTTGGTTAAAAGCAACCTACCAAGCTCAATCCATAAAAAGAATGGAAATAATCAAATTGATCAACAAAGATTTTACTCCAGCAACATTTTCAATGCATTTAATATGGAGAAAATACGAAACATGTTCAAATTATTGTCATCTTCCATTATTATAGTTTACATTAAAAGTAAATATTAAAAATTAAAATCAATTGATACACAAACACTGCTTTTCACTCAAGTTAAAGTCCAATGTTCATAATAATTTCCCAAGTACTCTTGATTAATCACGATTATTATCGAGACCGATAAATGTTTACAATCAGTAGTAAATTATCAAACACTTTTAACATTATAGTGAAAATTCAAGAAACATTGAAACAATATAAATGTACAACACCATTAGATCGTTTTCCGATTTTAATTTATTTACAAAAGCTCTAGAAGCTAGATTAAATTCAATACGATAAGATCATGTAAAAATATAATAATCAAATGCTTTTAACCGGTAATTTGATTAATATTGCTGGTAAATCATTAAATGTTGTTTACCCAAACAGTTAAACCGTTATGATGAAGCAAATTGTAATTCAAGTTATTGTTGGAAGCAACCGTTTGTAAGCACATTTTCATTGAGAAAATTTCATGTTTTCGATGTTCTAGATCGATGATATGAGTGTTGATTGATTGATGATATGAAATTTTCACCATTCAGAAGATTGAGCTGTTTATGTTCTGAAACAAGAAGCGTGTGAGGCTAACATGAAAATAAATACAATTCAATTTAATCATCAACATATAATACATTGATTTTCAGGTAGATTATGGTATTTTTGAAAGTCATTGTGATCATCAACCTCTCAGCTAATACAAATTGTTGCGATTCAATATTTTTCGTTTGTTCAAATGTTGCGGTGTTGAATTGTTGAGTTAAATTTAGATTAGGCTTGAAAAGATTTTAAGCTTAAAAGCTAACAACAAGATTAGTAAAATGAGATTTTATTACTAAAGATTTTTTATTGTAAGAAAACATTAAAATAATCTCATCGAGAATTAACTAACACAAACATGCAATTTAACATAACATGTCGTATTTAACATACATGTCTTATACATTTTTAGAGAAATCAGTCTTTTCATCATGGCACAATCAGAGAACAAGGAAAATTTTTGTTTAACAATTTAGACTAATTGTCAAGCTCCTTGAGAATTTAATTTACAAGTTGTCGATCTTTTCTAATAATATAACCGAGTGTAACTGTTCGGGTATGCTCTTGTATCGAGTAATTTTCACTTGAGTATCGATACTTTTAGGTTATGAATCTTACCCTTTTTTGCAGAAAGAAGAAGTAAACATTCGTTAAAAAACGATAAGACTAATGCTGCAAGATATGTCATTGTTTCTGTCTGTTAAATCAATGTTTATTAAATGGTAACAGATGGTTTATGTTTATATTGTAATTATGTTTTTTAATTTTTGAGTTTAATTGTTTTCTGAAGAAATGGGTATCAAAATCATTGAAGATGGAATTGTTATCTTCTTTTGTTTTAATGTACTTTTATCTATCAATAGTATAAATGTGAACTGCAAATTGATCTCAATCCAAGCTAATGGTTTGGTCACTGCTTTAGGAGACTTCGATTCAGACAAATTAACGGACTTTTTTGTTATCAACCCTAGTCGTAGTTCATTTCAAGTGCTCAAAGCAACAGAAAAACCTGATTTCGTCGTTGATCCCGCTTTAGAATGTTACACCAGCAAAAAAGAACCCATTGTTGGCCTTATTCCCGGTGACTTTCTGGGAAAAGCTTTTATGGATATTATTGTGATAACCAAGGACGCTGATCATTCCACTAATAATGTTCAGTTCAAATTATTCCTCATACCTGGTAATAGAACTCATTTAAATTGTCATTACCTTTCGGAAGGCTTATTTTTCGCCAAAGTGACTCATCAGCCATTAGCTTTAGATTATAATGGAGATATGATAATTGATTTGCTTGCTCGTGATGTCGATGGTCAAAGATACATTTACACTTCAATTAAGGAGTCTAATGCTACTCGTGTCAATTTAAGCATTGCTGATAATGATGGAATAATACGTTCACCTAATAGTAATAGTTTTATTGATTTTGATGGTGACTATAGGAGTGACTTGATTATTGAAAGTGATAAAGCTATGGAGTATTGGTCTCGTTCTACTGCTGGTTTCAAGAAAATCAAAGAAATCCCATTTCCTAAATACAAACTCATTGGTATGTCAACTTATGCCGACATGAATGCTGATGGAATTGTTGATCACATATTGCCAGTCTGTGGAGATTCAAGTTGTTCATCTTCATCTGCTCTTTTAGTATTGGATGGCTCTAAAAATCAATGGTCTGTTCTCAATGATCATTTCTCTGATGTAGCCGGAACGTCTGGATCATTGCAGTTTGCGGTAATCCAAGATAGCTCAGACCAGTTTGTTTTTCCATTGAAACTTCGGCAAGCTGATGTTGATGGTGATGGATATCCTGATTTACTTGGTTTAATGAAATCTAAAGATTCAAATTTAGTTAAAGTCATCATCTTACAGAATATAAAAAATGAGACAAATATTTTAGGTCGATCTTTTGTACCTCGTTGGTTCATTGATGCTGGTTTGAGTCAAACTAATTCACCTGTATTAGCATCTTTTGCAGATATTAGCGAAGATGGAAAAGCTGACGTATTAGTCAATTCTCGTGTTTCTGGGAAACCTAATTACATGATCTCAGCCGTTCTCAATGATCAGATGTATGATGCATGTTTTCTTAAAGTTCTGGTAACCAGTGGACTTTGTTATGGAGACTGTCCAAGTATTGAAAAAACGTTGGATGGATCAGCACCATCATCTGTCATTCCATATGGAACTAACCAACCTGGTCCCTCTATTAGCTATCAACTGATTGATACTGCAGGCAATCGAAGAATTGGATTCGCTGGTCAATTATCTCAGTCATCGGATTTTAGTCTTCAAATGCCCTATTCTATTTTTGGTCTTGGCCAATTACCCAATTTCGTTGATAATTTAACAGCTTCTATACCATCAGCTACAGACAATGTGATAAGAGTCAGCTCTTGGTCTCAAATTGTCCCTGATGCTCAGGTTGTTGTTATACCTTATCCGCCTAGTGATCCACGAATATGGCGAACTAAATTATTTATTACACCAAGTGACATAGTCATTTCGACTTTAATCACATTAATATCAATATGTGTTTTATTGGCTTTAATTATTCTTTTATTACACAGAAAAGAGGTTCTTGAAGACTTAGCTGAGCACGAGGAATATAAACGACATTGGCCGGAAAGCAGATGATGTTAATAATTTCTGATCAATAATGATGATCTCTTCTCTACCTCTGTCTACTCCTCCTTGAAATTGTTCAGTAATTTTCTCGGCAATGTAGTCAATTTTATTTAATTTGAACCACCGATAAAATTGATAATATTATGAGGGATTGAACAATCAAAGCACAAGATGTAATCGTGAATTGAAAATTTTGCGCTGTTTCAAAGCTATTTAAAAGTGAAAATCTATTATAATAGTCAACTATTAAGCAATGTCTGCATTCGAGTCAGCCCCAGTGTATTTGTGACAAAGTTAATTTTTCAATAAAATATTTCTATTACAAAATTTTATTCTTCAATTATTGATGATGAACAATCTGCTGATAATCTGTTTACCCATGTTTAGACATTTTTTTTGCAAAGTATTGCTACAATATTTACATAATTAATCTTTAAATAATTTACCCTAAAGTTATTTTATATTTCCATACGTTTCTGTAATCCCCTATGATTAGTTTCGTATTTTATGTCCATCTAGAATTTTCAACCTTCATTCATTAATCCTGTTCTTTTAATCATGAACTTGAGCATTTACAATTCTTTATGTCATTCGTGCTTTTCAAAGAGTATACTCTTGGTTACTGGCCTTTCTCTTTCAAAACATAATAAGACGAAGAAAAGGCCCAAAAAAGAAAAAGAAGAAAGAAATGTGAGTCTGTCCGCAGGTTTGAGAGAAAAGTGTTATTCATCTGTTCTCCCTGGTTTGCTTCAGTTTCATTTATTTTGTGGTCCGACCTCCTCCAGTCAAACCTTTAAAATGCTAATAGTAGTTTAAATTGTAATCCTCGTATCATTACTCAATATTTGATTCCACACTGCCCATCAGATAATTGAACAAAGAGCCTTTTCCAAAACAACAGCAGCAACAACAACAAAAACAACTCATTTTATACTCTTCTCCCTTAACCTTTCCTCTCCTGAGTCTGCTATTTTGTACAATCTGTTGGCAAATTCTTTGTATCATCGGCGAAACACCATAATTAATTAATTGATTAAAACCTGAAATCATGACCAATCCTCATTTGGAGAGTTTTCTTGAAAGTAAGTTGTATTTTAAGTGCGCTTGATCAATCTATGATTAGAGATAAGACAATGTTTATGAATGAAACTATAAACAAAATACCAACTTCCCTCCAATTCTTGAGAACAATCTATTTTTTCTCCTTGACTCTCTTTAATTGTTTTGAATTTACATCGATCAATTCATCATGAACTCATTCTATTTTCATTTATTATCTTATTTTGCCATGACTCGCTTCACCTCTCAATACAATTTTAGGTCTGGATACTTTACCGGCAGACTTACAAAGGAACTTTACTCTGATGAGAGATTTGGACATGAGAGCTCAAGGTAAAAATTTGGTGAATTTAATATCAAAATTTAACAACTAGTTTCAAACAACTATTTTCTTGTTCTTTATTCAGACCTCATCAATGCCATCAGAATAATTTCTGAAAATTACGTGGACAAAGCTAATGAATTGGATGAAGACGAAAAGTGTGACAAATTCTCTGACATACGGAATAAATTTGCAAAAGCAACCTCTTTAAGTGATGACAAAATCCAACTCTCCGCACAAACCTATGAGATGATCGATAAATACATCAGAAGACTTGATTCAGAACTAACCAAACTAGAAGATGAATTGAAAGAAAAAATTTTATTCCAATCTACAACTCCAAAAGAGGGTAGAAAACGTGGCCGAGGAAAAGGGACTAAAGGAAAAGGTAAAGCAAGTTCGGTTCGGAGGAAAAACGTTTATGGAACTGATAAAGGTCACAAAAAACAAAGAGTAGGCACAGACCCATCTATTGCCCTAGCTGCTATTCCTGGCTCAGAAACTTCTATCTTAGCGACCATTACCGGTAGTGCTGATGTTCTAGATATGCCTGTTGATCCAAATGAACCTACTTACTGTATATGTCATCAAGTATCTTTTGGAGAAATGATTGGCTGTGATAATCCAGACTGTCCGATCGAGTGGTTCCATTTTGCATGTGTTGGCTTAACAACGAAACCAAAAGGAAAATGGTACTGTTCGAAGTGTAGTAATGATCGTAAAAAGAAATGAACCTGGAGGTTCTAAATGCTCAAATTCATGAAATTCGCGTAAACGCAAAAATTTCCAATTCCCATTATCAATTTATTTGTGATGCAAGCAAAATGACATTCTCATCTATAAATCATGTTAATATTCGAAATCTATGCATATTTCATTCATTTTGTTCAATCAACTAGAACCACATTGAAATCATCTTTTTTACAACGCTCATCTCAGAACACCACATTGTTAATGAATGATTTTTAAACAATCGAAAAAATTCAATGTTTTTTAACGTTACATCGCACGGCATTTATAATATCATTTCTTAGCTGTTAAAGGTCAAGTTAATAAAATGCATAGAACTTTTCACTTGATAAGGTTCAATCGATGAATCAATCAGTCTTGAGGAGTCGTCAATAATTCTCGATAGTTTGATAGTATTCGAAATGGTCACATAGCTAACCTACAATTATTTTTGTAGTGATTTCTATCTTTCGTGACTTGCACAATTTAGAGCAAGACCTTCGTCAAGTTTCAAATAAGAGACTAAGCAAAATATTAAGAGACGATCAATAAATACAACACTAGAGTCAAATTGGGATAATTAGTCAATGTTATCAAATCAAAGTTTATTACATTTTATTAGATGAAGGCTAAGAGCAAATGCCAGACTTAGCGCATTTTGGCTTTGATATATTCATTATTTAGCGATGTCAAAGTTGCGGACAATTTTATCGTCTTCGTGTAATACAGAAACCTCCCATGCAACGGAAATCTGCTTCAGGTCAAGCGGGTCCACAACATGTCTCGTCAGTTCCATCTACACAATCGACACCAATGCTAAACATCTATCATAAATTTCAACTAAATAGACATTTCGCTCGTAACTGTCCATATCATTTCCCTACGGATTTCAAAATAATGTATTTGACTTGATTCTGGAAGAAAATTAAAGCTTCGTACTTTTCAGCGACACATTTTTTCACATTTACCCGAATACCTCTACCCCCTCTCCTCCTCACAATAATGAACATTCAAATTGTAATCAAAAACCCTTGTTAACTTTGAAAATGTAATGTTAAAAACTCGTCTGCAATAAATTGAATTCGAACGGTGGCGCCTTGTATGCTACCATTCTCCGGAAGGGGAGCAAAACTAAAAACTGGTTTCATGTTTACACTGTGGCTATCATTAAATTTAATGTTTTTGATTTGTTCTGTTCAGCAACCGGTTGGAATTATTTCTCAACAAACAGTTAAATATCCAATAGTCGAGTTTCATGGCTCGTCAAAATTATGATTATCTTTTCAAATTACTTTTAATCGGTGATTCTGGTGTAGGTAAAACGTGCATACTTTTTAGATTCAGTGATGATGCTTTCAACTCAACCTTCATTTCTACTATTGGTAAGTTTGACATGCATAACCATCTTTCTTAATCCTATCCTTCCCCTTATACCTTTTGTTTCATTTTGCTTCATTTTCTCTCTTTATCTTTTGCCTCCTCTCTTTTCTCTCACAGGTATAGATTTCAAAATTAAGACTATAGAGTTAAGAGGAAAACGTATCAAGCTTCAGATATGGGACACTGCTGGACAAGAAAGATTTCACACGATTACAACCTCTTATTATCGAGGAGCCAGTGGAATTATGCTAGTTTACGATATAACTAACCTTAAAAGCTTTGACAGTGTAGCAAAATGGTTAAGAACTATAGATGAACATGCAAATGAGGATGTTGAAAAGATGATACTCGGCAATAAATGTGACATGGAAGATAAAAGAATTATTCCTCGAGAAAAGGCCGAGGCTGTAGCCAGGGAACATGGAATTCGATTTCTTGAAACTAGTGCTAAATCAAATTTGAATATCAACCAAGCGTTCATGGAACTAGCAGAGGCAATTCTAATAAAGAGAACCGCGGGAAGAGGAAGCTTGGAGGCTGCTGATCGAGTTAACATCACTCAAACGGAAAATAAAAGCTTAATAAGGTGCTGCAATGTATGAAAAAAAATGTTTACAAAGGAAAATTTTGCTGTTGACTTATTTGGAGAAAAATTTTGACTTACCAACCAAAGAGTGATAAATTCAACTAAAAAAGAAAGATCAACTGAAAGCAAAACGGTTTACCGAAGGATACTAAACAATAATTTTAACTAATTATAATCAATGGATGATTCTGAATTCATAACTGAGATGTCAAGCAGCTAAACTGTTTTCGACTATTTCCACCTTTTCCCCTATACTTTCATTCTTTCTTTTCCTCTATTTCGCCTTCCCTTGTGTTAATGCACTTTGACTCTCAATCATACTTTCCCCTTCACTTTTGCTTACATCCTGTTTTTGCTTTTGTTTATCTCTCTATCTCTCTCTCTATTTATCTCTCTAATTTTCTCTCTTACTATCTCTTTTTGTCAATCTCAAGATAAAATAGTGTTTCGATATTCAACAACTCTGAAACTATAAAATTATAAAAACACACAAATTATTCTCTACTCCAAAATCGTGGTAAATATGCAATGGCATGACAATATGAATTTATGGAGCTTTCAAAAAATACAAGCCAAATCAAGTCAACAACTAAAGTCAAAGATTGTAACATCGGCCAGTGAAAAGTTATCATTTGCAATGGACGAGACATAGAAATTTACTCATTTTATGCATCAAGATATACTCAACAATACTATCATTCATTTAAAATTTGAACCTAAACCCGTTCATGTTTATTCTGTTTTTGTTTCTGTTTTGTTTTGTTCCTATTTTTCTCTCTTTTTTTTCTTTCTCTCTAAATTACTGTCAAATGTTTATCATTAGATTTAGAAACCATTTTCTAACCAATTTTTCACCTTGGAGTTAACCTTATCAATGACCATGGTCATCATCATAACCAAGAAAACGAAGGATATAAAAATAATTGATTGCAAAATCAAACATTTGGACGAATTATCGAGAGGAATTGGTCAGAATTACAGTTGAAATGAAAAGGGTTATCCAAATGGTTTTTACAAGACAAACAAAAGCAATCAACAAGATAAAGTCATCATGATGGAAGCTCAGAAACAATTATTTATATTATTATTATCTTGCCTCAATAATTGTCAAATTTGGTATATAATAATAATACAAAATACGGATCTCTTCATTTCTTTCTCATACCCATACACATACATAAATACACACAAAATCAACCCCAAATTTTATTAGAGTCTGTTACAATTAAGTGAAAAAAAAATCTCAAAACAAATTCTTTTTCTTTCTTTTTTTCTTAAAATACTGAAATAAGATGAAATTTTGTTACTTTTTTCACTCTTTCATTACTTTGTTTTCATTTTTAAGGTTTGATGATAAAGCGAAAGAAAGTCATTAAGGCAAGACTACATCATCGTTGCACTTATTTGACTATTTGGGGCGATCAAACCTTTTTTGACTATGTTAGTGAGAAGAAAAGAATAAATTCTTTCTTTTCTCATCTTTCTCATAATTCCAAGAAAAAAATAAACAAATCCATTTACAATTATCAAACTGAATTAGGTTTCTCTCATTCAACTGATTGTCCATTAACAAATTCGTATTGCTGAAACTTGAAAAACTTGAGACCAGTCATGGATTACGATGTATTTTTTTTATTCAACATTGACTTTCAACAAGATTTAATTACAATTACTTTAAAATTTAGCCACAAAAAAGATTGAACTGGAAAATAAATTCGATTAAAGTTCATTTGGGTTCATCTGTCGATTAATCGAGTGCTAATACGGATCTCTTCATTTCTTTCTCATTCCTGAAAGCTTTGCTCGTATGTTTGCCTGATCTAACCAGAAAAAAATCTGGTTTCTGGTGTTCACCATTTGATGGATAAGCTCTATCCATTGGTTATGGTCAAGTTAATGATGAACTCATAGATTAACAGGAATATATTAAAAATCCAATCAGGACAGCAATTAACATTAACCGTCAGAAGATAATGAATATAATTTTTGAGGTTAAGAGCTGCTTATATTTTGATTTTGTTTTTAACTCTTTTTTACCATTCAATCTGGCTAAAGGTTGATTAACCTTTTTTAAATTTCCATAAGGTTAAGGTAAAGTGTTGTAGATGAAAATTATTACAATAGCTAATTAACTGAACATAAAAAGACTTGATCTTGGTAGACGTTATAACGGTGTTGTGTTTTCCTCCAGAAAAATTGTCATTAGCAAAAGGGAAACAATTTATTTTCCAAAGATTCTGTCTTTATTCAAATCTATTTCAGGTGAAATCTCTGGTTTTTTATGGTTTTGGAAGATTTGGTCTCAGAATAGAAATGATTTTTCACATTTAGACTGGTTAAATTGATAGATAAACAGTTATGAGGAAAAAAGTTATGTAAATCAGTTTGAAATGTGAGATATTTAAGGTGAAATGAAGCAGCAAACAAGAATCTTAGTTCAGAGATGAATAACGATCCACAGCTTTATGATAAATCCAATGGATTGCAGAAGAAAGATTCTGAATATCTCTTGAAGAGACTGGAAAAGGATTTTAAAAATGTGTAAGTTAACTTTAATTGTGATTAGCTATTTTTTTAATTTTGTTTGTTAATTGTTTCTAAAGTTCTCCAAAGGTAATTGTGGACATTGGATGTGGAACTGGAAATATAACGCAAATGATTTACTCCAGTTTTCCCGATTCACGAATCATTGGTTTCGATTGCAGTGAAAAGATGATTGAATTTGCTCGGGAAAAATATTCAACCTCCAACCTCAACTTCAATTGTGGAAACATTTGTGCCGAGTGGGAAGAACTGTCAGTAAACTTGGACATAGAAGCGGAATCGGTTGACGTAGTTACGTCTACTTTTTGCCTGCATTGGGTTACGAATACTGCTAAAGCCATGGAAAACATCAATAAAATGCTGAAGCCAGGTAAAGTAATTTCAAATCAGAAACATATTTTCATATTTCCAAAATTATTCAAAAACCCATTCGTATTGTTGCTGTATTTGTTTTAAAGGAGGAAAATGTTATTTATTAATGTTTTCTTGGAGCTCCATTTTGCCCCTTCAAGAACAGATAACATATCAAGAACCTTGGTATGAATTGTTTCGAAAGCTTGAGGTTCCTAAGCATAATGAGAAACCCAAATATGCTACAAACTATCAGTCAGATAAGTCTATTGAATCTGAGCTTACTCGGCAAGCCTCAACCTCTCAATTAGCTGATTCCCAACATTTGCTTGATTTGGCTAAGCCCAAGTCTAAATCTTTAACAATTCGTAGGAGATCATCGGCTCCGTTCCCTGTTTATGAGATTCCTCCTGAAAAAGAAAGAATTGATCACTGGATTAAATTGTGTGAAACTGCCAATTTGAAGCCTATTGAAGTGGCAATACATGATTCGACTTTCACTTATGAAGATATTGAAGGATTCAAAGGTAAGCAATCAGCGGTTGAAAAGTGCAAATTCAAATTCAACAAAAATCAATGTGAATCAATATGGCTCACATTGAAATGCATATGCTTTGATTTAGCAACATTGTTTGGATTATTAATTTGTATTTATTTCCATTGCAGGTGAATTAGTATCTTTGTGTCACTTTCTGGCTCATGTTCCGAAAGATTTACACTCTCAATTTCTTAACGACTATTTTGAACACATGAATAGGTGTTTCATTGCACATCAGAATACTTTGCCAAAGATCAACGTAGATTACCAATTTTTAACTGCCATAGCTGAAAAACCTGCGACCACTGACACCAAGAATAAGATTAACAAAGATGAAAACCAAAATGAATATGAGACTGAAATCTAATTGGCAATTATTCGCTCTAAATTAGCATTCCAATATATTCGTATGTCTATATGATCTAACAATAAGTAAGCTAACTTGTAAGCTATTCAGTAAAATTGAATGACTAACTATTAATAAATATCTATTAAAATACCTACATTTGTAATCTTTAAATGATTCCGTAAGCAATCAAAGCACAAGATGTAATCGTGAATTGAAAATTTTGCGAAGTTACGATTTTACTATTTAAAAGTGAAAGTCTATTAATTATAATATAATAGTCAACAATTAAGCAATGCCTGCATTCGAGTCAGCCCCAGTGTATTTGTGACAAAGTTAATTTTTCAATAAAATATTTCTAAAGGGTGTTGCGTGTTATTCTTGCCAGTTATCTCATCCGAATGGATACTAAACACCTGATAAAGATGAAAATGTTACAATGGAAATCTTATAAATCTCCATTGAGATAAGATAACTGGCAAGAATAACACGCAACACCCTTTATTACAAAATTATATTCTTCAATTATTGATAATGAATAATCTGCTGATAATCTGGTTACCCATGTTTAGACATTTTTGTTACAAAGTATTGCTACAATATTTACATAATTAATCTTTAAATAATTTACCCTAAAGTTATTTTATATTTTGATACGTTTCTGTAATCCTTTATGATTAGTTTCGTATTTTATGTCCATCAAGAATTTTCAACCTTTATTCATTATGAATAAATGAATCAGCTCAGATTTTATTCAGTATGCAGTCATTTAATATTATAACCCACAATGAACTCTAATGTTAGATGAAAGAATGATTATTGTAAACGATGCCATTCTCGAATTATTGAATCTCAAAGTTTTAAGGCCATCGACCAAATTCAAGAGAACAGTAGAGAAATCGAGATCAAAAGTAAAATCAGTGAAATTAGCTTCATGAAAAAATCTGCTTCTATAATTCCATAAAAGGCGATCGAAGTTCGAAATTTAGACTCGATTTTATCGAAAACGGTCTATCGGATGATTTATTAAATAGCACCAATAGACTCAGCTTTTATGTCCTTAAAGATTAAAAGAGCCAAAATTTAAGCATTGTAACCATCATATTCGGGTAAATATTGATACAATGACTATCAGAACAACTATGTAAAGTGGACAAGTTAATGAACCATTTTACTTTGAGCATAATGAAATGTTCACATCATATCAATTAAAGGTACAGACCATTGATTTCAACTGAATGATCTTAACAACTACCAAGACCATCACAATGCCATACAATGGGAATCTGCTTCAGGACAAGTGGGTCCACAACCTGTCTCGTCAGTTTTATCTAGACAATCGAAATCAATGCTAAAAATCTATTATAAATTTCAACTAAATAGACACTTCGTTCGGAACTGTCCATATCAATTCCCTCAACAGTACAGTTTCCATATTTTGAATTTATTGATTTCAAAATAATGTATTTGACTTGATTCTGGAACCATTTTTCACTCTAAATGATAATATGTACAATGTTTCATGTGTTAATAAGATTTATTTCTTAACATTTCAAATTAATGATAATGTTCACAATCAACTAATTTATTTCATAATTGAGTTTCAATCTTTAGTGCACATAGAAAGATAACAAGAACTTTGAAATTAAAATGAAAAAGTAGAATGATGTTGATGAAGTAGAAAGTGGAAATTTAAGTTGACATAATCAGGGAAAGTTAATCGAAAAGGTAGAGCAATTTTGCTTTTTTTGCGTCAAGTTTTCACTTCAACGGATTTGACAAAGATAATAATGGTTTATCACTTGTTTCACAGAATTAGAAGATGAAGAAAGAGAGAGAGAAAGAGAGTATGAATGAAGTTTAGATTTGAAGTAAACACAGTTGATTCAACATTCCTTTCGATTCATCATTAATCTTGTTCTTTTTACATTGTTTGGCTAAAAGGAGTAGCCGGATAAATTTCTTCCTTGAATCCCTCTCCTTCCACATTTACCCCTCTTTAATCTCCATCTGATAAATCTTTACGTTTCAATCTTTTTACAAATTTGACAAAACTTTCGTTTTCAGGTCAACAAAACATCACACTGTAGCTCAAAATTAGTCCCAACTGCATTGATTTTCAATTAAAGCAGAGGAATAAACTATTCATTGAAACTCGTCATCCGAGTTAAGCAAAGTAGTTTTTTCTGAGTAATTTTGACTGATTGTTTGAAGTGGTCGAGAGGGCGGGGAGGACTTTTTACTGGCTGCCGATGATGATGTCCCTAAATTAGCTGCTGTTGAAGATGAAGCTGCGACTGGTGTTGATCCTGGAGCTATTATTGAACTTTCTGATTCAATCGAAACACCGAGATTAACGATTCCTCCTGAATGATCAAAATTTTGCTGGTGATGATGAGAATCATGGGCTCCATTAGCTGCTTTACTGACTCCACTGGTTGACCCTCCAATACCAGATACTTTGCTGCTTCCTTCAGCTGCTTTAGTTGGTGTTGGTGAATGATATTGAGTATATTGCTGATATTGGGGGTGAAAGTTGTGAATGGCATCGTTCATTATGTCCTTAGGATTCATTGTTTCTTTTAAGCTGCTTGATATGCTCTGCATGGTAACAGATCGTACGTTGCCATCTGAAGAGCAACCATCACCGTAAATCTGTGGGCGAGGGGAAAAAAGGAGATAAATGTGAGAAAGAGTATTGAGTAAAGTGAGATACAAGGTAAGGCAACTGTTTATTAGACAATTAAAGACTTTTGATATATACTCAATCAATGAGAAACAATTGAAGCATTAAAGATAAGATGAAATTTGAGGAGAAAAAAACAAACTTCTTAACCGAATTTTCCAGTCAACTCTTTCCATTGTTAAAAATTACATCAATATGGTTCCTCAGTTTTCACTATTCTATCTTTTTTCATCCTTTTTTGTTTGAAAATTTAATTCGCCATGAGCTTCATCATTTGACAAGACAAGTAGACTTTAAATTAACCGAGCATCTACCTTCTATTTGAAAAGATATTTCATGGTTTATTGAGAGTTCATTGAATAAATGAAAACTGGAAGGAATTGTAAAATTTAAAATCAAAGTTATCAAAGGTAAGATGGAAAGAATCAAAATCAGCTCCATAGATAATTTTATACACATAAAGCATGGATGTCAAAATACTTTTACGGCTATACCTACAATTCAGCATCCAGTCAGATAAAATTAAATCATAAATAATGAAGTAAACAAGATAATTTACATTTTCATTTGTAATAAACGATTAGGGTTGTTAAATGAGGAACAAAGTGTTAGCAATGGAATGACTGAAAACAGGAAGAATTGATAGATGACTAGCAACAACATAAATATTTGTCCAGAATCAAAAATACGTTGTTTGTAGTTTGATAATAACTGCTGAATTTAAATTTTCATAAGAAACGCAATATCTATAACTATTCTAATGACTTGATAAAGAAATTGCCAAGAAAGGTTTATTACCTTGATCTTTAATCAAACTAATCTCGAGTTGATTAAAAGAAGCAAAAGAACAGTGCAGAAGCAATTAAGCAAATGAAAAACCTGTAGACTGATCGACTAACAATATAAAAAGGAGATAAAAATCCAATATAAATAGTGAATAATACCGTAGGATTAAAAGTGAACAAGATTGATACCATTTACAGTTAAACGAAAGTTGTTACTCAGTTACAAGCAAAAAAGGCAAAAAAAGCAAGGAGTGTGTCGACGTATGTGTGAAACTTTTCTTGATCATAAATATCATTAAATAATTTTCACCAAAAAAATGTGTATTTTGATAGTAGCATCTATGATGAACTTGTGTTAAAACCGGTTAAGAAACTTTAAACTCATGACAATAATACAAGTATGCAAAAAATATTACCTGGTATGGGAAAGCGTAACGCAAGGCCAACGATGCAAATAACATCTCAACGCATATCAAGAAATTTTGATAACCAGCTGAAACTGTACCAGTGCTAGCTTTAGCTCCGCTAGCATAGAACTCAGGTAATAGATTAGCTTTTTCGAGGACAGCCAGAATAACTCCTAGATGAAAAAAGTGAAAAGAAGGTAAAAGTCAATAATTGCATTCAAAAGAGATTGTCAAAAGACAGCAAAAAGGGTTAAAGGCAGTTTAATAACGTTTACTATCTATTTAAATAGAGTCTTTTTGGAAATACTAATAGTCCTAGATGTCTAAATGCATTTTAAGGCTCTTTCTATGGAATAAATGTACAATTATTTCAATAAAATGATTTCGAACTCAAATTTATAACTTATTTCTCATAACCATGTTTGAAAAAATGATTTCATTATTGGGAAGTATTTATAAGGCAATAAAAGAAGTAAATATCCTGGAAATGGTTCTTTCATTAAGCTTTGCATGAATATAATGGAGTATCAGCTTGTAACTTCTATGAACAAAATATGTTGACTCTGTGAAACACGACTATGAGAAATAGCGATTTTTAAGATGAAATTTCACTTGTAAACCAACCTTGCCAGAACGAGAGAAAAATAACAGATTTAACGGTGAAAAACTTCCAGATTGGATCATATGGAGAGAGAAGATCTTTGGTAGCTTGGTAAAACAATATTAGTCCATAAAGGGCTAAGGAGACGCTGAAATTATAGATGAGAGTGACATAAAGATAGCCACTGTCTGCGCTCCAATCACCATCACGATATTTCCCAAATGCTTGAAGTATCAGTGTTACGACCGACATGATTGGTTTGATGGCGCAAAATTGAAGGGTTGCTTGTTTACAAAACCTGAGAAATCCAATTGTATAAGTCTTTCCAGCTAAGCAACAAGTACCGTACCACCAAGTCGATTTAATTGGCTGGCCTCTAATCTCTGACATAATATTACATTCGCCACCAAGATATTCATAACAAAGAGCCAAGAAATTATAAATTACAAAAGCTATAAATATTGAAAAGGAGAGAGGAATAAAAAAGATAATTGGATTAGCAAAAATTAGAACAAAGATTCGTTAAATTAGTTTCATATTTAATACATAAGTTGTAAATCAAAGTAAGGAAGACTTCAAGATAATGAGACACTGTTGAAATAGCTTATTTGCATTACTCCCCGAGGAGCTAATTCACAATCAATTTCAGAGAATTCTGATTGATATTTCATACCAGAAATTGAATCTGATTGATAAGCTATTAAATCATAATGAATTTGCGTGAATTCCAAATGCCGCCCATTTCGGGGAGGATTAATTCAGTGAGCTATATTCGAATGTGTCATCTTATATTTTTTGATAGGAATAAACAGTGATTAGTCATCGTTGGTACTCACCTTCATACCAATCACGGACTGAATCGAAGTAGACATAGTAATTGTCTTTAAAGAAAAGTAAACTTAACCAACAATCAAAACCATAAATAGGTACAATAAATAAGATTCGGACGATGTATCTCTGTTCTGATGGCATAGTGTATATTCGAAGATGTTGATAAATCTATAAATGAGAGAAAAAAATTATTAGTAGTGGAATATATAATAACATGGAAATAAGTCAACAATGAACTGATTTCACCATCATACATTTCAACTCTTTCATTACAACGAGGTCAACAACAAATTTTGCAACTGATCTGATAATTGTATTTCAATGAAATTTATATATTGATTTAATGCAACAAATGAGACCAATATAAGATTAATAAAACGGATGAAGAGTATATTAGTAATGCTAAAATACATTCAATATGGTTAAACGTATTATACAAGGTGAGTGACTCCAAAATTGGATATAGCCATAGCCTAGCTTGAAAATAAACATTTAAATGATATGAATGGCTTCTCATTAAAGCTAATGAATTAAAGATACATTATTTCAACACTGTCAGAGCCTTTGAAATTGAGCAAAGCGGTTATGTATAGTACTGATTAACCAGTCAGGAAGTGTCCAATATAGAGAGGACAAGAGTATAAACTCAGTAAATGATGTGACTGAGGCTTAACTCTTGAACTTTTCTATTACCAAGAAAAAATGATTTGATAATTTACCTGATGACAAGAGATGATGAGAGCTAACCAAACAAAGAATCCAGCAATAGTTTGAGCTGTACCCGTTTGTAGGAAAATCGGAGTGTAAGCCAATATTCCATGGCCTGAGTTATTCTGAAATGAGTTGTCCAAATGTTTTAAATTAGTAGTTTCAGATCCTAGTGAATGATTAATACTATTAGATACAGCAGATGATATACTATCCATCTTGATAATTACACGAGCAATTAATTAAGGAACATAAAAAAAAGAAAGTCTTATTTAGTATTATACATTGGAAATTACAATGTTTTGTGTCAAAACAGCTACACAAGCAATAGAAGCAATTTTAGTAAGGAGCAAACATACAATACGATAGGTTAGATATTAGTAACTCTGCTGAATGAAGTAGAGTTACCAGATAATGAGAGTACCTTAAAATAGCTTATTTACACTAACAAGTTGTAAGTCCTAAACTTCGAGCGAAATTAGTATAAATAGTCTTTTTACTCTAAATCTAATTTTTGTCAAATAAATACTGATTGACAGCAATTAAGATTCATTCATTTGCACAAAGCATAAAAATTGCTTTCAAAATCAATTTCGAAGTTCTTGTAACAGATCTTTTTTATCCAGTAATATCGATACCAACGATAAAACTGATTATCACTGATCAACAAATTAAGACTCTTTAGAATCTGTTGAGTAAAAATTTTGTTTAGCTCGAAGTAAATTAGAAGCCAGTGTTTAATAAGACTGAACCGATCAAATAATAAATGTTAACCACATGGAAAATTAAGAGAATGAGAAAAGGTTAATGAAAAGAGAAGGTTAAGCAAACAAAGATCGCACTAATAAAGGATTTCTAAAGGAAATGGTTTCATCTTAAAGGGTTGAAAACTGCATGGTGATTTACAGGAATGCTTCGTTTGCTGATTGCAGGTTTAAGGAATTTGTTAAAATAACAATATTAAATAATAATTATCAAAGTATATTCAAAAGCTTCTAAGATTGTTCACTTCACCCATATTTATTAAAAAGATACAGTTGGACAAGTAAAAGCATTTGAAACACTTTGAAACTCAAAGAGTAACATATTGCTTTTTATTGGTTCTTAAGGTGTTACAAATAATTAATTAATCTTTTTGAATTGTTTTCCATTTGGAGGATCAAAGATTTGTGAAGTTGAAGAAGGGCCTTTGCTAACTGTTTCAAAGGCAGCTTTAGAAGGAGGCGGACCATAATTTGATGGATAATTCCTTGAACGAGTTACATCACCTTTTGGATTGTTACGGAAAGGTGGAGCGGTATTACGAATCTTTTTACCCTCTTCTCGACCTTGATTGCTAGAAACTGATTTATCTGCTTGATTTTCAGAAGCTAAGTTGGGCGAGATTCCTGAGGCTGCTTTATCGAAGCTGCTTACAGAGTGGTTTGTTTTGTTTCCTTCTTTATGAGAGCTTGCAGAATTGGATACATCATGATTTACTGTTTCATTAGCGACAACCACGGTTCGAGTAAAGGTTGTTTGGTTTTTAATTGGATGGTCGTGATTATTGTTATCACTGCTTTTATTATCATGGCGATTTGGGATTTCACTTTTTGAAGAACTTTTACCCTTCGAAGAATTTTTATTTCTTGAAGAGTTTTTAGCAGATTCTCCTTCGTCAGGATGGTTTTTGTCTAAATTATCAGATTTAATTTGATTTTTTCGTTTTCTTTCATCCTTTTCATAAGTTTCTGAAATCGAAGATCGCTTATGTGATGTTCGAGTAATTTTCCTAGAGTTTGATGAAATATTTTTAGAATATTTATCATCATTGTTATAATGTGTAGGTTTTTCTCCGGAAGGTAGTCTTGTACTACGGTATTCCCTGCGACCACCTCTGAACGGAACTCCTCCACTACTTCCACTAGTTCCACCTCGCCTAGAAAATTCAGAGCGCTCTTCTCGGTTTTCTCTATCATGACTACTTTTTTCTTTAACTTGGTTAGATCTGACACTACTTCTTGAACTTGTAGGCTTCCTAACTATTTTATCACTTTCCCTGCGTCTTCTCTCTCTAACCTCATTGTTCCGTTCACTAGGAAGAGGATGATTTCTTGTAGATGACTTGTTTCCAGTTTCTTCATTTTTACTATGCTTCAGTTGATCACTATGGTTATCAGACTTGTCATCTGGCGAGAGATGACTAGTTTTCTCTTTGATGGGATCATTGACATGATTCACCTGATCATAGTTCAAGGGACGTTCATTGAGACTACTACTGTTGCTACCCCAAATTTCAAACCCCCATTTATTATCTTTTAGGTCCCTTTTCCATTCAAATAACTCTTCACTAAGAGCATTTTTATCCAATGGTATAAAACCAGCTCCTATAGCTGGTTGAGATAAAGCAGCAGAAAATTGATGTTGGAAGCTTTGTTGATACTGAAATTGGTGTAATTGTTGCTGATACTGATGGTGTAAAGGAAGATGTTGGGGTTGCTGGTGAGTATGCTGGATTTGGTGATGAATCGGAAGCTGGTGTTGTTGATGCTGCGTTTGCTGAATTTGATGATGTTGAGTTATTGGTAACTGCTGGGCAACATTAGCAATCGATTGTTTCTGTTGATGATGTTGTAAAAGTTGTTGTAATTGCTGAGGCTGTGAAACTACCGGGACCTGGGATTGTTGTGGTAGAGAGAGAGGTGGCTGTTGTTGTTGTTGCAGCGGTTGTTGTTGATGCTGATGCTGATGCTGATGTTGATGTTGCTGCTGATGTTGATGCTGCTGCTGATGTTGATGCTGCTGCTGATGCTGCTGCTGCAAAGCTTGCGATCGAGGTTGTTGTTGAGGCTGAGCCTGAGCTTGGGCCTGAGCCTTAGCCTTAGCCTGAGCTTGAGCTTGCGCCTGAGCCTGAGCCTGAGCTTGAGCCTGAGCTTGGGCCTGAGCCTGGGCTTGAGCCTGAGCCTGAGCTTGGGCCTGAGCTTGGGCCTGAGCTTGGGCCTGAGCTTGAGCCTGAGCCTGGGCCTGAGCTTGAGCCTGAGCTTGAGCCTGGGCCTGAGCCTGAGCCTGAGCCTGTACCTGGGCCTGAGCCTGTACCTGGGCCTGTGCTTGAGTCTGAGCCTGTCCCTGAACTTGAGCCTGAACTTGAGTCTGAGCCTGAGTCGGTAATTGTGTTGGAGGTTGAGTTTGCTGCTGTTGTTGGTGCAGAGGTTGTTGTTGTTGTTGTGGCTGTGACTGTGACTGTGGTTGAGATTGAGTCTGAACCTGAGTTGGTAACTGAGGCTGTTGTTGTTGTTGTGTTAGCTGTGGCGACTGTGACTGCGACTGATGCTGTTGTTGCTGCTGCTGTTGTCGCTGTTGTTGTTGTTGCTGCTGTTGCTGCTGCTGCTGGTGTTGTTGCTGCTGCTGCTGTTGGTGGTGGTGTTGCTGTTGCTGCTGCTGCTGGTGTTGTTGTTGTTGCTGCTGCTGCTGCTGTTGTTGCTGTTGTTGCTGTTGCTGCTGTGGTTGAGATTGTTTCATTTGGGGTTGTGTCTGAGTCGGAGTAAGAGGTTCTGACTGCTGTTGTTTATGTTGATGTTGATTATGTTGTAAATGCTGAAGTTGTTGTCGCAATTGTCTTTGAAGCTCAGCCTAAAAATAAAAAGAGGTATTAATAAAAATAAAAATATTCAACAAAACGAGAGACTTACTTGTTTCTGGAATCTTGGAGGAACCTCTTTAGTGAATGCTTTGGTTCCGTAAGGTAAATTTGTCGCTGAAAAATTTCTTTGATTAGAGCGCTGAACATCACGAGTAGCTTTGTCTTCATGACTTTCACTTGAATGGGTGGATCTATCATCCCGAGATTCCCGTGGACGAGGTTCTTTTTCTCGATTTTCTTTGTCTTCGATTGATAAAGATCCCTCCCTGGACTCGGATTTTTGTCTCTCAAGACGCGTCTTTTCTTCAAGTTTCTTAGCTTTTTCTAATGCAGCAAGTCGACTTGCTTCAAACTTTTTTTCTTCTTCCTCTCTACGCTTTCTAGCCCGTTCAACAGCAGCAATCATTTCATCTGAATGCTGTCGACTACGCTGTTTCCACATTTCATCGTCATCAGGAAAATCATTTTTACTTTTGACAGGAGCATAATTGTTCAAACTAGAACTTCCACTAGATTGAACATCACTGACTGATTTTCCTGGTTCTTGAACTGAAGAATAAGTGTTTGACGGCCATTGATTAGAGGCTTTAGCCATAGGTGGCCTGTATTTGGGAATATCATTCTGAAATGCAAAAATAAATGACCAAATCAATGATTAATGAAGACAATATTTTGGTTTGAAAAAAACTAGTCTTACCTTTTCACGCTCTCTATCTTTTTCCCTGTTGTCATTGCCGATATCATCTCTCACCTCTTTCGGATGCTTATCGAGCTCATTAGATTTGCTGACAGCATCATTAGAGTGAGAATTACCTTTGGTAGCTACTGGTGCCTTATTTTGATGACTAGGTGTACTATCTTCATCATCGCTAAACACCAATTTAGCATTATAGTCAATGTCATTGGGTGGAGCAACCCAATCGTCAATACCTTCACTGTCCAGTATTTCATCAAATCCCTTCAAATCTTTATCCGTTAAAATTGCTGGAGCAATTCCTTTTCTTTCGGTAAACGAAGACTCAGTGTCTTCTGACTGAGATTTTTGATGATGAGCTTTATGAGATGGAGGAATTCGAGCTCTGAAAGAATTAATTGTTAAGATTAGTATTGTGATATTTCTTTTAAGCTACATGATGATATTACCTATTGGGATCTGGATAAGGTGCTCGTGGAAAGTTAGACTGAACAGGTCCTAAAGGATATCCCGTTGCGAGGTGAGTAGGCGGTACAATTCCATGAAAGTTGCTACCAGGCATCCGACCGTATAACTGATAAATAATAGATGCGTGAAAAATTTTTGGATGAATATAATTGAAAAACAAAGACGAAAGGTACAAAAAGAGCATAAAATATATATTTAAGCATAACTTACATAAGAAGGAACCATTGATCTGAATTGTTGAAGATTCGGAGCACCTATTTAGCAAAATTGATTGAAAATCCGAAGTTACAAACAAGAAAAATTAATACAAAAACAAGGTGTCACCCAATTTATACAAAATTTTGTAGGAGGCTTTTTAAAGATGAAATCACAATTATATAGAATGCACAGTCTTTTGTCCTAAAAAAGCCAAATTTCAGAATAACTTACCTGGTATATTTCCAACAGAAGGTCCAAACATATGAAAATTTTGCAGTGGAGTAGAGCTATTGACAACAGTCTGTAAATGAAGATCAATAATTTGAGGACTATCAATACACACAGATTGTCCGTTTACGACGTTGCCATTGTTCACTAGTGGGTTTGCGGTAGTCTTTACACTTGCCGTTCCTAACATATGTGGTTGATGAGTTTGGGGCACTGGTCCAGTTATTCCTGGAAGTAACCCTTGACCAGTTACACCCACACCTACATTTATTCCTCCACTTCCTCCTTGTGTGGATGAAGAGGATGAAGCGGTAGACACTGATGGTTTGATTGTTGAGCCGGTTCCCCGACTCCAGCTTCCCTCTGTCTGAGGTCTTAAACTTGGCCCTGGGCCATAAGAGTAGTCGATGTTTGGTTTTTGATCTCCTTCTTTTCCTGAGTCTCCACCATCCAGTTCTGGAAACTCTTGGGGAAAATAAGGAGAACCATGAGCCAGAAAGCTCTTTGATTGACCACTTTCGTCTTGTGATGTGATAGTACTCCAACTTCGAGAATTTGCGTTGCTGCTCTTCACTGACGCAGCAGAAGTCGGGTTGAAGGAATCGTTTCCTTTTTCCTTTAAAGCAATTGCATTTGAGCCTTAAAAATAACGAAAAATTAGTAAAAAAGTTCAAATAATATCACAAAGCAGGTAAATTATGATCTTAACGTATTCAACTTACCATACATAAGCGCCTGCTGCTGCTGCTCTTGTGACCTTATGGCTGCTGCCACAACCGCTGAACCATTCTTGTCTCCATGAAATTGACTGCAAGAGTCTACTGGTTGACCAGTTATTGAGGAATTCAAGGAATCCGGAGTCACCTGCTGTGTAGAAGTTGTAGATTCCTCTTGTGTTTTGTCTTTGACCCATCCTTGACCTCCGCTTGGAACTATGTTTACGTTAGGATTATTTCCGGCGTTTTCACTTTTCAAACTAGGCAAATTTGTTGGTGGGGGAATACGGCGAATAGCGCCCACTTTACCCAATGTCTGAAGTCCATGTTTGGGAATAACTATGACGAGAGAAAAAAATGAGAAAAAAGAAACATCAATATAAAAAATCCTTTGAACTTAAATCAGGGAGGCTCAAGATAAAAAACTAGAATACCAAAAAGAGATTGGCATAACTGATCAAACGTAGTTGAATATAAATTTAAATTAAATAGGAAAATGTAAAGACAAAATGCCTTTTACTTACCTGCTGTCTTAGGACTTTCAAGACTTTTGCCTTTGTAGAGATTATTGATATTCAATGAACTGTACTTTTGTTTCGACCCTTTGTCTTTGTCCTCCTTTGAAGCAAGCCCCGACACTGTGGACATGCTGACCACAACACATTGAGGCCGAAACTGTGTTTTGTAGGATAATTCCTCTCCGCTCTCACCCTAAATAAATTTATTTATATATAGTATATTAGATACCTATAGGCGAAGGAAAGAAAGATGGCAAAAATTACAATTATTGAATAAATAAACAGTGAATATGAAGAGACAGGTTGACGTGAAAAATTAAAATAACAATAATAATAATATACAAATAAATTATAGAATTAAATAATAAAATAACACAATTGATTAGAGTTAATTCAAAAGAGAGAAAGAGAGAGAGAGAGACTGTGTGTATGTGTGAGAAACTCACAGGAAACAAAGCGTCTTCTCTCTTTCTATCCTTCTTTCTCTCTTTCTTCACCCATCCCTTGACAAAGCTATCCCTTGACAAGCACCAAGAAGAAATGTTTCTTACAATTTAACCTTACAAGTAATTACATAATTGACCTATGGGTCAGATAAAGGCTTACCTTGATGGTCCTTTAATCGGTGGATGGGATTAATTAAATTAATTTAACTTGAATTAATTAATTGTAATTAGAAATAAAATATGAACGGAATGAGGCTGAGACTGCTTATTGGAGGAGTTTTGGAGAACTAACTCCATCTACTGTTAACTAGAATAGGTTTTGAAATTTTTTTACAATTTAAATCACAGTCAACAAATCTTTATTTACTCATTGTTTACCGTTGATTACCTCTGATTTGTGATTATTTATTGATAAATGTAAATTTTTATTCGCCAATTTCAAGTAATTAATCTAAATTTATTTCATTTTCATGCCTTTCTTTATCTAATCTAAAATTACGTGTTATCCTTTTGACTTTGTTATGTAAACCCAATACGTCAACCGGCTTTATTATTCAACACTTGGATTTATTGTCAGCTAATTAAGCTGCATGATATTGGTGTGAATATTGATACTGGCGGGCTCACTTGAGTTTGTTAATCAATGTTGAGAGTATTATTCTTCAAGCTAAAGTCTAATTTAAATATGATTAGATACTTTGTCAATTGGTACAATTATGTATGTCTTTTATCCGCAAAGACAAGTTCCCTCAAGTCTTGTTGTTAATACGAGGCTTTTGATCTCTATACAAAGGTTTGACACATTTTTGTTTTGTTTGTAAAAAAAAAGTTTATTCATGTAAACTTATAAATTGTGATTTCTATGGATACAAGGGGAAAATTAATTACAATTGAGAAGATCTGTTCTCTCCAGATTTTGATTTTGACAGAAAATAGTGATTTATATTGTCACCGAGATGTAAACTTTTTGTTCGGCTTCTGATAATTTAAGATGTTGATATGCAGATTTTGGAATAATTGGTAATTCATCTTGGCTTATCCAATGGATATTTTCAAATTTAAGGCCTAAAGCGTCGGCAAAGCGAACCATCTTTTTCTTTGGTGTCTCTGGTGGCGTTAATTCGGTTTTCAGGGATTTACTTCTGAGCATTGGTGGACGTCGATATTGCTTTTTACCATTTCTCGTGATAACCATAAACACCTCATCATCATCTTCCTCAGAAGAGTAATAACTTGACTGACTATTTAAACTTCGTCGACCTTTCAAAGCGGAAGGATATACAGTGTATCGACTCAACCCCAAGGCAGCCAATTTTTGTTCCAACACTGAGAAATCAATTGGTGGATAATCAAAGTTGTCATCAGAACTCGGTGGAGATGAAGGTGATGAGATTTCACTTTTAGCACAATCGGAATCCATTGAGTCCAAGTATAAAGATTGTCCCGATGAAATGGAAGGTGAAGACGAACTAAGTGAAGGTGATAGTGATACCAATGATGTAGATGATTCAGTTGATTGTAAAGATCTTTGTGAAGGATTCATAGTATTACTTTAACCAGTCCAGTATGGTTTAACAGTCGAGAGAAGAAGATAAATGTTTGGTGGTAAAAGTCGTGTTTCGAGATCAAAATGGGTCCATGATGATGATAATTTGGTAGATTCGTTGGTTATCCAGTTTCATTAGCAAACACAAAGGCAACAGTATTTTGTCAAAGTTAAAATAATATATAAAAGATGAATATATTTGTGTGTAAAGTCAGTGAGTTTGGTGAAAAATAAGTAAATACAAAAATATACACAAGATGAACGAGTGTTGGTCATAAACTAAAATTGAAATTGAAGTTGCTAGAAGTTGAAGAAGAGCAAGAAGGAAGAGAGAAGATAAGGAAGAAAGAATAATGTGGCACGAAGAAAGAGAAGAAGAAGCTAAATAGACACAGAAATGAAAGGAGGGATTTAGTAATCGCTTTATCTGATCAGGCGGAGTTTTATGCGTTCTGACAACTAGCACAAAAATTAAGAAGATTATATTGATTGTTGTTAAAAAAAAGCTGGTATCAAAGATTGCGATTAAATATTTCCCAATGAGACTTAAACACACTTAAAGCGCTCAACTCTTCAACGTAAAACAAAAATCGCTTAATTTTTGTTGTTAAGATTAAATTCAACATAATTGGATTACAAGATTCATTCACAACATTTCTTGATCAACTTTCAATTACCTTTTTTTGATTAAACATGTACCTTAATGAAAATGGTTGAAGCTCTTCGAGAAAACCAGAAAATTGATTGACTATCCAATTGAAGTAGACTTGCACCAGATTGACTCCAATTTTTCAAGCTAACCCATCGTTAACCAGATTTTTAGATTCACTTAACTCCATGGTTTGTTGATTTGTTTAAAAATGGTCAACTGATAAATCTTTCAAGCCACAAGTGATTAGTGACTAAGTCAATTGTAATTGTTGATTGTGTGTTCGTACAATTCCAATCACGTGTAATAGCATTGACTATTTATTGTGATTGTTTTCACTTGTTAACATGGTTGATATGCACTTTTTAAACACCACAAGATTCAAAGTTTAATCAACTAAAAGCTTAAATCAAACAAATTACATTTCGTAACTTTCTGTTCACTTCATATTAAGACGCTAAATTGTTGACTTTACTTTAGCAATAAAAATCTTACAATCAAGTAATTATTACCATCAACAGTAAACTTGTAAAAATTGATGTGTACAAATGAATGGATATAAAAAAGACAAAATGATGTCAATTCAAAATGATGCTTTTTTATCTTTCATTTTTACTTCTCACCCAAAAACAATTATCAGCTTGAAATTACCATCAACTGAATAGTTTATTGACTTGTTAATTACTCAGGTCGATGGCAGTAATTTGTAAGAAATGAAACAGGAAAAAAAGAAGATGAAGAAAAAAATGAATTGAAATAATCACATGAGATGTAAATACAGTAAAGGTTGTTAAGGTATAAGATGATTTACGCGATGATGTAAATTTACAAAAGCAAGGATTTTGTATGATTGTAAGCCAAAAGACAATCTGAAGGCAAGTAGAGTCCAAGAAGACGAAGACGTTAGATGAGAAGGAAGATAACAAGATGACTTTGTTGATCCATGTTTGAACCCAAAAGGACGGGTTTGGGTATACAGTATGTGGTCGAGTCGGTTTTAAATCTGTCCAAGGATAAACGTCTACAGTTTTTAGGTCTTATCATAATGCATTATTTTTTCAACTGTAAATGTATTTTCTGGTCAGAAAGGTTGCACCAACCGAAAGCCTTTAAACCTTAAGGCCATACTTTTTTAAAGTTAACCCAAACAAAACCATGGGTCATCATCATCTAGCCTAACATCAGCTCATATTAAAAAGTGGCCTCCGAATCATTTTGCAAGTTACCATCTTGTTTTATGCTGTCTCTTGGTTGTGATCCCAAAAGTAAATAACAAATGACCTGAAACAAGTTATCACTCTACTTTGACTTCACCATTAACATTAACCGTCCAAGTAAACCATTTAATTTAATTTCGACTGCTATAAGGTTAGATTTAAGAGAGAAAAATAAAGAAAAATCTGATCAAATAATCGGATTGTCCAATCATTTTGGTTAATCTTGTCTCTTCATCTCGCCATTTTAGTCGCACTTTAGACGATGCTGTTCGGCCATTACTTTTATTTAACGACCAATCAATCAATAATTTGAAATGTTCTGATCATTGGACTGTTAAATTTGCTTGATTATTCATTAATCAACGTCAGTTATCCGTTTATCTCCCGTCCATTTGCTGTCAATTAATCAGTGCCTGAAGTGAATGCTGTTTGACTCTACTTTTGCATTTACTTTCTCAATTCACTTTTGTCTAGGTTTATTGTGCTAATCATTCATCATTCATGATTATTAACAATTTTTGTGGTGTAATCAAATGTAATCTTGATTTCCTCAAAACGTTTAATCCATCTGGTAAAACATTAGGAGGTTGCCTGTTTCAATTCAGTAAAAGTGTTTTGATTGCTTGTTTAATGTAAATTGTTATCGTCAACAGTCTTGCACTCCATTCAACCATCGGTCTATCGCAAAAAATACACAAGGAAGAAGATGAATATTGTCATGATTTTCCTTTCCTTGATACATCAGTTATTTATTGAACTGTGTTAGATGGGTCGACGGAATGTATCACCTTGATGTAAACATGACCACGGAACGTGAATGAGTATACAAAATAAATACAACTCGGAAGATCCTTGGATTTGAGTGAACAGCCTTGATTAGAATGATTTCACTGAGTCTGATAATTATACACAATTCCATCGTTAGCATCGATATCTCTATTCGCCAATCTATGGAAAGCAATAAATATGAATTGTAAACAACTTGGAATAACCTTCTTAATAGAAGGTTTCATTGTAGTTCTTAGAGTTAATAATCAAGTGTCATTTCAAAATATTGTCTTCTCCTTCAATATGCCAGAAATAAATCTAATTAATAATTGAATTAGCTTAATTATCAACGGCAACTCTTAGGTGTTTCAATCTAAAAGTCAGGTGTTCCCATCCAAAGATTTCCCCTTTTTATCAAAATCTTAGGACTCAAGAAATTGTCATGATTATATCAGGTAGAAGATTCTTACGAAATATTGCCAATAACAGGTTAATGATCATGTTGGTGATTGGAACGATGATAAAGTTGATGGTGAAGATGCCATGAAGATGTCATATATAATTTTGTTTTCAATTTAAAATTGAAAGTAATCTTGAAGGAAAAAGTAAAGCTTTCTCTGTAACACGATGAACTGAGAGATAGTCAGCAAGATTATCAAAGATGGACAACTAATGTTTGTACTAAAAAAGGAGTAAATGATGATCTTGAGAAAGCAAATAAATTCAGCTGAATTTAATTAGGAAATGAAGATTTTTAAACACAAGCAATCCAATCAACCAAGTTTCTTCTCCATGTTTTCTTTGGTTACAGAAGTACAATGTTGAGTTGAGCGCAAACCAGTAAACCGGTTGAAAAACCAGTCCTACGACTGATGATCATGTAAAGTGCAACAAGATAAATTAACGAATGAAATTGATTTAAATAAACAAAGCGTTAGAATTAAAAATCAAAATAAAAAATGATTGAATCAAAAAATCAAAAAAATTGATTCAATTTGACCGTTTGAAAATTGGTTGTCATGGTTTTCTGGTTTACCGCTAACAGGTTAATGTAAACTTTAAGCGAGGTTTTTTCAAAATCAATATTGTCATTATTTTACATATTTGATTGAAATTGTATCATAATTTAATCGCGTTAATCAAGATTAAATACAAAGTCTAATAATCTGATGATATTTGGATCTAATCACGAATAAGAGTCAAGTTTATAAGGTCATTGTGATGAAAGGAATCAACATTTAACACTCTCAAGTTCACAGTTGATAAACTTGGTGTGCATGTAAATTGAATTGAAACACAAGTAAATCCGATTGGATTGTTAAGTGTTTAGATGAGCAATCAATAGATTAATGAACTTTCTAACCAGTGACATAATAAAATTTCAGTTGAAATCAAATAAAGTTGAAAGAAGATAATTAACTGAATCACTCTTAAGGCTTGAATCGATGTTCAATCATTGAGTTAATTACATCAATAGTTACAATTGAAAGGTTAAAAGTGGATAAATCGGGGAAAAAAGGTTGAAATATTGTGGTAAATATTAGGATAACTATTTGATTTAGTGATGAATGTGAATGGCAATGACTTTACTTTGCCTTGAAAAGATCAAGTCAAGGACAAGAATGCTGGTTTATAATTATAAATCAGAGTTGATTGAGTTAAAGATTAATATTAATCGAGATAAATAAAGTAATCAAATCAAGCAATTCGATGTATAATATAATATATCAACAAAAATATTTGTAAATGATTATTACAGAGGCAAAATGAAGCCTCAAGATCAAGGATCAATGGCTTGTAAAGAGATGATATTACAAGAGATTTACTGATTAATTGGCTTAGATGAAGACGATGGTTGAGATTAACCAGAAAAAAAAATTAATTCAATCAACAAGAATCGAGAGGTAAATCAAAGAGTTTACAGATAAATATCAATGGAAACCATTTAATCAACTCTTTTCCAATTTAAAGCAAACACGTAAAAGCTGAGAAACAAATGAGATTTACTTTTAATCAGTTCATTTTTCTAATTCTGTAAACTGATTAATCTTTAATTGTCCTTAATCTGTTGTTCAAAGCAACTGCAAAAAAAATGAAAAGTGACCAAAAAAGTAGATTATCCCAAAATAGTAATTACACCTTGAAGCGATGCCAAAACGGAAAAGGCTTATTTGTCCATTTAATTCTTGATTGATTTCAACTCATCAGATTATGATTTAAACACTTGATAATTGTGGTTGGATAACAACGATAATTGATTAGTTAACAATCAATAAGCCTTGTTAATGGTTTAAAGTATTTTGCAATTGAAAAGCAAATGGCAGTCTTTCAGCAAATTGAGTTTTTCACTTATTTTCATGATAAACTGGGGAATTATGCTAACAACTGTCAATTGCATAAATTGAAGGTAAATTGAGATATCTTGTGATATATGAAAAAAGAGTAAAGAAAAGTCATCTTAATATTTTCATATCCTTTTTGATTCAGTTTCAAGTGATTTTGTAAATCGATGGTAAATGTTGTGATCCAGAAATGATATATTTCCCATAATAATTGAAACAAATTGATTGTTATTTGGAAAACAAAATTAAAATTACTTTTATTATTATTAGAGATCGACTATTTTGAGACGTTTGGCTTTTCAACAATTGAGTCTCACATTTATGTTGTTTTTTGTTTTAACCTAAACTTCAATCTGGTTATTTTGAGTTATTTTCAGTTTTTGGGTTCAGTTTTGAGTCTTTTCATTGTTATCCATTCAATTAGATCTTTTCCGTTAAATATATATTTGTGACTCATTTACTTTTTACTGTCATCATGAAAATGTAGTCAACTATTTGATGAAATCTTAAGGTCAATGAGTCTGATTATAATACAATTACATCAGGATGATTTGGGAGATGAAAAAGGTTGAAATTGGCATGAGTTTACACTTTACAAACAGGAGGAGACGAAGAAATACCATGATGAAGATGAACTTAAGATGAAGATGAGTGTTGTTGGATAAAATAGAGATGACGAGAAGAGGAAAATGAGGAAATGATATAGATAGTGAGGATAACACGGATGATGATGAGGATGATGGAGGTGACTATTTGAATGAAGCAAAAAAGATCATTAACCAGTGGTCCACAATTAGTCAATAACAGTTTTTGGTTGAGGTTTAATCGTGTTGAGTCTTTGATTGGCAAAATAAATCTTACTACAGCTTCTGCTGATGATATTGGTGAGGATGAGGACAGTCAATGAACGTTGAGGTGTTATTAGTTAATTGCACACTTGCTTCTCGTTATTGGAATTATTATTCAATTATTATTGGCTTTGGTTTTATTATTGGGCTTCTCATTAATCAGTTGAAAGTATGGCTCTAAAATTTGTAGCATTTTTCATCTGATGATTGATAATGATATTTACTGGGCAGATTAATGGACAATCAAGATAATTGTATCGCAACAATTGAGCTGCTCTATTCGGCGCTTCTCTTCAAAATGGTTTTTAGTCTTACGATGATATTTTGATTCTTGAAATGTCAGCTTTGTCCAAATCTCTGGTTAAATTGGTCTGGTTTTGACTTTTGTTGTAACTGAAAGGGTCAGCTGTGATCACAGTCCATATTTGTTTGGTTTTGGATGATTTTAAACATTGAAACTTGGTAGTTTGGGAATGAAACGGTTACTGTGCTGTAATGATGAAGAAACAGAGAAATGAGACAACAATTAATAAACAGTAATTTAACATGGAAACAGGTATTAGTGTAATTAATGTAAGATGTGAGTGTGAGATGTGATTGTGTATGTGTATGTGCACAAAGTAAGCCTTGATCAGGTAAATCTTTTCCTTTCTGTGTATTTAATCAAATGCTTATTTAATTGCTTGATTAAAGTTTATTATGTAATGATTAACCTAAAAATTTATTGAAAAGTTGTATCTGATCGAATTGAAACGGCTTTTCAAATTGTGTGTGAATCGTTTGTGATTGTGAGTGTGAAAAGTGATCTAAAGTGTGATTAATGTGCGAAGGAAAATTGAATCAGTTTATCAAAAATGAAATTAGAAAGTGCAAAACTATTGATAACTAATCAATCATTTGAAAAGGCAAATTCAATCCAATTCGTCCTCTGATGACAATTCATATTGAATTTGGGCCAATTTTGGTATGAACTTTTTGCCTTTCAAACTGATTGAAAAGATATATTTAAATACATTAATCTAAATGTTAGAAACGAGTTAAAATAAGATATTAATGTAAAACAGTGGATTTACTATCAACGGTAATGATTGAACAATTAGATGAAAAGTGAGAAGTAAAAAAAGAGCATTTCATTTGTTGAATTAAAAGTTGAAGTTGCCCAAAGGGTTGAAGCAGATAAATGAAGGAGAAACAACTTAAGAGGAAAAATTAATCAAAGGATTGAATTGGTTTAAACCAAGTGAAACATGGAAGAGTGAAAATTTAATTTGTAGTGAATCTTGAAATAACTCAGCCTTAATCATCGTGATAATAAATGATGATTGTTGTACAGTTGTAAACATTTTCAACATTCAACTGCAAACGAAAGTAAATATGAAAGGTTTATGTGTTTATTTGTGTAAACCTTTCACAGCAGGAGATTAAAAGATGGCCAGAAAAAGCTAATTGTATCTCTAGATCTTAATGACCACAGTGATGATGGTCAGCTTTAGGGTCAGTTTCAACTATTGGTTTAAACATTCAATCCAAAAAAAGGAAATGAAAAATGAGAAGGAAAGGAAAAGATTAACAAAGCCAAGGCATATTTACATTGAAACTAAGCATACGCACATACAAATAGCAAATTTTAGGGTTAGCAAAATTGGGTTTGGATGATGGATAGTGTTTTTGGGTTTTTTGGGTTGTGTTTGGGTTGAGTGTGTTTAGTGTTCAGTGTCAGTGTTTTTGTGAGGATTTTGGAGTTGGTTGGAGGAATAAAAGGTAAGCCAAGTAATCGAACCTTTTTGAGCAAAGCATTTTTCCCTCAACATGTAATAGCGTTTTTTATAAGCGGGAGGTGTTGGGTTCAAGTTCGGGTACAAGTTCGGAGAGAGCAAAAAGCGGTTAACAGATAACATGGAGAGCGTTTTGATGAATCATTTTCTGGTGTTCAGTTGAGTCTGACTTTCATTTCATATTTTCTTCTGTAATCGTCATTTTTTCCAAGGAAACAAGATTATGAATAATGAAATGATGCTATTCATTCCTAATGGTTTTAAAATAAGATGAGGTTCAGTATGAAATGTTCAGGCTGGAGATGGAAAGAGAGAAAGAAATAACATTTGAGTATTTGCTTTCTCTGCGCTTTTTGCTTTCATGTGAATCTTAAACGGCTGATTTGGCTAGGTTTGGGAGATTAGCAGGGAAGATGAAAAAGATGAATGAATCATCATCAAAATTATGTTATCTGTTTAAACAGAAAGACACTTGATTTTGCTTTCTCTGATTTTCTCGTCTTTTAACATGTTAATTGTTCTGGAAGGCTTCAATTGTTGATGGTTAGGAAATGAGGAGTGTTGACTTAGTTTAGGGAGGTTGTGGTATTGGCAGCGGTTAAAGCGATCTGATCTCCGACTTTTTTGGCTCCGAACGCTATTACACCACGAATTCCTTTCACAGAAGTCTAAATATGAGAAAAGTTACAGAAAAGACAACAAGCAATCAAGCAGTTACATGATTAGCAATCAGGTTAATTACAAATTAAAAGACGAATTGAAATATAAGAATTGGATATGAACAGAAAAAAAGCAAAAGAAAGATAAAAAGAAAGAAATAGAGAGAAAGAGAAAAGAAAAGAAAGAAAATAAATACTAAATATGAAATCATGATTAAAATCATCAGAATTAAATTTTACCGTTTGATTGAGAAAAATAAGAAAAACGTTTTTAAGTTTTACTTTACCAACTCAATGGATAAAAGCATTAGACCTTTTGACTGGAATTAGCTGTTAGACTAGACTTTATCATTAAAATTAGTTAATTGTAGTTAAATATATTTAGATTATTTAGTTAATTACTATTAAGTGTTAATATTATTGTTATGATTATCAGCTAAGAATTAGTGTTTTAGTTTAGTTTTTGCATTAGATTTGACTATTTCTCATTATCAGTAAATTTTTGTTTTTCAGATCAATTGCCATTGAATTTGTTTCTAATTTAAGTTTATGTTTAAAAATAAATTGATTAATGATTAACTCTTTCTACTTCGTCTAGTTAGTGTTACCTTTTTCTTTGTCCCACTAAGGTATTCTTTGTACATTTCAGATCGCAGATATCTTGGATAACTATCGTTTTTCATTAAAAGGTAAACATGGCCAGCAGCTTCATCAAAAATATAGCGACTTTTGGGTTTATTTTCCATATTTTTCTTGCTTGTTTCGTATGATTTGGAATCAATATTGATTGGACAGTTAGCCTCTGTAAGATAATTAAACAAATTAGTATTTATCCAAACAGAATCAACAACAATAACAATATCTCACCAGTGCCAAGATATTCATTCCAGATGTCTTGAACTTTGGCTGCAACATCTTTTGAGTGAACACATTTTAATTCTTGTACAGCATCCCAGAATCTAATGAGGGAAAAGACAATAATTAATGATCAAGCTGATTAATGATAATTTTTAAAATGTTAATCTTAACCCTTCATAATTGTTAACATATTTGAGATTGTTTTAGTTAATGTTTATGACAATTGACAATAACAATTTGCTAGTCAATCATATCAGAATAAATTGGCGTTCATGATATATTTGAAACTTCATGTGAACAGACAAAACAAACAATGGATCAAGATGAAGTAATTGAAACGAGTCTAGATAAATTGTCTCAATTTTGTTATGAATGAGACAATTATTTCTTTATTTAGCTATTTACCTTTAAGAGTCTTCAATCAATCAATCAATACATATTTATATTAAATTGAATCCATACAATTTACACGTGAAACTGATCATTATTAAAGGTTTCTTTATCAATTGGCATACAATTCTGAGAAGAGCTTCCTATTCATTTCACCATTCAATCTCAATAATACTACATGATAATAGTAATAATAAATTACAATAATTATAAGAATTAAATGCTCAAAAGACCCCCAGATGCCTTTACAGTTAACCAGTTGATATGAACAATAATAGTCTAAAGATAATTTAACCAGGTTTTACTGATTACTAATCTGATTCCGTTTTTATCACTTGAAACGATTAAGCTCAGTTTATTGAAAATCTAGACATAAAGAGATATTCCGGGGAAAATATATTCATATAAATATAACATTTTTAACCACTTAAGATGGTTTCATTGATTTTGTGAGGCACTTCATGGAAAAATATCTTGATCTCTTCAGTTTCTTGGGTTTTGTCTGATTCCTTCAGCTTGGTTTACTTTTATAGTGATTGACTGTCAATTAAAACATGGCTTACTTTAAATTCTCGGCTGAAAACTCTTTCTCCAAAAATTTCATGAACTGTTCACGTCCAGCTGGATCCCTTAACAACTCCTTCAACGAGAAAGCCCAGCGACGGACTCGGCGACATGGAACGTCTTTCCTGTAATAAATAAAGAAAATTTTTGAATCAAATAAACTTAAATATACACAGATTCATTGACATCAATCAACCTTGGATTATTTTTTGCATGAAAAGAGTGTAACTGCACTAACGGTAATCAACAATCAATGTCCTGTTTTTGATTTAATTTACAATTTTCAATATTTTCCAAGCTAAGTAAACTCACTAATAGTGTCTCAACCTGGGTTAATTTGGTAAAGTGGTAAACAAATTAAAATCAAATGACTACTTGAATATTAGGAATATGATTATGTTAATTATGTTTACATTTGAAAATTTTTAAATTAATGTTTCAAACAGTAAATTTAAATTGTAAATTTTCAATGTTAACTCAACATCAACTGTTTGCTTTAAAGCAAATGATTTTTACATTTTTACCCAAAGAGTAAAGAATCTCTTAACTCTTTGATTTTAACATCTTTTACTCATCTAATGTTATCCAATGAACTAATTTTTTATTATCAAATTGATATTTCATCAGAGTAAATCTATTTATAATTGATTTATCGTCTTTGCTGATTGCAACGGCAAAGATTTTAAATAGGAAACCAGGTAAATGGGTAAACTTGAGAAATACAATTGATATTAAGTAAGATCTGTGTAATCAATCCAACTGATATTAATAATGTTCATGTTGCCTGAAGCTGTTTATCTCAAGGTTTCATTTGGATGTATCAACCTGATGATTTGGGAAACATTGCCAATGATAAAATGAAAAGGTAAAATCAAACAAAGGTCTGCCAAGTAAAACAAGTTATCCTGCTAAAAATACACTTTCATACAATGGAGACGTTATTTGATCGATTTATCTGCTTACGTTTGACGTTCCAGTTCCCAGAAGTCACTTGAATCACTAATCCATGGATTTGATGGTTCAGGAGGAGTTATAAATGGATCATATTCAGCCCATTGATCAAAATAAGTGCAATAAGTTTCAGCAACTTTACTCAATTTAACTCCACCAATTCGATGCTCTAAACGTATTCGAAGATAATCAACTTCTTTCCTCTGTAACTCCAATTTAGCACTTTCACTAACTGGACTTAATCGACCACCAGATGATGAAGTCACGTGCTGAAAGAGAATAAGAAAATGAGATTAATTAAAGTGAAATTGAGCTGGAAGAAGATAATTTACTTGGAAAATAATGAAATGATCATTTACTTACTTTTATACTTTTTACAGGTTTATTCATGCGACAAGCTTTTTTAATGTCAATTTCAGTTGTATTTACACATCCAGGCTAACATGGTTAAGACAGGGTGAAAAGAAAATTACAAAATTATCAGGATCAACCTGATTAACCAAACAATTAACTCACCACTGGCCTATGAACATCCCAAAACGCTCTTTCTTGGGAATCCAATACTTTCCTCTCTAGTTTATCACGCTTTTTGTCAACTCTGTGGATAAGAAAATAAATTGTGGTTAACTCGATTGTTTGGTTAAATTTCATTGCAGATCAGTTTCGAAGGAAAAAATGACAATGAAAGATATAAGGAAATTTGTCAAATTGGAACTGGACTAAGCTATAGAAATATTAAATTGAAAATTAAGGGAAATTTCCAATGAAAGAGACGAGAGAAAATACATTTTTCAAATCTGACATTATTTCATGGTACATGTCTTCAATAATTCAATTGTGAACTTGATCACTACTAATATTAACATAATAACACAATAAGATTTGAGGATAGATTTATAGAAACATGAATTCCTTTGTGGGATGAGAGACGAAAATGTTTGTCTATTCTGTAAATGATTGAATATTATGCACAATATGATGTGATAATAATGATGTTGTGAGAAGAAAAATGATTCTGTAAATGACAATATAGATGAAGCTAATGGCGATGACTGATTTCGGGCTTTTAATTTTATAATATATCTTTCATTGTCAGTCTAATAAATGGTTGGATCCTTTTTATTGGGTTAAAAATGGTTTACTTTGCTTGAGCCTCGGCTTGCATGAATATGAATTCCCATTTTCGTGAAAACATCTTCTGTAATCGGGCAAGATTTTCAGCTTCATAATCGGCCAATTCAAGGCGAGTCTTGTTCTGCATGGTTCGTTTACAAAGGTAAACAGCGTAATCGGTATTTTCAGGCTCCCAACAATTGGAAGGCCAAAAATATGGTGTTTGAAAGCGATAATAGGTTGAATCATTTTTCACTGTTAAAACATGATCATCAATAGGAAATAAATAACCATGAGCAGCCATTAAATTGGCTAAATGTAAGCATTCCACTTGATCATCAACATCTAAATTTTTCATCATCCAAGTTACCAAATCACTACCTGTAATGAAACAAAATAACAAATTAATTCATGATTTACTTTGAAAATTGATATTCTGGTGCAATGTTGATATTCAAGTTGGCTATTTGTTTGTATTTCATGTAATCGTGTATTTATGGAATCAATTTCACGATTATTCATGATCAACACTTGTGAAGATACCAATTTAGAAATGGTTCATTAATTATTGAAAATGGTAATTTAACTTGAGGAGCAATTTGACAAAAGTGAATGAAAAGACGCCAATGCAAATGAATTGTAATTGATATCAAATTGTTCATTATATTTACATATTTTTGCCTGTTTCTATTAATATTTCAAGTCATTGATTTTTTTTTCTTCTCTTGTATATATTCAAGGATCAACATGAAGAGACATGATTAAGGTAAATATTGACTCAGCCTATCAACTTCATTTATCATTGTCAAATAATTTTTGTTTTGTTTCTTTTCATACATTGATCCTTTTTACATTTTATCAGTATTCATACTTGATGGCTTTACCTGTAGGAATCAACTTAATGGGATTAGATGAGAAACATTTATTAACAAAAATTGATTGCAATCAGTGCGAAAGGAGAGCAATTTGTAACAACTCTCATTAATTTATTAAAATCAAATGAATTTCATGTGAAGTAAAATGTAATTGATAGATACAATCAATGGGGTTCAATTGATCTAGAGTAACGTTTAGTTGAATGGATGATAAAAATCAAACTGTTACTTGACTTTTTTTCCAGATTAGATGAATCGAACTGGCCTGATTAGCCGAAAATCAACACTCTCATGATGACAGTAATGATGAATACTGGAGTAATTAGTGTTAAACAATTAGCTCTGGAGGTTTACAAACATTACTAACATTGATAGAAGCATAGAGTTAGATTCTCATAATTATTTCTCATTATTTCAATTCTTGGTCTCGGAATCCTCACAATACAAACATAAAGAAATGATTAACTGATCGTCAAAAATTGAAAAAATCATCTATTAATAAGAAGGCAAAAATTACATGAAATAATTTTTACATTAGCTTAATATTTGGTTTATTATTATTAATATTTGGAGGATGAACATTGAAAATACTCTTCATGATTGGAAAAATTCTGATATTTTCAAGATTGATTCCCTTGTAATGGAGCATTTTTTAGCAGGATTTACAGTTTTCAATGTAAAAGATGTTTTCATGAGATGAAAAAATGGTTGCCAATGAACTGCATAAAGGTTAAAGTAGCTTAAGCTTATCGGATAATAAAACACATTGTAATATAATATTTGAATCAAAAATGTTGAATGTAAATGTTGTATTAAAAAAGCAAAATCTTGACGACTACTGATTGAAACTGGAATGGATTATTTTGATTGATTGAAGGTCTATGATAATTCATAGACACTTATGCAAGTGAATCATTTGTAAATCAAATGGCTGTTGAATATTTTTACCGATTTTACCTTGTATTGTGTGTTCAGCAATTGGGGCGAGATTAATTTAAACAATTAAAGGGTTCAATGAATCTGTAGTTAAATCGGAAAGAGACGTAATTGCTGGTGAAAAGCATATTCATACCTAATTTATCATTCTGGATTGTCATTGTTCATCCAAAGACAGAAGAAGTTAGAAAATGAACCTTTTTTTCCTGCTTCGTTTTTTTCTCATTGACTCTTTGGATCGATAAAATAGAAACAGTCGAGTAGACAAAATTCATTCCCTTTTCATCTTCTTCATCATATACATTCTTTCATCCTCATCATCTTTCCATCTCTTTTCATCTCTCTTCATCTCTACTTCTTGTTTTCATCATTCTCTCTGACCTAAGACATCCTTTTGATTTACAAATATTGATTCTTTCTGACCTTTGCAACATTTTTTCTCATTATTTTACTCGTCATCTTTTTTCATCTTCATTATCATCAACATCATAATCATCACAATAATCAACCTTAAAGACCAGCCAGTCTTGAGAAACTTGAACAAGTGACTCAATTTTTTATCATTCATTATTCCTTGTAAACTGAATTGCTGATTTTGTTGGTCTTTCAATATTCTTGGTCAATATTTCAAGTTTAAAATATTATCAAACATTATGAGAGTAACGAAAAATCGATATTATTAAAATACAGTTTACCCTTCTTTGCCTGTTCATAAATATTGCATGTAATATCAAAATAAAACCTACAATAAGACTATTGACCTAGTTTATAAGTAGATCGAGGGTAAAGGTTAACATCAGCTGATGTTATTTGTCTTGTTATAGACGACAATAATTTAGCCTTAACAACAAGGAACCACACTTAAAATAATAAAGGATAACAACAATGATCAGGATAATGATGTTGTACGATAGTCTCGTGAGAGTATTATTTGGTTCCTATTTTAATAATGATATTTCCTATTGAACACAAAAATGGCAAGGAATTAGAAAAATAATTGACTCTAATTTGTATTAACATTATATCTCTTGTAATTATTTTGCTTCATTACAATTGAGCTTCCGATTAAAATGATTTCCTTTTTCAATGAAAACGGATGAAATATTTCAACTCAATGTCTTTTGAAATACAATTGAAAAACTGATTTTTGTGTCAAAATAATATCGAAACGGATTGTCATTTGAACATTTGTGTGTCTTATTGAATTGAAACATTGCTCAAATTAATATCAATATGGGTAAGATGGTGAAGAGTAAGCTGATGAGGAATGAGCGATGAATTATTCAATGATTCATTGAAATCAAACTATAGTTGGATGGTTGAGATTAAGCCTTTCCTGTGTGTTTGTAAAGACTGATAAGCTTAATCTGGATTAATAAATCATTGGTAATCTATAAAAATGTACTAATAATTAATTAACGCTGGTAGACAATTTAGGTTGTTTGGTGTTGTTATTTGTGTTCACTTGAAAATCTTATATCATGTGGAGTAAAGAAACAATCTGCTCTGAAAAGATCTCCTACATTTGAATCCATCATCAATCAAGAACTTACAGGCAAAATAAACAGCCAAATTAATCATCATAATACATGATTTTCACTCACCAGTAAAAACGCTTGGGATTTTGGAGATGAAGCTTTTAACGGTTTTAACGGGAACTCCAAATTGTTCATCTTGCATTTTCTCGATCACAGTTTCCATCTGAAAATTGAGCATAAAATTAAATTAGTAAATTGTCTAAATAACTGGGAATTGTTTCAAGCCAGAATCTAAAGTCTGCAATAATATTTGAACAAAAGTGAAAATAATACCAAATGTAAATTATTTCAGCTCCAACAATCTACATGTTAACCAGTAGGTTAACATGTAGATTGTAATTCTCCACTTAATCAGATTGCTAGTAATAAACTTGATCAATTATACAATAGTTAAACATGATGTTTACATAATAGTAATTATAAACAACTGGGTAATTATGGTTTCATTTTATATAAACCATTCAATTTTTTCTGCCGTCTAGATGATAACTTGGAGTTTGCTCGTCAGCTTTGGGATTGAAAATATTCCTCGAGAAAGAAAATTATTTCAAAAGGAAAATAATATAATAAAATTATCCATTGGACATTGGTTCACTGATTGATTCCTAATTGTGTATCTATATCATGTTTAACACAAGTGGTTTAAGTCAATCTATTGTAGCTTGATGAGGTTATTTGTAAAATTGACTTTAATAACTGGCAACTTGATAGCTCGGAATGAAATCTAATATTCATTAATACCTTTCTATAGACAATTTGATTTGGATTCCAGTCCTCGATGCGAACAACATCGTTTATATTAGGATGGGTTGGTTGTTCCTCGGCACTTGCACCAGCAGTTGCACCACTGGATGATCCTGATTCTCCGGCTTTAGCTTGAGCCTCGGCTATTTGTCTCATCTGTCTCCTGTGGTAATGATGAGCCATACTTGATTTTATTAAAAAGTAGATTGTTTTTAACCTAATGATGTATTAACGTAGATACAATTCAATTGTTTAAGGGTGATATGGATGATACTTGTTTCCTTTTTGGTGAGCTTTTGTGTTGATTGCTTTCCTTGAGTTGCCACAGTAAATGATTGCTTGATTGCTTTTTTCTGGTTAAACCTTAATCCTATTCCCTACTCCAATCAAAAGATGTATTCATTTTTTGTCTCTAATTCTCTGGTCAGTTGAAATCACCATAGACTAGATATCAATATTAACGGTGTCATATTATGCGATTCGGCCAACTCAATATCCTTATTAGGTTGCTAATAAAGATGCAATCTGTATAGTGAATGGGTCACAATGGAAATTCTTTGGTTGTGGAATCAACAAGATGAAATTCGTTAAAATGTCAACAATAAATACAGCAGGCTAGTTACTGAGACAATGTCTCATCAACAGGATGAAACGGATAGGTAATTGAATCTTTTGAATGGCCTGTCCAATCCTATTGATATACATTTTCAGGTAACTTTCACTTTATTGGGTTGTCTCCTTTTTTGAATGATTGGTTTCTTTGTTTTCCCTAAAACCAATTCATCAAAAACAAAACAATGTTAGTAAATAAATGTAAATAAATAAACAATGTAAAATATTGGTGTATAACAGGAGAGTTGATTGAGTTAATTGGCTTTATAAAAATTGTTTGAAATTGTAACAATCCATGTTTCTTGGTTCATTGGTAGGCTATTCCGATGACCACCAGTCTCCTGATAGTTGTTAGTTACAATTGATGGCAAGAAACAATTCTCGAGGTATAATAAACCTTTAGATGCTGGTTCATCACTTGTTGTCAGCATCTTTAGGGCCATCAATAGGCAAACAAATAGGTTGAAAAATCGATGAAGGTAGATACATTAAATATAATAGCGAGATCACTAGGTTAATTAATCAACTAATCAGATAAAAATGCAATTTTGTACACCATTTTTATCGAAAAATTTACTTTAGGATGAGCATACCACAGACAAAGCAAGCAAAACACTGCAATGGAAGCCAATGTTGAAAGCCAAATGAGAAGAAATATTTTTAACCACGAAACCAAAAGAGAGAAACTATAAGAGTGAATTGAGCTCTTAAACGAAGCTGACTTCAATTTTGTATTGATTGGTCACCAATTAAAATGTAAAAATGTCACTTTTTAATCCTAACATGGTTGATTCACTGTTTGAATTATCCTTTAAACACGAAAATAATTTGAAATAAAACAAATAAAAAGGAAACGGTTTTTGACTCTTGGTAAAAGCAATGACAGTGTTTGTATACAATGTCCAAGTAAGATGGTTCACAGGTTTTGAGTTGAATCGCTGAGTGATTGGTAAAAATCAGCTAAAATCATGAAAGAGTAAGACAGAGAAAGAAAGGCATGATTAAAGATGACTGAATGTAGAAAAGAGAAAGAGAAAGAATACAAATTTCATCGGTTTATGGTTTATCGATCCGTTATTCAGCTCAAACTTGGAAGATGCTCAGATCCAAGCAGACTTTTGGTTCCATAGAGATTCAGAAAGAGATTCTCTGTCTCTCTTTGACTTCATAAACTTCTAGTTTTCCCTTTTTTCATTCCAGCACTAAGTATTAATATGATTATAATTTAAACAACTAGCAATTATTAAATTAAGCTTAACATTAAGCCAAGCCATTCAATTTTATTGAATTGTGTTGCAAGCAAAAAGCCTCGCTCAGAGCTAATGGCTTCGTAGCTGCTGATGTATCAAGTATTTCAGGGTTAGAGCGTTTAAATTGCACGGAATTTTTACACTGATGCCTTGAATATTCCAAAAATTATCAGTGAAATTAAAATTTGTGATATTGGAAAAATTATAAAGGATAAATTATAAAAACAAAAATTAACAATAATTTAAGCCATAATTTGAACATTTTCAAATTGGGCGCCCAAAAATAAGCTGTTTATGTTTTACGAGAAAATGAAGGAAAACAAGTAACATGTGTAGCTCATTTTGAAAATGTCTGCATGTTAAAGTTCCCTGTAATTGTTAATCAGCTATTATTATTTGATTCATTTCTAAAATGGTACGTAAGTTGAAGTATCATGAACGTAAACTACTCAAAAAGGTTGATTTTATCAACTGGGAAGGAACCAATATAAAGGAAATTTCTGTAATGAGAAAATATCACATTACTAGAGATGAGTATACAAAGTAAGTTGATTCAATTATTTTGCTCTATTTATTTTACTAGTTATTCCACCAGCTAATTTATCGTTTATTAACTATTCTTTCTTCTTTAATAGGTATAACAAATTAGCCCAACAAATTAGGAAGCTGGTTGAAAAAATATCTGCATTGCCTAATGACCAGTTTAGAATCCAGTGTTCAGCTGAATTAACTGATAGACTTTACACTTGTGGAATTATCCAAACAAAAAGGCTTAAAAAATGTTCGCTGATTACCGCCAAGTCATTTTGTCGCCGAAGACTTCCTGTTTTAATGATTCAAAGTGGAATGTTTAGTGCTCCTCTTTCTGTTGCAGGTATGTTACTTTCTCAATCCTAGACCAATGAGTTTAGTTTTGTCTTTAAACTGCCAATTTAAATATTTATTCCAATTTTCTTTACAGTCAAATATGTTAAGCATGGACATGTTAGAGTCGGACCCAATGTTGTAAAAGATCCAGCACTTTTGGTAAATAGAAACCAGGAAGATTTCATTACCTGGACTGACAAATTTCAAGAAAAGATTGCTGATTACAAAGATGATCATGACGATTATGTGGATTAATTGATATTTTTTATGAGTAAATTACGTTAAATCATAAAAATTTTTCATCTATAATTTAATATTGCAGATTCAAATTAAACAAGTACACAGTGATTGACAATTAGTCTTACAATAACAAATTAATTCATAACGACGTTTATATCTTCAAATTTACAATAAAAAGTGTTTGATAACATCTTTATGGTTTTACTTAAGTACTATCAGAGAGGTATTACCATTTATTAAAGCTGGGTATAATAGCTGAAAATGGATACAAGAAGTGAGCTCTGTATTAGATTTGTTTGGTCTATTTCTATTAGGACATTGTATTTTTGCGACAAGTTCACAAAGGTTTTCATTTGACTTTGACTTTTCAGAATGGAATTCAGCAAGCTTGCTAGAAAAGCACATGTTTAGAAATTCTAATAGAATGAACAGGACAACGATAGATGCAATAAAATTAAACAAAAATCGGGAAACGAGTTTTATACAGAGAAAGGTGAAGACAGAATGTCCATTCTCTATCGTTAATAACGACTATTTACGAAGATTTATATGTATAATACGTACTAATCACGATAAATTGTGGTTTACATTGAATGGTCGTTATCATGTGGATATTTTTTGTGAGTGTAAATGTCAATGGAATCACAAAGAGGAAACTTTCAAAACATCAAGAGTCTTCTCAATTCCAAACATTACCAAATGATACCCTTTCACATTTAAATTGGTTTCTTCTTTTGAGACAAAGTTAGCCAAGATCACTGGGTCAATGACAAGGAGTCACATGAATCTTCAGATCCTTCAGATGATGATCTAGCCGGTGGCCGTCGAGTTTGTTGGATTCTCATTCTTGGTTTTCCTGGTGAGCCTTCATTTGACAAGTTACCCTCATCTGTATCTGCACAAACATGGACCACAATAGAGGGTAACTCTCTACTGGGTGGGTGAATCTCATGTATCTCTCCAGGTGTTAAATTAGTTATTGCGGTTATTAAATCGTAATTGATGAGTGGTTCCGCTTCTTCTCGAGGTTCCCAGCCAACTGGAGGCGATGCAGGTGGAGATATTAAGAATTGACGACTTGGTGCTGGAGGTTGTAGACGATTGTAACTCGATGTGTTTTCACTTGTCTAAAAAAGATGAAAAAGGGTTAGAATGTGTATGTAAACAATTTTTATGATTTAAATAGAAAATCTAGAAATGGAGTGAGATTTTTTTTTTGGTTTTTGGCAATGAACTTAAATGTCAAAATATCACAGGTAAATTGAAAATAAAGAGTAGGTTTGAATATAAATATTTGTTTTTTACAAATTTTCCCAGTGAGATTCAATTTAACAGCCTACCTCAATTATTTGAGCGAAGTAACAGTTGATCACAGAGTTACCAAATTTTCGTTGATGACACTCGATCCTTGCTTTAGCAGCTGTTAATGGACTTGAAAAATTTACTCTGGCTCGTTTAAAGCTTTTGAAGTATTGAAATGTTACTGAATCATCTATTTCCTTGAATATAGCTTCAAATTGTTCCTTGAAAGAGAAGAAAAGAAAAGAAAAATGAAAAAACAAATCGCAATTGTGTGCAAGCATTTCTCATCATCTGTTGAGATAATGTTATAAACTCAACACAAAACTCAAAGATTAACAACAATAGATACAAATAGAAATTTAATTTAGTAATTACAGACGGTCAATAATTACCTTGTCTTCGGTTGAATTAAATATACTGATGTCCAGACTTGTGACAATTAAAGCGTTCGGTAAATCATCTGAAGCCACATCATCTAAACTACAATTACCATCAACTACATCCATGTAATCCTGTCCCATGGTGAAAAAATAGCTTTATCTAAAAACACAATCACTGTTTCACAGATTGTTGACTGGTGTTTTTCAAACGAAACGCTGTTAAATCAAGATATTTTACAATGTAATCAATTCTTAATTTTCGTGAACACAATAATAAAATAATTATAGATAATAGATGATCATTTAAATTGTTATCAAATGATCAAAGAGAGAGACAAATAAAAGTAAAATGATGAGCAATAGAAACTTGATGAAGCCTGATCAACGCAAGGTCAGTTGAGAAGGAAAAGATAGATTATTTACTTTCATCACTTCTAGGCTTATTTTAAATTTTAATTAACCACAAATTTTGTAATTTTGTTCAACAGCTTTACGCTAATTACATAAATTCATTCATCTAAATTAATTGGAAAACGTAATTTTGATCAAATACGTCTTGACAAATAAAGGATTTCAAACTTTCATGCTTTATCTGAATCAATCTAAATTATCTTCCTTTTGATAGGCTAATTTTGATATCTTTTTCCTTATCGAGAATCAGCATTCATCTTAATTACACCACATTGTGCAATTAAAGATTCACTAAATGAACTTTAAATGTATTTGCCAGTTTTTTAAAATATTTTCAATCATTTCTATTTGTTGACGAAATGTATTGAACTTTAAGAACTCAGATTAGGATATATCAAAGGTAATTACACCGCGTAATTGTGGGTGTAAATATTTTTGTCAATTATCATTTGTTTTAATTTTGAAAGATTGAGAAATCAAAAATTATCAATTAATTTTTAAAAATCCTTGCATTTTCATTTTTACCGGTTCTTGAGTACCGGGGAAGAGAGCTTTAAAAATACTTGAAATGGTTCCTAGATGTCCTTACTTTAGATAGCAAATCTCTTTAATGGTATTGAATCTGCAGTTTATCATTTTTATCAATGATGATATTTGATTAAGTTATAGTAATAGATAAATAATTATTATTCAATGGATAGATTTGTCAAATCAGTTAATAACATGAATTCAACGGTTCTAGTGCCTTCGAAGTTAAGAGACATGGATATCGTTGGTAAAAGAATTAGCAGTTGTTCTGGTTCTATACCACCGTGTTTAGCAAATGCCGATATGTATAGTTTTTATATTATGTTGAATGATGTTAAGGAGGAATTACTTTGGGGTCCATCGAGCATCTCATCATTTGGACATGTTACTGGAGATGGATGTTGTACTACTGGACGTGACAAATCTTGTTGTACAGTTGGTAGCAATCGATTGACCGCTTCATTAGGAGCAATTGTATTAACCGGAGGTGGAGGAGGTCCCGGCAGAGTTACTGGTAGACATAGTCGTCAGCCTTCAGCTGATGAATCCCTTGGATCATTAGGTTCTACAGCATCTTCATCTGATCTCGAAACTGATAGTGAAGCAGATTCCTTTATCAAGGATAAAGAATTAGATGATGCAACTCTTCACATAGCCCAAGCATTCCGGCACCATTTACAAGCACTCCATACAATACTTCACCAGTTTGCGGATGCTGCTGATTATTTATCTCTCAGATATCAAGAAGAAATTGATTCTTGTTTTTAACATTACGTTTCCTTTATTTCCCCTCTGACCTTTCCTCCTTACCCTTTTTCTCGGCCTATGAAATTGCTAAAATGTATTATTCAGTAATCTACTAGGTAAGGAGACTTTCTTGATATAGCTATTTTCACTTCCCTTACAATGATAAGTACTCCTTCAATTATTTCAATCGAACTTGAATCAGCACTTGTTGACCAAGTCAGTGAAATTATTTAATTAATCATTATTTACTTTTTCTCGATGATCAATTAAAAATTCACTATTGTAGAAACTAAACCAAAAATTTTACCAAATTTTGTGGGATTGCTTCAAAATCTAGTCTAATTTATCTGATAGTCTCATTACCTAGTAGGTCACTGTATTTTGAAAGTTAATGATTAATTTTGTTAATTTGTAAGTATTTCATGTTAATTTTATTAGTTGCTGAATCTCAAGTTGATTTTTTCAAATTATAATTGGGTTGTCATCATCAACTGTTAAATCCAAATTATCCTCGCCCATAATTGTAAAAATCTAAGCTTCACCGGAATTTACCCAATTCCGAGAAATTTAATAGAATTTTAAAATTATAATCATTCTATTAATATCATTAAATCTACTTAATGAAATTGCAATTATTAAACGAAATTATTAATATGTTTAAATATTGAATTCTGACTAAAATACGACCAAATCCAGGCTTTGAGACAATCTCTCCCTAAAAATCGACATTTACAATTCAGCAAATCAATTTTTATTGTTGTGCGTAGTAATATTGTTAATTGTTATTCATTACGCAGTTATTTTCAACAATTAAATTTTTTAAACAATGAGTTGAATGTTAAATGGGTAAAGAAAGTTCTGAAATAATCCTTGATCTCTTACAATCAATTTACCTTGAATTATCATTTATTGATTGACCTTATTATACAAATTTATGATACGAAATGAAAATCCAGTTCAGTATTTTGCAAATTAATTGTTCTTAATAGCCAATACAAACAGAAATATAAATTTGAAGATGATTTTAATCGTTTGTTAATCACGCTAGGTTCTGGTTAATCAATTGATTAAAATGTTACATTGTAATTTTGTACCAGAAATATTGCAAAGTAGTCTAGTGTAACAATGTTGTGTCTAGTCTTCAGTAACCAAGTAAATTGCTAACTTAATTGCTTCTAACTAGTAATGCTAATGATTTATCTGGAAAGACAGGATTTAAAGTGAACAATTGTTCATTATTTTGATAATTTTTTCTTGAATCTAGCTAGTAAAGTGTACGTCTGTTTCATTTGATTAAACTTGGCTTTTCATTGAAGGTTGAATTTTTTCGACTACTTTCACCAAATATAAATTTAATAATATGAATCAAGATCAGAACGATCGTATTGTAAATGGCTTTTGGAGAGATAGAGAAAGAATAAGAAACAAAAGATGTTTTTAATTTGCAGTTTGCGTGGTTAAATCAAGGAGGATCTCTTAATTGTTGAGTTATATTGATAATGATTTGCATCATTGGGTTTAGCTGATTCTCAACAGACAGTCACAAGTCGATAGAAAGTCAGACGATTAACAGTGAATCAGAGATCCATTAGACAAAAGGATTGAAAAAAAGTCACAGCTTACTCATTTGTTCAAAGTTGTTTGCAATTTTTTTGTTATCTATATTTACTCATCCTGGTCATTGCAGTTGCTGTCTCCATGTTTAAGATGAGTCTTGTTATTTCATATTGTTTTTACATTTTAATGTTAATTGGTAAGTCAATATTTTGATTGAGTTTCATCATTAATTTCCATGAATTGTTATTTTTCTGATTGTGTTTCCATTGGATATTTTGGTTTCTTTTGTGTCCCATAGCAGCTCAGTTTTGGATAGTTAAAACAACTGATTTGGTTGATTGTGACGCTATTGCTGAAGAATCAGATCGTTGTGGTCTTAAATTGGCCTTTATTGGTGATCGAGATTTTCTCATTCCTGGAAATGATTCACAAATGGAAGTACACTGCAGGTAAGAGTAAATGTATATCATTATTATTTTATCAACCTAATCAAGAGGTTTAGCATGGATTTTAATTGATTTGTGTCTTCTTTTCTCACAGGACAATGTATGATAATTATTCCTGTTTGAGGCATTATGTCAGGAATTGCATGAAAACTGTTTCCAAAAGTTTGTTTGTGTCATTCTTGTATGATGTTAAACGTGATCTGAAACAACGGTGCTCAACTTCGGGGCGAGAAGGTAAATTTCAACTCTATGCTAATTAAGATATCATTATAATTTTATACCTTTCATTTATTTTTCAGCATTTTTGAACCATATTGCTTGTCTTCGAAATGCATCAGCTGAAAATATGGAGTCAATTCATCAATGTAAAGACAATTATGTGATTCAGCTGGAATGGATTATGGATAATGTTAGATCAGAAGATCAAATTATCGCTGGTTGCTGTGCTTATGCTCAAACACAGGACTGTCTTAAGCAAAAGACAGCAAAAATATGTGCACCAGCTGAAGAGACTATGGATTATCTTAACAAAATGGTCCATTCAACGGTAATCAATTTCTTATCTTTGAATTCGAGACCTCAGCAATCATTTTGAATATATTTTCATGTTTTAATACTATCTTACTGTCAATTATTTGCTAATGTCCTTCCATATTTTACAATTTACAGACAACTCAAGCTATTAACTATGCCTGTACCAAATACCGGAATGTATCTCAGTGTCGACAAGATTTAGATGAAGTAACATGGAGAAGACTTTACGAAAGTGGAATTGGTAATAATAAACCTGATCATCACTATAAATCTTCGGTCATGGTTACAATGGCCTTATTATCGTCAGCAAAACAGCCCAACTAAAAGGACCAAAATTTACTTATTTATAATCTAAAATTCAAAAATCAAAAAACCTTTGTCTAAATTTGCAACAAATTATTTCATTTCTCTTGTTCGATTTTACATTTTTTTATTAATTATTTTATTATTTTAATTATTTTAAACTCAGGGCTTCAATGTAATAATGAGGAAGCCCAAAAAGCATAACATTGTTCAAGAGGTTGAAAACAGTCAAAATGAATACAAGACAAAATTTAAATAACGCACCAAAAAACACTTTATGATAAATCAGACGAAATATTGATTGTATTATATTTACTTATATTACTTATTGGTTGTGTTTAATTGAATGTTTTTTAAAATTAAGCAATTGAAAATCATAAATTGCTTAATGTTTGATAAATGATAACGCACAAACGCGATCGCCATTAATTTTGAATTTCATGGTTCTCAAAAGTCTCTTAAAATACGCGAAAACAAAATATTGTTTCATTTTTGAATCTATCAAATTAGTTTTTTAGTGATGACCATTTGCATGGTAATTTTAGGTTTAACTTAATTTTACAAAATTATTAGCCAGATTTAGGAATTTTCTATTTACTGAAGATCAAATTTACAGAATTAACTGAACACAGGAATTTTTGCCCCTCAATCTTAATCTTGAAATTAGGCTGAAATAGTATGGCTAAACATTATCAATAATAACAAACAGTAAATTAAGAGGAAATGGCGTTTCCTCCAAATTTAGTAATGAGTTTAACCTAATTCATGAGTTCATAGAAACGCCATTGTTTTAGTTAAACATATTCTTGAGAAAAAAGAGATTTCTCGGTTTGTGTTGAAATTTTTGCCCACATTTTATGTGTAATAATCATGTGAAATGTCCATTAATGACAAGTCCGTCTTTCGGTTATTTTTCAATGGATTATTGGATGATTTCGCTCATTTGACCCTTTCCTCTAATGATGAGGTCACCTTGCAATAATCACTTAGTCAGCTCCAATGACACAAAGGTTTATGGGGAGAGTAAAACATCTTTTCCCTCAACAGTTTTTTGTTAAACTTGTAAAAGCTTAATAATGCAACCTTTCCACCTTGATAAGACATTTGTTATATAAGAAATGATGTTTAGTTACTTTTGTCATCATAACTTAGTTTAACCTTTTCATATCATCAACTTTCCCCATTTTTCATTTTTGTTGTCTCGTCAACTTGGGACCTGTGATGTGGGCATCACTAATCATTTTCTTGATTAGTTGGACCCATTTAGATGCTGATGGGTCTATTTCAGCTTCAAATTCCACTCGCATTGTAACTTTTAATCCAAAGTCTCCCAAGTCTACCACAAAACCCAACTCTAATTATGCAACTTTACCTTCATCTTATGAGTCAAACATTCGTCCTGGAGAAACCTCTGCCCACCACGATTCTGTGCTAAAATCATTGAATTTACCATTGAATGGTTCGTCTATTTACAACTGCGATGCATCTCTCTATTTTGCTTGTCGCGATGGTAGATGCGTTTCCCTTTCCTATCTATGTGATGGTCGACCTGACTGTGAAGAAGGTGAAGATGAACTGTTGAATAATTGCCCAGAATCTTCTCCAAAACGTTTTAATTTACCTGATTGTGGTTCTCTACATTATTGTGTCAACTCAACTTACTGTACGGACCAAACATGTGATCAAATCTTTGATTGTCCTTTACACGATGACGAGGTTGGTTGTGCTGTCGATGTGTGTATTGACTCTTTCCGTTGTACTGAGGGTTACTGTTTGCCCTCTAAATTACAACACTGTGATGGTAAAAAGGATTGTATTGACGGTTCTGATGAAATTGGTTGTAATGAAACTGGTTATAAACCATGCCATGAATTTGCCAATCACTATCAATGTCACGCCTCAGCGAAATGTATTGATGTAAAAGCTCTCTGTGATAATAATACCGATTGTCCTTACGGTGATGATGAATCGCCTCGTTGTGCTGCTCCTGAATGTGAAACATTCGGGTGTAAACATGATTGCCAGCAAACACCTACTGGACCAAGATGCCTTTGTCAACCTGGATATAAATTGGCTTTTGGTGATAAAAAATGTGAAGATATTGATGAATGTGCTTTACCTCAACCTCCTTGTTCCCATACATGCGTCAATCGTCCGGGTAGTTATGTTTGCCATTGTAGAGAAGGTTATCGTTTAGCTGAAAAGGGAACATGTGTCGCTGAAAATCACGAAGCTTTAATTGTGTTTGCCGAATCAAGCCAGATACGTGGTTATTATCTTACAAGTCGCCGTTATTTTGAGATTGGTAAATCACCAGAATATGGTAACTGTACTGTTAAAGGAATTGATATGGACAGTTCTGAGCGAAGTGTCTATTTTGTTGAAATTTGTGATGGAGCTGGCCATGTTCATGCTAAATCGGTAGCTTTTAATGGAGATGAGCGTGATATTGTTATGGATGGTTTGAAAGCTCCTTTAGATGTTGCCGTTGATTCTGTGGCAAATAATATTTACATTGCTGATAATGGATTAAAGCAGATAATTGTTTGTCAGAAACAAGGAAATCCATGTGCAGTTTTGATTCGAAATGGAATTGAAAAAATATTATCAATTGTTCTTTATCATGAGAAAGGTCTCATGTTTTGGTCTGATTGGGGACGGGAAGCAAATATTTATCAAGCTTTTATGGATGGATCTTCAGTTGAAATGTTGATAAAAAATGATACAATTCATGCCACTGGTCTTACTATTGATAGAGTACAAGATCGACTTTACTGGGCAGATTTCAAGGTTAACCGAATTGAATATTGGGACTTTCAAACTTCCAAACGTGTCTCACTTTACCATGCACACAATTTGGGTCCCGAAAGATTAGGAATATTTGAAGACCAAGTATACTTCACATCTAATCGTGGTCGAACGATTGATTTTATTAACAAGATAGCTGCTACCAATCGAACTCGTCTTTTATCATCACAAAAAATCTCTGCTTTCCGTCTATTCCATCCAGTTCTATCTCCTAAAAGAGATAACCCATGTTGGGATAACCCTTGTAGCCACATTTGTACTTTAAAGGGTACGGAATATGCTTGTGTGTGTCCAGGTCACCTTGAATTAGACATAAATGGCCATGATTGTATACCCAAATCCAAAGATCCTTTTATTTTGGTTTCTGCAGACAATCTAATTAGTCGTGTTTACTTTGAATCAGTTGGTCGTAATGTATTAATTCCTGTTTGGTCTTCTGATGCTATGCTTGGTTGTATTACATTTGATTGGAGTTCATCAACTATCTTTGTATTTCATTATGGAAGTAGTGAAATTGTAGCAGTTAATTTAACGGAACCTCATTTTGACAAATTTGTCAAAAAAGTTTTTGTTCTCAGCAATCAAACTATTCATGGACTAACTTATGATAGTTTTACTAACAATTTATATTGGTTAGATCCAAACAATGGACTTCTCGAAATTGGTAATTCAAATGGTCATTCACGAACAACTTTACTCTCTAACCTTGAAAGGCCAACTGATATGGCTCTTTACCAAGAGTCAAATAAAATTTACATTGCCAATCTTGGCTCAGATCCTCATATAATTGAAACAGGACTCGATGGTTCCAGACCAGTTAAATTTTTGTCTCTGGTTGGATCTTTGCCAACCTCGATATTTTTATGTAAACGTCGTAAGCGTCTTTACTGGTCTGATGCCTTACACGGGGTTGTTGAAAAGATTGATATCCACGGAGATGAGTCAAGTCGTTCTACTGTTTTATCCAAAAGTGGTCAAGTAATGTCAATTATTGTACATAATGACACTCTCTATTGGACTACCATGCAATCAGGCTCTATGTGGTTAACTAAAATAGGAAGTACCGTAAGAGAGGCAAGTCGTATAGACTTACGAGTGCCGGACAATTCGCCAATAACTAAATATATTTTATACGCAAAAGATGAAAAGCTGGTTAGCCAATGTTTACGTGATAATGGAGGATGTAGTCACATCTGTGTTTCCGTCGAAGGCAAAGTAAAATGTTTATGTCCACCTAAACACAAATTGATTGATGGTTATACTTGTGAATTGGAAAGACATTGTGCTCCTTCATTGTTTTCTTGTGACAATGATCGAACCTGTCTGATTCCTGAACTTCGATGTGATCATAGAATTGATTGTCAAGATGGAACTGACGAGATAGGTTGTGGACCTGCTTGTCCTGATGCAGATTTCCGTTGCATGGAAGGTCACTGTATTCCAAGAGCATGGCATTGCGACGGTGTTGGTGACTGTAAAGATCATTCAGATGAAGTTAATTGTACTTTGGATAGATGTGACGAAAATGCATTCCATTGTCCAGAAGGAAAATGTATCGAGAAAAAATGGGTTTGTGATGATTTAAACGATTGCTCTGATGGAAGTGATGAAAAAAATTGTTCATCAAAGGTTTGTGCTTCTTCCAATTTCCAATGTTCTGATGCAAAATGTATTCCAATCAATTGGCGATGTGATGGTGAAACAGATTGCTCAGATGGTGGTGATGAGGTTGACTGTCCCAAAGTACAGTGTGGAGCCGGTCAATTCAAATGTAATTCAGGAACTTGTGTGGATGCTAAAATGGAATGTGACCGACTATTTGATTGTGGTGACCATTCAGATGAGCATTCAGATTGTATCTATAGTTCGGTAACTTGCCCTCCTGATTTATATGGCTGTTCTGACGGTCATTGTATTTATCCAAATGAAAAATGTGATGGTTATAATGATTGTATTAACCAAGAAGACGAAGAAAATTGTCCAGAGCGAGTTGATTGTCCACCTGATCAAGTTCGTTGTGGATCGCCTAATGTTTCAGTTAGCTGCATTCCTCGTAAATGGTTGTGTGACAATGCCAATGATTGTGGAGATTGGTGGGATGAAACAAGCCCTCAATGTACAGCACCAAATCCCGAGACAACAACTGGCAAGCCATGCAGAGATGGAAGTTTCCCTTGTAAATCAGGTGATTGTATTGATTACAGTCAAGTTTGTGACCAAATACCTCATTGTCTTGACCAATCAGACGAAGGTGGCCTTTGTAATGTAGCTTGTCATTACAGTAACGGTAACTGTTCCCATATTTGTCACCCTTCACCATCCGGAGGTAAATGTGACTGTCCACCTGGTTTCTATTTGGATACTGATGGTAAAACATGCCTTGATCTGGATGAATGTGCTCAAGTTGGTTTTTGTTCACAATTTTGTGAAAACTATCCTGGTGGCGCTAAATGTACTTGTGCTGAAGGCTATTATCCAGTCTCTGAAGGCCATAAATGTAAAGCTAATGGTACGGAAGCATCCTTACTTTACATGCTTCCAAATGCAATTAAATCAATCAGTCTTCATACTCAAACTGAGCACTCAATTGTACGAATACGTCCATTAACAATGAAAGGCATGGATTACGACTATTTAAATAGGACCGTTTACTGGATCGACGGAGAAGCAGGAACTATCAATGGTATTCACTATGCAGGTGGACAAGCAGATTTTGAAATAATTTCCAATTTGGAAAGACCAAGTCATCTTTCATGGGATTATATTGGTCAAAATTTTTACTTTGTTGAATCAGATTCAAAAATATCTGTTTGTAATGTCAACAGTAAGCAGTGTGGACTAGTGATCTCAACAGAGTTGAGTAAAATTGACAGTTTTGTGGTTTCTCCTCAAAACCGTGTTATGTTTTGGTCTTCGTGGAGTGCCTCTCATTCAACCACAGACGGAAGAATTGAAAGATGTGAAATGGATGGCCGTAAACGAACCAAAATCATTGCCTTCAATTTAAACAGTCCAAGCGGACTAACAGTTGATCCAGTAATGAAAATGATTTATTGGGTTGACACTAAACAAGAGGAACTGTACAGTGCTAATTTTAAGGGCAAAAATATACACCGACTACTAGATTATAGTTTACTTAAACCTTTATCAATTGGTGTTTTCGAGGATTACATTTACTGGGCAAACACTGGAGCTGATAATTTAATGAAGTGCAATAAATTTACAGGCAAAGCTCGTGTTATTGTTCACCGAGGAAACATTAAAGCTCATGCAATGAAAATCTTTCACGAAGTTCTTCAACAACCAGGTAAGCTTATTAAACATTTTCATTTTAATCAATAATAGAAAGATCAATAATTTTCATTTTACCAATTTATATTTTCAGAACCAAATCCATGTGAAAATGCAAATTGCTCTCATATCTGTGTTTTGAGTGTTAAAAATTATACCTGCATTTGCCCACCTCATTTTAAACTCAGCAAAGATAACCAAACATGTCAAATTGAACGGTCACAACCACAAATTTCTGCGTTCAATAAAGCCTGTGACTCGAACCCTTGTTTAAATGGTGCAACTTGCATTCCGATTCATATTGTTGACTGGGAATGTGAATGTCCACCCGATTTTTTCGGACGCACCTGTGAAACTCGAGCCTCAGATATTAACTTGCCACCTTCATCACACAACTGGATCATAATACTCATTATTTTGGTTATTGTTCTGTTTCTTGTTATCATTATTTACAGAACAGAAAGGTAAAGTTTTAATTTTGTCTGCCTTCTCTCTCTTCCTTATTAATCGATAATTTTCTTATTTCCTTTTCAGATCGCAAAGACTCAAGTTTCTTTCTTCCTATTTTAGGCCTCTTCGATCATCTTCCATCCTTAAACGTTTCAGTGGTGATAAAAAGGTTGCTGTAAGCTTCAAGAATCCTGCTTTTAATAGTAATCTAAAATCTGATTATAAAGATGTGGCAATGGAAAGCGAAGCTTGTGAAGCCATGTTGCCCAGTGAGAAAAGCACTTCTACTACAGGAAGAGGCTTCAGTAATCCGCTTTACGGTCAATATATGGACGACAATGACCAGCGTGTTTTTATCAAAGTATAAATGGAGACAAACGTCCATTTGGTTAAATTTATTTTATCCCATTTATTAGTATCAATTATATGTAGAAAGATCATTTATCAATGTCTGTGATATTTACTGTCCATTGAGAATTTTTTCTCTATACTTTCTGTTTAAATTATTTACCATCTTTATTTGTACCCTTTTTTGTTTCTATCAAATTTTAATTTTAAATAAAAAACAACTTCATTTATATTTAATTCAAATGTATTTCTAGAAGCATTTTGTCCTCACAAACTATCATTCTTTTGGTCATTATCCAAGGTTGATCTAAATGTCCACCAACGGACATCCAGCATAAAGCAAACAGAGGTAATTGACAATTGAAGCTGAATAATAAATGTTGAATAAATGTCCTAAATTGGATCCAATAAGATAATATATTCTGAATAACAAACATTTGACAAGCAACTCAGAGTAAAAAAAAGTTAAAACTGGTAACCTCTATTGATTGATTGTTTGTCAATCAAATTCATTTGGGACCATGAAAGGTAAAAAATCAACATGAAGAAGCTAAACAAAGAGTTACTTATTTTCAAATACAAATTGTGATATTGTTATCCTTCATTGTAAACATAATAATAAATTACTTTGTTAATCATGTTGCCATTTCACTTGACATAGTCCAACCAGTTAACCAGTAAAAGCGTGAACTGAATATAATGTACATTCAATTTTTGCTGGCCGATTGTCAACACAATCAACATTTTCCATTGTAATTTATCTCAATCTAATATGTAATTTAACTTTTATCAAAGATATATATTTAAATAATACATGAATATGTGATTTTGGACAAAAATCATGTTGAAATAATGCTTCTCAGTTTACATATTTATTACCTTGTAATGTAATCTTTTGCTTGTTAACTTTGATCATAACTGAAGGCAAACATTTCTTGGTCCCATTCATTTTATCCCAAAAATGATTATGCATTTGGAGCAACAATTATGTAGCTATTGGTATTTCAAAATGTGCTAATTAATTTGATTTTTGTCTTTGGTTTCGGGTGAATTTGGTGTCTGTTTTTTATATGTAATTTTTATTCATATACACATAATTGTAATAATTTATGTAATCAGTGTAAATCTCAACGTGTTCCAATATTGTGTATAATGTTTCAGGTGTGATTTGAGAAACGATAACAATGTTTAAAATTAATATTATAATAACCAACAAAACAGCAAAAATAATAACGATATCAACGATGACAATGATGATGATCTTGATGGTTAATGGTGATCATTTCAATTGGTCAGCAGAGACAGAGTATTAATTTTGATCAACAGCTTTTCAATTTAATCCAAATTATCCTTTTATTGACTGGGTAAACATGGATTATCTTGTTTCCATTGCTAATATATTAAAATCCCCAAACAGTATAAGAGTTTCCCTCCATTTTATGACTGGTACAAAAGTAAAAGTACATTTTTTGTCTCCATATTACACATTTTTTTCACTCCATCGTCTATCATGTTGGTATTTAGTTTTATCCTAATCCTTCATGATATTATCATAATAAAGTCATCACCATAATCATCATTATCATCACCAGAGTCATCATTATCACCATTTTTCATTTTTCATCTCCTTCCTTCGGTTGCTTCCCTTTGAATATGTCAAGTCTTTTGGCTTAAGTTTGGATTGCTTCTCAAGGTGCATACAGGGAAAGAGCTTGAACAATTTTAGGATCTTGTTTGGATCCTTCCTTAAATTCCTCCAAGGTGAGCTTGTTGTCATGGTTCTGGTGAAGTTACAGAATGAGAAGAAAGAAAGAAAGAAAAGCATTAAAACAAGACAAGAAATATAATGATAGAGTTGAAAATAATGAAAAAATGAAATATACATTAAAAATTGTCATTAAAATGTTTCTGTTTCTCAAGAAACTAGGAAATGGAATTTGGTTTTCCGTTTCCTGCAATTACTTCAGTTAAATCGTTTCAATGAACTAATCATCACCATCTTTATCATTTTCTTAACAATGGCCAGAGTTGAGAAAAAATAGATGAACTTTTCATGTAAAAAGCTAATGCGATGGAAAAAAATTAGAATGAAAATAACTTTGTTATCACGCTATTGGACGAGTTTGGGTCAACCTCAACTATTAATGATGTTGAATCGCTTTACCATTCCAAGCTGTTGCAATAAGTTCAAGACCAATTCAGAGGAAATGAACTATTATCAACATCGATGCAATTTACGACACTATTAATATCAACATCTTCGTGATCAATTTTAATAGCGATATTACTATCAGTATTTTATTGTATTAAAGGCGTTAATTTAAAACATTACTTTACAGTAAATTCCCATTCACTCCGTGATTCTGTTACATTGAGATTTCCATGAATTTGATAACAGATGAACTCAAGATGATATGAATGTATATCACAGATTAAAATGGACGGACTAATTGTTTGAAAAAAGATTACAATTGCTAATGTTTTATTTTTTACAGGAAAATGTCAATATTTTGTCATTCAATCGATTTGTTTTTGTTTTTATCACCATGATGACGATGATTTTCAAGACAACCTGATTCTTGTCTGTTTCAAGTGAAACAACTCATTACCAGAATGAATACTTGATGCTGATAACATTGATAAGGTGACTCTTCACTCGTCTCTATCAACCTTTATTTTAACATCTTTCATAGTTCGTTCATCTTCACTGTTGAAGTGATGAAAAAAGTGATGGAAACATTGAAATTCTGGTTACAAAAATAGCAACTTCAACATTAATGTGACTAAATGTGATTAATAATGATAGAAGTTAAGCTTTCTATTGTCATTTTTGAGTCTCATTTTTACATCTTTTATTCACTTTATTCAGGTTCTCTTGTTGAAAAATGCAATATTTAATCATGCTGAGTGTTTGATTAAATCAGAGGAGCTTCAGAAAAGTTTAAAACTGAAAAGACAATGAAAAAGTTAATAACTGAAAGTTAACTCTCATTTATGATGTATTAGTTTGTTGATTGAATGACATTTATTGATACTTAATGGAGTTGGAAATATTTTTAATGGCAAAACCAGATACTAAATGAACAATTTAAAAGGCAAATTTGTTCAATGAAATGCAAGTTTCTGCAAAAAGTCAGTGAAAAATGTGATATTTGTATGAACAAAATGAATGATTGACAGATTAACAATGTAATAATAGATTAATTACAATCAGTTTTGACACTTTCAGGTTGAAAAGAAAAATGATTCCCTTCAATCAACAATTAACAATGAAAATATTAATTGTTTCAACTGATTGATAATTTCAATATTTTCAAAGTTGAACCAAACGAAGAAACAAAATTTTATCAATTTATATAAATAACTTTGTTATAAATACAAAATTTGCCAAACCAAAACTCATAAACAACTCCCAATGACATTATTAACATCAATCAATTATCATGATTGTGTGAATAATATTAACCACAAAAACAACTGCAAATTGCATCCATTTATGTATCTTCAATTATTTATTGCTATTCAACTATAAATAATGCAACAGCAATCAAGCGAAGGTTTGAAAATCAAAGTTTCCCTAATAAATCATAAAAGTCATGATTAACTTGATCACAATAACAAAAGCACTTTTGAATTTGTCCAGATTTCGTTAACAAAACACTCGAAATGTAAATTGGTTCAATCGTTTCGTTTATTATTAATCATTTTACACCTTATTTGGTTATTTCCTCTTGTTTTGCAGAATCTGGAGAATCTCTTGAAAGTTCATTTTTCTTCAACACTTTTACCTGAAACTTCAATCGGATTAAAAACTAATTGCAGACATCAGAGTTAAATCATGATTTCACTTCATAAGCTGATGAAACTTGTATATTGATTAAACAGTTTGCTTCGTTATTATTTAAGCATTTATTATGTGCTTAAACTAAACCTTTTAAAGCGCTTTCGAAGTCGTTCAGCTTCGAGTTTCTTGTTTCTGATCAAAGTTGAAGTTCATTTTGAAGCTTTTAAAAGTTTATAATTTTAATAACTTTTAGCAAAAATGTCAATTGTTTTGTACTCAAGTTATGAATAGTAAAGTCTTCAAGTTTTACTGTAAGACATGAAATTCAGTTGAAACTTCATGGAAACCCTTTTAGAAACGTTAGTTGAAATTGTACTAAATAAGATTATCTAATGAAATGGAAATGGTTTGCATTTTAAAATAGCTTCAGTTTATCTGAATGTTATCTCTTGAACTTTCAACTTGCAAGATTCAACTGAAATCATCTAAAAGCTAGTATTTTTTGTTGATTCCCTGTTCATCTTGGATTTTTTATTACATCAGATGAAATAGTTAAAAATTTACCTGGAATTAGAAGGAAAAATAATATTCTACTTTTTTTCTGGCAAACCTGAAGTTGGAAAAGAAAAGTTGTTTAATATTTTTCACCCAATGGATAATATTTCAAGTTGAATCCTCTTAAGTACGATCAACTCTATCATTTTATTATTGTATTCATTATTTACTGTATCATCATGATGATCATCAACTATATTTAACCATTGAACAACTGTACAACACATAAAATCTTGTTTTTTGCCTTTTATTATTGTTTATATTAATACATTAACAGATTTATAATGTACTGAACACACATTAATAAATCATAATAATAACTACACAAATATACAAGTTGATGTGTTTATAATTATTTTGAGTCCTACAATTAGTTGATTAAAAGTAAGTTTTGTATGTCAGTTATTAATGATCATTCATATAAACAAGAGGAAAACAAAAACAAAACTCAAGTCTCAATGTTTCTTTGAAAGTGTTCAAGTGAACTGAACAACAATTATCCTTTTATGACTATCATTGCCATCAGCTTCATGATCATCATTAAATTGTATTTTAACAAATTTACTAATCATTACAAAAGTTTTCAACAAATATTGGTAACAATAATATAAATATCATAACAAGTAATGGGTTTGTTTTTGTTTTCATGTTTTTCAACGCAAATTGCTCATTACAAGTTACTGGTTCACTTGAACAGATGAAAGTATACAAAAATGTTCAACTAATAAGATAACGATGAAAAGAAGAGCAACATGATGAAAGTGATGATGAAGATGAAGATGAGAAAGTAGTTAAAGATGAAAGAGAAAGGTTTGCAACAGTAAAAGTCTTTTTTTTCTAGGTAATTGATTTTACTTGCTCATACTTTTTTCTTGATAACTTTCCTATTCCAAACTGTTTTTCCTGCTCTCTCTTCACCTTTTATCCTTTGGACTTTATCTTCCCAGTATCATCAGCATCATGAGCATCTTCTTGATCATTCACGTGACACATTCTGGTACACGGTTTAATGAAGGTAAACGTTATAAGTAACATGGGAATGGTTATAAAATGGTTTGCTTCATTGCAATTTCATCTACTCTTGAGTCTATGTCAAAGTATTTTCTTGTTGGCTTTTGGTGTTATTTTGTTATTATTTTTCATTTTATTTCAACCTTTTCCCCTGTATTAGGAGATGAAGTAAAGGTAGTATTTGAAATGGTTATATCTTGTGCTTGAACAATACAGATAAACTGAAATTAGATTGACAGAATGGGTTGAAAAAGATATTTAAAGATTGAATATTTGAAAGGCAATTCTATCCCAAATGTCTAAGTTTAACTGAATCCAACTTGTTTCATTTCAATTGTTTGGGAAAAATTAAATAGCGTCAAATGTGACAAAAGCTAATATTTGATTCTCAATTGTTTTCTTAAATTGTCAGTTCAATATGTAAATACAGATTGATTTGAAGTGTCCCATGAAATACCGATTGTTGGGTTTGATTTGCATTTTGGGATATAAATTGAACTTGTGATTTATGATGATTTTGACGACTAGAGTTTATTCAATCCTAACAAATATTAAAATAACTATCATGTAATTAGATGAACATGATTACCTCGAGATAGGAGTTTCAAGTCTTGGATAACTGTATAACGAGGTTCAATTTAGCTGATGTAACCAACATCATCAATCCAACAGCATTAATCATAAGGGTTGATGATATAATTTGATTTGGTAATAAACATTTAACATTTGAAATGGACAACAATTATAACTCAACTTGAATTGTTAGGCTTTTGTGCATGCAAAGCAGTCTTTCGGATAAATAGATTATTGTTGATGATATTTATCTGATATGATCAATGATAAGATGATCAGTTTCAAGATGGATGATGTTTCAAGGATGAAGGTATTTAAGAGGATAAAAAATTGCCAAATCAAAGTTAATAATGTAAAGGGATTTCAATTTAAAGCTAAATAACAAAATAACCTTAACATTCACAATTGAAAAGGTTTACCTTCAAACAACATCTTATATTAAGGATAATATGTAAAATTATTATTGACTTCATTCTTGGCTAGTAAGGCAAGCTGATGAGTTTCAATAATAGGAACCAAAAAGAACCAGAAAAGAACCAGAAAACCTTGGTTAAGCCATTTTTTCTTGTTGATTTTTCCATTCTTTTCATTTTTTTCATTTCATTTCCAGGTTTCCATAGAAACTTTCAACCATTGTTTGGATAAAATTTTCAATGCTCATGAAATGTTAACAATCTTAAACCGTTTCTCATTGAAAGCTCATGCTTTTGACCATTGAAAAGGTTAGCTTAATAGGCTCAAGATAAGGATTGAATATGGATTGATTGAAGAATGATTAATGGTGGAATCAAGATGGATAATTGAAATAATGGATTACAAATTACTTGATGGCAATGTTTGAAAATTGATTGAAAATCTTGAGAAATTTAATCTCTTTTATCATCAAAATTGAAATTGAAAATGTAAACTTGCAATAGATTTGGTTAAGAAACAAAAAATGGTTCAACATTTTGTCTCCTTCCAATCAATAGATAGTTTTATGTTATATCATTTTGTTTACCTTTACCTTCAAATATTACAATTGTATTAATATTTTTTACTTGAATAAAAAAGTAAATATTGTTCAAGAATGCTTTCAATTTGCTGAATTTCTGTCTTGTTTACCTTTACAGTGATTTACAAAACATTTGTACACATTTACTGTTAATATCATTAGTAGGAAAAGTCATTTTGAGTTCAAATAAAAGTGAAACCTATCGGACAAATTAGCCTTATTGACATGTTTAGCTTTGAATCATTATACAAAAACAATTGAACCATTATCAGTTCAATGTGGATGATAATATCAACACAAGCCATCATCAGACTACTGTAATTCAATGCTGTCTATAAATGGTAGCTTAAACATGGATCAACATGGCATATCATTTACTTGTCCTGTACAGAATGGTTTTGGTTTGGCTTTTTTTTAAAAATTGATGTGAAAATGACAATTGGTGATGGCTGGTGAATTAACAACTTAACCAACTGTTAACACAAGTATTAATAATTAAAGGACAAATTAACTCACCTTATCTAGTTGTTCAAATATACGGTCAACTCTTTCCTTTGGAGTTTCTTCTGGTTCTTCTGGCTCTTCTGGTTCTTCTGCCCCTTCTGCTCCTTCTACCCCTTTTACTCCTTCTTTTCCTTCTTTCTTTTCTTTCTTTTCTTTCTTCTCTTTCTTCTCTTTCTCTTTCTTTTCTTTTCCCTCTTTTGCTTCTTTTGCTTCTTTTGCTTTCCCTCCTTCTCCTCCGTCTTCACCTTCTTCACCTTCTGTCTCCTCGTCTGTTTCCAGCTTATCCTTTAGCTTATTCCCAAGCATGGCATAAATGGCATCAACTATATTATACATTTCCTCTCGAGTAATAAAACCATCATTATCAACATCATACAGTTTAAAAGCCCCTGCAAAATTAAGGTAAAAAAGTGAGTTAATAATTAAAATATACTTGAATTTCATTTCATTTTTTGCTTTTCCCTCCTTCCCTTACATAACCGTTATTTCCATAGTTACCATAATGTCTATTCAATGGCGGTGGTTACTGGTTTTTTATCATGTTTTTTTGCTTTGTAAGTATCTTTTGTTTTATTTTCCCTTATGATAATTATTGTTAATATAATTACTTACAGACTAGTTTCTCTTCAAGATTACCACGAGATGTCACAGAAAGTGCTTTGATAAACTCTTCAAATTCAATTGATCCATCCTGGGAATTGGTGTTCATAATGACAAAAAAAGGAAACGTGAAAAAAACAAGAGTTAACGAAAATGGATAATCAGGAAACAAAATCTTCTTCAACATTGTGTTTTACGAGAAAATTCAGTGAATATTATGAATTATTATGAAAGCTGGAGATGAAGTCGATGTTAAAGGTGGTGAATGTCTGCTGATGACTTGTTATAATCATGAGGGAAGATAGACTTGTCATCTTTTTACCTTTCAACTTGAACTGAATCAACTTATTCACTAATGGACCTGATGAAACTGCCTTTGTTGATACTCATTCCCTGATGGATTTCAATTTAATTGACCTGTAAACTGGTTGTATTTTTTGAAGTAACAATCATAATAATGACGCTGATTTAGGTCTAAAGTAGAGTCGGGGTCAATTGTTCATTTATAATGAATGTGTGATAAAAAAGTCTAGGAACTAAAAATTGTTGATCAGCAATTAAAAAAATATCGAAATTAATTTATTCTGTTAATGTGTTTTTATGCACTTCCATTGACGATTAATTGATTACTTTGATTTTTTATTACAATTCCACCTTCTTTTCATTGCTATTCATCCAACACTCGATTTAATGCATAAATGAAAATTGATAAACTTACCTTGTTCTCATCAAAAACCCTGAAAACGAGTGATGCAAATCTCGATGGATCTCCATGAGGAAAGAATTGTTTGTAAATACGAAAAAATCCCTTCATAATGGCAATAAAAAAGATGGACAAAGAAAACATGAAATTAACTTTAGTTGTCAACTTAATCCGAAATTTAAATAGTTAAAATTGTATAACCAGATTAAATAGGATAACTGAGATGATGGAACATCTAAATTGAAGAGAGAAAAAGTTCAACTAATTTCCTGATGCTAATAATAATGTAAAGGTTGAAAGTTGCATTAACTGTGTAGATTTAAAATTTTGTGCCCAAAATTAAGTGTGATTAGTGAAAATGATTTTAGCATGATTCATGAATTAATCTGCATCTCTGTAAACACTGGCTGAGTTATGAGCACATTAACAAGTAACTAAGTGAACACATGCAACAATCTTATCAAATGAATCAAGATTATAATGAAAATGTTGGATAAACTTGATGACATTTTTGATGGTCAATTCGGTAAAAGGTTGAGTTACCATTGGAAAACACTTAATCTTTGACCAAAGAAGGATGGAAAGTGTTTCAATTTACTGAGATTATCATTGTTCATGGTTACTGTTTTCATGATGATAAGTAGATGTCAAAAATGGTTAAGATACTCAGAATCGGGTTTCCATGAAGCAAGGGAAAGAAAAGGCTGTCAGAAAGAGACAGATAAATTGGTGTAAGATGATGGCAAGAGTGTATAAATAAATGATCACTTCGGGTGGAGATGATATTTTACATGATATTCTCAACATTATGTGTATGTCAACATGCAACATTGAAACAACTTTTTTTTGCTTCCCTGTGAATCTAATAAAACATCTTTACATGTAAACTTCAACAGCAACAACAACATGATAAGCAAGACTACCTTTTAACATATGAATAAGTTAACATTCATGTCAACAGGAAGGCTTTCATTTGGTTGGCAAATTATAACTTTATCATCATCTAACTAAGATGATGTTTATGTTTACCATGATGGTTATCATGATGGTAATCAAGAGGAGAGAAGAAGGTAAAAAATGAAAAAAAGTGTTCGAGTGCTGAATAGGAAAAGAAACGTTCCAATGATATTGAGACAATTTTCACTCCAAGCAACTCCCAATCCTTACTTTAAAATAACCTTTTGGTTAACCTTTGGTTATACAATATTTATCTGTAATTATTATTGAAAATGATTAATCGTTTACCTGTTCAGTTAAATGGCCATTTGGACAATCCTTTCTGAATCCTTTGTACCTGAAAGAGTTTCAAATAAACTGATTAGAGTTTAAATTGTCACAATCATTCAAGTTATCAACTTGATTGGATTAAAAATAGTTTGCTATATTATTAGCTTATAAAGGAGTAACTTCATTTTGATAATATCATCATTATTATCATCTTATGATTGTTCACATTTATCGATTCAATGATCAGATTAGTTGAAAGATGGACAGGAATCAGAATTATTATTATGAAGATAAAGAATGATGATCAACTTGATGTTTCTTATTAAATGGTTTGACTTGAATTAACAATAATTGCTCTTCATAAATCAAATGATGGAAACGAGATTTACTTTTAATCGTTGGTTACTAATGTTTAACCATTTACTGACATTTGAATCAATTGAAATTTGAAATTCAATTTCGAGGTAAAATTGAGTCCATTTTTGTTCAACTGACCGTTCGAAAATGATTATTAAACTCATTGGAATGAAAATGATTGGACAAGAAAAAAGGAAAAAAGGATTTTTTCAAAATAAAATTATCCAAGTTTGATTTACAAAGTTAATCCAGTTTGAAACATTGAGTTGAATCAGTGATTAATTTAATTGAAGAATAACAATTTTGAATTTAACATTAAACCTTGAGAATGTAATAACTCCATGATTATACTGTTTATGATGATTATAATGACGGTGATGATGATTGTTATAATGAGTTGAGAATGTCTAATTAGCTTAATAAACTAAATGAATAGGCGATTCAATCGTGCAATCAAAGTTTAATTACGTGGCCATTTGAACGTGATTAGTTTAACTAATTGCTGTGAAAAGTTGAACACAAATGAAAACAGTTTTTATTCACCATTTTATTATACTTTTATGTCCATAAATTGAGTCTGGATGAAATTATCTTTGCATCCAGAACCGAAAATAGTTGAAACTAATTAAAATGAAACCAACACACAAGGCTCAGTGATCATTACAGGCTAACAATCAATAACTTTATTTACAATTAAACTGATAGCTTGAAGGTGAACCAACATCAACATTATGATCAACTGTAATTGATTTCAGGTGAGAATAGTTTGTTAATTGCATAAAATTGGATTGACGTTTCATTTCATTTGATCCATTGAGATATTAAATTTGTGCAAATTAAATGTTTATTCAGTTGAAGATGAATTCAGTTTCAAGTTGAGAAACATTATTGATTGTCATTCTTGGCAAGGTAATGCCAAATGAGAAAACAATTGTTCAGGGGAAGATTCAGAAGAAGTCAAAATACATTTCCATGAATAAGATTGAGATTGAAATTGAAAGAAACAACAAAATGTAAAAACAAAAATTGAAATATCAAGCAATGACAAAAAATGTCAATTGAACATTTCAAATTGAAATGGCAAAAGTTAATTTTATATTCACAATTTTCTCATCACAATTGCCAATCTGATTAAGTTAAATACATTAATAATACTAATCATTGTTTATTTGCTCGTTCCAATTCAGGAAATTGATTATCAAATTGAAATTTTCAGGTGTTTTTGAATGATTTTGATTGCTTTATTTTCAAGTTTAATCAACCATTACAAATGATTGTTAGCATTTGAACTTTGCATTGAAAAACAGATTCATGGTTGATCAGATCAACACAAAAAGTTGACCAGAATCGTTGGAACATTCTTTAAAATTCCTTTGATCGATCATATTTCCATGCTTATTCAATAATCTGTCGATTCTTTCCATTGGAATTATTAGATTTAAACTTTCTATTTATGGACAGTAAGAATCGTTCAAAGACACTTAAAATGCTCTTAAATTATTGGTCAAAGTCGAGAGCAAATTGAATAATTTATCAGTTCATTCTGTCGATTTTTTGTCAAATGAAAATAAATCTGTTAACCTTTCATCAAATCTATCATTTCAAATTGCCTAATTTATCAATATAAAACTGTTCATGCAAAATGAACATTGAAGCTTATAAAATATTCAAATCAATTACAGAAATTGTAGTTCTGACGAAATCAAAATTGAAATTTTGAAGACTAAGTTCATTAAAAGGAGTTTCAGATTTAGTCCAAGTTTGATCAACTGGAATAACATTTGAATATGAATGTTTTTAATGTAAAATAATAAATGTAATTGAATATCTAATTGATGATATTTTGAAATTTTTACAACAAAATATTTGTTTATTGATCTCATTGAGTAACTCTCATCTTATTTGATATTAATGGGATTTTGCTTGAATCGAGAAATCATTTTATCATGCAAATCAAATGAAGTGCAAATAATTCTGTCTCTGAGTATTTAAATCTGAACAGTAAGATAGAAAAGATGTAATTCCAAGTTGCTTTGTAATCTTCATTGGAACTCGAGTTTTAAGTAAAAAATTTAAGATCGACTGTGAATAATTATAAGAATTATGAAACAATATCAGATTAGCTTACAAAATGGATATTAAGGAAGGATTTGGATTTAAATGTTAATCCCGGTTAATGCTTACAATAAGCTAATAAACTTGTGTTAAAGCATAAGATTGAGATTCAAGTGTTTATTGAAAATTATGAGACATTTTCCGGACAAGTCGAGTCGAGTTTACTGAAAATGATTGAATATTGATTGATTAGTTTATACCCTGTAACTCAATTGAATTGATTCTTGAGTTTTTCAGGTTTCTTTAGGTGAAATGAAATGATGAAAGGAAAAAAAATCTGGTTGAATGAGGCAAAAAAGGACGGAATTGACTGAAGGAAAAGTATGAAAGTTTCCCTTTTTCAGGGAATGCAGGCAAAAATGAATGAAAAGATGTAACAATAATGCGATGATGAAGAGGAAGATGAAAAGGTACTCATCTTCATGTTGGTAAGTTGAAGATGTTTCATTTTAGCCTGATAATAACATAAAAGATAATAATTATTCATGTGAGTGAACTTCAATGTTTACAATGAGCTGGTTCAACATTATCATGTTAATAATAATCTGGATGGAGTGAACATTGAGAACAATTGAAAATCAAATTTAAATGTCACATTTGAAGTCAGGTTAACACTGAAAAGCTATCAAAACATATTTAAACTCAGGATACATGATCGATTGGGTGAACTGACAGATGTTGAGTGAAAACTCATAAAACTATAAATTGTAATGAAAAAAGTGAATCAAATTGCAATTGAAAAATATTTTGTTCGTTTTCTGTGTTTTTGCATTTTCGTGTTTGCAATCGTTCAACTTGTTAAGAATTGTCAAGACGTTGAGTTTCCGTTTCTTTTTTCAAGATTATGAGTATTATCATGATGATGATGATGATAATGTTAGTTTAACAGATCAGGAAGTATCACTTGATGGAGGAAGATTGATTCAGAATGAAAATATATCATGAAATTGAAGCGAAATGAAAGTCTTGAAAAACAAAACAAAATAACAAGGAAAATAACAAGAAAAGGAAACAAGATTAAGTTTATTTTACCATGAAAATGATTTAGTAAAGTTCAGTGGTGTTTGCATTTAAAGAGGTTGAAAAGGAGGAAGACAGGGAAGATGATGAATGAAGATGAGAAAAAGTAAATTAATTGAGATTCGTTTCTCATTATTTTCCCTTCATTCCCTTCAAGTGTATTTCAATACAAAAAATTGCTTTTCACTCAACAATATTTTCCTTCAATATTTTTAATATTTAATAATTGCCACCTTTTAAAGGTTTTAATCAACATTTTCATCTCTTAATTAAAATTAATCTCCATCAACTGGCATCATTATAATGAAGGTAAAGCAAATAAATGTTGCCAATGAAAACAATGGCGAACCCTGAGGCTTGAAACAATTGAATAATATCACAATGATAAATATTAATTTAACTTTTAGTCTTTTCTGTTGACCACTTTTACAAATGAAAAAACCATTTCAACAGTTATTTTAATCCTGAGGGTTGAAGTGAGTTTTTTTCAATTCAATTTTTCTGGTAAAGATTGGGTTTAAGTCTCAATTGAAATTTGAAAGTTGAAGCATATTTAGCAAATTGAAATGAAAACGCTTCACACCTAAAACTGGCTTTTACCAGGATTGATAGGGAAAGTTGTGATGAGTGTTCAACTTATCAAAAGCATATTTTCCTGTTGAATTGCAGTTTCCAATTGAGCTTAAAGTTTATTTATTTACCAGAAAAAATCCTATTGAAAGGCTTTACTTGTTTTAAACCTAAAGTGTTGAGTATGAGATTAGGTTTAGTATCGACTTTGTACTCAAAAAGGGCCAAAAAAAGTTTTATTTTTACGCTCATTATGATGATGATAATAGTCTAGAGTTCAATGGTTTGGGTTCATAATAGCTAAACTCAAAAGAGCTAAGTCTTAAAGGGATAATGTAAAACAGCTAAAGACAATAATAGCTAACATTCATCTGAGCTTGCGCAAATGAAAAGTTTTGTCAATAGATGGCGCTGCTGAAAAGTACGTTTGATCGGAATTTTATCATGAACATAACTCAGTAACTAGAATGAATTTTTTTATTATTTTTTCAATTTTATTACATAGGCATCATGAAATATTAATTGCATACATAAGAGCAGAATTTGCACCACAGATAGTGGCCTAAACATCGCACCAAGTTTCAAGCTAAATCTGAAAGTTTTGTATAAAATTTAACTCGATCTAAAAATTCCATAGGTGTAATTATTCCATTGTCATAGTCTGATGTTAGACTCATGATTCTTGCATTAATATCTTTGTATTTATTCATTCCTTTGGTAACTTTTGCGCCGTGAGCCGCCATCATGAGTGTAACCTCGAAATTGTTTTGTTGTTTAATCAAATTCTCAATGAATATCCAGAGGTTTGCATGATTCTTTCCCACAGCTCGATTGAATCCACCATGCCAGCCTTCAACATGGTTATTTGTTCTGGGGTCTGTGTCATTAAAATGATTCCAAATATCCATAGGAAATCTTGAATCATTGCATAGATATGTCTCTTCAAAATATTCAAAGAAACCCACCATTGCATCGTCATCGGGTGCATCCATGAGTATCTGGTCATAACAGGCCCTTATATCTCTAGTTTTCATGAAAGGCAATGCTGAAATCCTTTTCACTGCATTTTTCACGCCATCCGATTCTTCATCCTTGTATCTGTTAACTAGTCCGTGCTTGCCAATATTCCTCCATAGGCTTTGTCCAAAGTGAAATAGGCAGCATTTAATTTCACACCGTGGAAAAGTTAGCTTTATCGCTTTGATTGCAGCGATCTCGAAATCAGTTGTGAACTTGCCAGGGTTCCAAACCAAATTCAATCCATTGCATAGATCTTGTATTGCACGAAAAAGATCAATGTAAATGCATGTTGCAGCACTTGGCATTAGTGCATACACCATAGGAACCATAATACCATTTTTCATTATATGCAATGTATATAACGAATGAAACAGAGTGGGAACACTTTTGAAGGTTCCATCTGCATAGATGTGATCAGATGAACAAAGATGGTGCAAAAAGTCATCAGTTGTGAATAGTTGTATTGAGCCACCACCTCTGTAAAATTTCCCACTTGCACAATCTTTCAGAGCATCAGGCACATTGATTTCTTCAATCGATTTTGGTAAAGGAGGGAATCTTGCACCACGAGCACGAGAAATGGTATTTTTTAGCTGTATGAAAGTTCTGAGTGATGCAACCACCTCCTCTTTCGGCTGCGAAGCTGCATTGATAACTTCCATGGTTGCCTCTTGAAATGTATCTTTTAAGTTGCAAAAATGTTGTTGAGTTGCAATTGTTTTTGCAATGTTTCTTTGCTTCCGTTGGATCACATCTGTTGTATCAGGCTCATGATTATGTTCTGTTTTTGCAGAAATTGCATCGTTGAGCAAAGTAACTTTGCCTGGACAGCTTTCATGCAAGCATCTCCAATAACTTTTTTCATTAATTTGTCTCTTTTTCCTATGCACATAATTATTTAAACATAATAAATTTCCACCTTTGTTTGATTTGATGAATGTGTATGAGGACATGATGAATTGAAATTGGTGATAAAAACACTAAAAAAGTAGCCAAAAATGTGTCAAAGTTTGAGCAAGTTCAAGTTGAAATGATGCTAATCAGTTTTATTGAAATTATTTAATCAGTTTAAATTTGAAACACCTAAATAGTTTAAATAGCTTAAATTGTCTTTAGCTGTTTTGGACTTGGCTGTTTTGGGCTTAGCCATTTTAGATTAGCTCTTTTGGGGCTTTACCAGTTCAATAATTAAATTATCAAATGTCTGGTAAAAGAAGGTTTTTAGGTGAAGTTGGAAAGCATGAAAATGGTTGTTACAATTATTATTGTTTTTTATCATTAAAGTGAAAACAATTAACAAAGAAAAGGGTTCATCATGTATTTTCATGTGAAGTGATGATGATTAGTTGATCCTCATAGTTACGATTGAAAAGCGTCAACAAAACAACACTTTTGAATAATTAAAGACACGCAATTTAATAACTCTATTATAACCATTTTGCATTATTTCATCGGCCTTTCATTAATTTTAATTATTGCATTTCTTCGACAATAAACAGCTAATCATTTAATGAAAGCAGCTTTGTAAATGATAGTGTAATGTGTGAAATAATTGATTGACCAGAAAACAATTAACAATAGTATTGATTAATGAAAAGTAAATAATGTTAATACACTTGAACATGCAATTATCAGCTATTGAATTATGAAGTTTCATCTGGATGATCAAATGTGCTCAACAATACATCAAGAATTTAATAATTGGCAAATTTTGAGGCAACTCAACAAGTCTGGAAATATTGAAATATTGAAAAAGCTGATTCTCATTGAAATGCACATTGAATAAAATGTTAGTATCGATTGAATGTCAATAAGTGAAAGAAAATATCAATTTTTGTTCAATGCAAATGTTGGCAAAAGTGGATTATGTTGAAAGGTATTATCAAAGGTGAGAAATGAAAATACCTTGAGGTTATTTTATATGCATTAAGATGCAATTTAGCATCACTTTTTCATCTCCATCTTCAATTGTAGCTCAGCTTTTCTTTGGAACCCAAAAAAATGAGAAATATAAATATACACATTTATGGATATAAATATGAACCTCTCACTCCCAGTTGAACCTTGAAACTGTCTGATTCATTCTGTTTACCCTTTGATTTGTAAAGAAAATAAAAGCTAAACCTTTTCAAGGGAAGCAAAAAAATTAAGATGAAGATGGTGAAGATGATGTAAATGATGGCGATATCAGGCATTTTATGAGAATAAGTAAAAATGAATAAACAGACAAAAAAAGGTAAAAAAAATAATGAACTGAAGGAAATGTTGCAGGTAAAAAGCAACTCAAGTAGCAATGGCAACTCATGCGTATTATTATCTTTTCATATTCATCACCATCTTCATTATCATCATTCCCAGGTCAGCAGGTAACCTGTATTAATGGTTCATTGATTTCACCTGATTCAAGTTTTCAACCAAATTCACTTAACTAGTCAAAATGTTGAAAGTTGATCATTAATATTTCACATTGAATGGCAAAATATTTTCATTTCTGGTTTTGACCTTTTTTTTGGTTAAAATGTTGAAGGTGAAAATTGGTTAATTTTAAAGTGCCTTTTGTGGCTTATTGCTTTATTTGTTTACCTTTATAGCAACATCATTAGCACCAACTCAGAGTAATATTAGCATGATAAATCAGGTGAAAATGATAATTGTGCATTTTCACTGACATTAAAAAGGGAACCTTTAGCTTGACAAAAACAAGACTGTGAATGATGAGAGGTAAAAAGGTAAAAATAGGAACAGACAAAGACAGGTAAAGAAAGCTGAAAAATAGTAAAAAAAGGTTATCTTTTTCAGTAATCGATATATATATTTTAGTCTAAGGTGACAGGCAGATGGATTTTGTATTGAAATGCATTTTCAAAACCATTTATCAACATGTTTTATATATACTTTTGCACCTATTATTATCATTATCAATCAATCCTTTCATCATATCTGGTAACCTGTTAACCTTTGGTTTAGCTTATGGTCAAGGGAACACAAAAAACAACAACAATAATTGAATAATAATCATCAATTTAAAGGCTAACCAAAGTCAAAGATTGCTACAGTTGTGATTTGGTCAAATTTTGATTTTACATTGAACATGAAAAGTATGGAAACACACAGAAACATAATCAGTATCAATGGATTGTGGCCACAAATTTTGGCTTCACTCGTCAACTCGTCGTTATCTGTCTTCTGGTGACCTCAACTCCCTGAATGGTTATAAATCACCTTTATAAATCCAGTTTTTCACTCCCTTTCACTCCGAGCTACCTTTACCATTATTATCATGTTCACCTTAATATGACACATTTCATTGTTTTTTGACACTTTTTTCTGTGTTTGTGTCTTTTATGCCTTTTTTTGAAACCATTTTACCACCAAAAATCACCCAACTTGTCAACTTTATTTGTACATTCAGTGGTTGCTGTTGTTGAAGTAAAAAATAATGTTTACTCTTGAAAGCAAAATGCATCTTTTCATCTGAGGTTTGGTTAAACTGATTTGTCTCTTTGATCATTGAATCTGTGGAGTTGATATCAATTGCAATCAATATTGTGTTTTGTGTGTGGTTAAAGGATTTCATTTTGACTCTCATTGCCATTATCAATTTGATTAATGTCTAGCAAAAAGTCCATTAATTAACTAGGAAAAAAGGTGACTTTGAGTAAATTGTTGTTATTATTTTTGACACATTTCTTGAAGATGAGTGAATGGTTAAGGATGCTCATGTAAGATGATGAGACAAGAGGGATCAGGGATGAAGATGGAACAATAAAGATGATGATAATGAAGAAGATGATTGTAATCATAATTGCTATCATCACCTGAACTGGCAGAAACAATTAAAGGATCAAATGGGAGGAAAAGTGAGATGAGATATAAATAAACTTACCATTCTCTTATTTCCTTATCCGTGACTGATTCAGTTAACATGGAAATGATCATGATCATGATGGAAACAATGATGAGGATGAGAAGCAAGAAAAAAAAGAGATAAAATAAGAATCATTGAGCTTTATGATGCGTTTTTGGGTTCATTTCATAGTTTCACTGATTCGGGTTAATCAAAGTAAATTGTATATTAACCATGAAATTGCTTTCGGCTAATTCAATGCTAACAAATGATTAAAGGTAAAAGGTGATTTACAATAAAATAATGTTTAACCCAATAAAACATCAGACAACATTGAAAACCATTTTGCTTATAAATCGATCATTATTTTGGAGGAAAAAATTGAAAAGCTTATTAATTTGAATAATTTACACAATTAACATTATGGTAATGCTTTTGTTTAAGCTGGTGAACATTAGTTTGCATATTTATTCATCAATGGCCAGAATAAATTATTCAATGAAAAGGGTTGTAAGAAGGCTAAGGAGTGTTTATTGTTGCCAATGATTGTAATTGAAAGTTAAATCAATGTTTACATCTTTTCTCTGGTTTTCTTGGTTTCTCTTTGTATTTGCATTTGTTTGATTGAAATGGTTTATGATTAAAGGAGTTGATCAGTTTTTACTTATTTGATTGTTCACTATTATATCAACAATTGAGTTTACTATTAAAGGTTATAAAATGGAAAAGCAAATCAAATGTAAATGTGTTGGTATAATGAAGAGGTAATCATTATCATACAGTTAACTGTTTAGATGAATTGATTGTGATCATGATGGTCATTGGGATGAAATTGATTTAAGGAAATCTATTGCTTTGGAAGATCCTTTAAAGTGGAAATTTGATTAAAAGATGAACAATTCATTGATTTGTTCACTAAATTTGGCCATAAATTTAGCTTTGCGTGCTTCACAAATATCCTCATCACTAACCCTTTCAGTTTTGTTGAAACAAAATAAAGGAAGGTTCATGTAATAACATTAATTGTTTACTAACGATCGATAGTTGCTTTGATCATTTTTACAACAATTTACTGTTACAATCAACATGTTGTTTCATCCTCTACATCGTTATCAACATCATTCATCACTCAGCTGAATTAACCAGTAACATGGTAAAGCCATATGAGTTTAACAATATATTTAACTGGAAACATTAATGTTTAAATCATCCTTTTATATCATTTTATTAATAACAGTTATTCAAAGTCAATCAAAATCTTAACTGTTTCGATAGCGAATGTTGAATCTCCATTGAATTGCGAATGATTTAAATTGAAATTTGATTGCTAATGAGATGTTAACCAATTTGTATGCGAACATTTAAATTGTAAATTGTAACACTTCAGTCAAATTACATTGAACTAGTCTATTGAAGCATTGATTTCTGGTTAACCATGTTTGATCGTGTTTAATCATGACTTATCATGTTTAACTGTTTCTAAATTCAGTGTCAATTAATCACTCCTGGATATTTTTTGATCAACAATCACAATAAACAATAAAATGACAAGTGATTACAATCCTGTCTATGAAAGTTTATCCTTTCAAAGTGAATGAGTTTAGATGAAATTTGATATTATATTGTCATAACTTTCAAGAGTTTTACTCAAGCCTAGGTTAAATTTTCAGGTAACAATAGGAAGAAACCCAAAAATTTTGTCGACTAAATTGAGTAATGACATTTAATTGTAATTAGTTATTACTTGACAAATTGTTGGTTTACATAGAAGTCACGTTGATAACATTTAACTTCAATACTTTTAATTTCTTGCATTATTTATTGATTATTGTTCAATAATTTGCTTCATTATTATTATCAATAACCAGAAGATGCTTCTAATAGACATTTTTTCAATCCAACAACATACAAGGATAAAGGGGATAAGCACACAAAAAGAGTCAACAATAGAAGCACGTTTTCTGGTTTAGTAATGAAAATAATAATTCAGTTATTAATATGTTATTATCATGGTGATTAAATTGTTAATACTCACAATAAGTTTCTTTGGTAAGCTTGTAAACAGCATCATTACTTAATTTGCTATTCTTCTTGCCCATTGATTACAAGTTGTTTTGTTTTTTGATGGACACTATTGCTGTTCACAGTTGATGTATTGGATTGAAAAGTGGATTTGAAAATTGATGATTTGATTGTTAACACAAGTAAAATATTGATAATTTGATTAACAACATAAACACTGAATATACAGGAACAATGGGTTTATAATGAACAGATGATATTAAAATAATAAGTTAATTAAAGGAGTTAAAATATGAATAGGTTATTTTGGCTCGGTTCAACTGGTAGTTATTGTTATTGTGGTTCACAATGGTGATGATGATAATAGTAACGGTAATGTTGATGAAGGTAATATTTGATTAATGATTATTAACAATTGATAATTTGAAGCCATTTAAGTCTGCATATTTGGTTGAACAATATATATTAGATTGATTGTAATAATCATGTTGCAGTTGAAACAGAAAATAAATGAAACTGTTTAAACGATTTAGGTGTAAAAACTGTACAAAAAATAGCCTCAATTGTTGGTGTAGATGCTGTTTAATGGTTGACAAAAACAAGTCGCAAACCAGTTGTTAATGTGTTGTGATTAACCGTTGGTCTTGTTATAACAACTCACAGTTGAATCAAACTGAGTGATGATAATCATTGATCAATAAATGGTAATAAGAATAGATATAAATTAACAATATTTTTGTTAGACTAAACAACACAAAAAGAGAGCAGAAAGAGATAGAAAGGGGTAGAAAGAGTGGGAGTTGAGGTAGAAAAGGAGATGAAAAATAGGCCTGAAGATGGCGTTATCTCGATAAATAATACGAGACTGAAAACATGTGATATCAACGTAAACCCAACTTTTACTGTTTAGTAGAAATAATTTGTTGCATTCAACTCCAACTTTCTCTTCTTTACTCACTTACTGTGTGTCACCCTTTGCTTCTTCATCATCACTATCATCAGCATGATCATCATGGTCTTCATCTTTTACTCCCTTCAGTTTATCTGTTCGCCATTCATTGCTCAAACTCCAGTGTTTTGGATACCAACCCAAAGGCTTTACCTTAACTTATTGGACAATAATCAATCGGAAAATCTAATTTTTGCGTCATTTCTATTTCTTAGTAACGTTCAACATTCACTTTACCATGCTAGTGGAGAGACCAATACTTGAAGATAACCGTCACAGATAAGATATGGCTAGACCTTCAAGAAATGTCCATGTCGTAAGCAATTTGAGACCAGTCAAGACTATCAACCCCATAAATTGATTTCTAGATTTCAATCTATTATTGAATGATGAATGGATTGAGAAATGTTCGTCAGCATGACAATTTTATCAACTTGGAGTTTTATTTATCTTTCATCTTATTAGAGGATTGAGGATACCGGAATGGAAAACACTCCATTCAAATAGCAAATCAAAATAAATACACTCGACTCGAGTGTAGTCTTTCAAATCAATTGTGAATCTAATTTTTGATGAATTAGAAATTAGATTTATATGATATAAGAGTTGCACTGGAAATTAGGTAGATTTTGATGAAGATTGTTCAGTAACAGCATTAAATTACAATTGATGCAAAAAACTTTTGCAAGGCTAAAAATTGAACGACAATTAATCGACAATGATTTTCCGTAGTTTCTACAGTCACCCAATTCTTATCATTGTAAAAAAATATTTTTTGTATAAATGATTGTCATTGAATTGGTTGCTGGGTTTTTGACAAATTTTAGCATCTTGTGAGGGATTTAAAATAATTCAAGATTTTCTTCTTTTATTTCATTATATTTTCCATGTTAATATCACATTCCATTTTTACAAAGCTTTTCATTTGAATGCAGTTGCTTTGAACTTTGAAAAGCTCCAATCTATTGAGTGTCTGCCTATTTTGATTTGCTAACGATTAGCCGAAATTGAACAAATTTTTAGGTTCATGGTATTTTATATTTTATATTAGTTGGTAATTTTGTTAGGTTTGGTTTAAGGTTCTTTTTTTCACTCTTCAATCAAATATCTTTATTCATTCTATTTGTTTCCTTTTTTAAATTGCGGCCGGTATGAAATTTGGTTTCACTTCCTGGGAATTCAATTAAATTAAGTTAAATAGGTTGTTGTTTTACCTTATTTTTCTGATGATGTCTTTTGGTAAAATGTCAACTGCGTTTCATTTTGCATTTAGCTTTAATTGAGATGTTAAAGTAGCTTTGTATTGTTTTTAAGCAAGCATTTGTGTAGATTTTCAGGGAAATTTTTGATAAGTTCAATGTTATCTATGACTTCCATCTGTTTCAGAGAATTTAAATTTTCAGAAATTCTCAGATTAAGCAAGTATAAAGTATAAATTTATTTGAATTGTGGTGTTTTATACATTCTTTGGGAGATTTTTATAATTTTATTTTTTGGCTTGTTTTGTTTTCTGTTATTGCGTTTTCTGAGTTCAAAGGCTTTCTTATCCTCTACTGAATATTGAGTGAGTGAAGCTTACCTTTGGGTTACATGAAAAAATTTATATTGATTTGGGTAACATTGGGGGTTTTGGCACTTTAGAGGCAGCTTGCTTAGAAACTATTGTGACAAAAATTTGACAAATTAAATTTGAATTGGCTTTGAATGAGTGTTTCATGTTTACACTTGAATGGATTAATTATTGAACATTTCAATTGTTTTCCTTCACTTTATCACAGACTGTGATTCATAGAATTGAAAATACTCGATACAAAGAACAAATTCTTTCAGATATACTGAGTCACTCAAGTTGAGTTACACTCATGCACTCATCTGGCGTTTGAAAATATAACTATTGGTGAAGCTTTGAAATGATTTTTCTGTGTTGCTGTGATTGACTGTGTTTTGAGTATCATTTAGGGTAATCTACGTTTGAGTCAAAATAGACAAATAAAAATGACAATACAGCTACAATCAAGATGTTACAATGAAAAATTGTTTATTAAATGAATTCCTGCAAAATTGTCAAAGGTCAACAAGTTTTGATCGGACTAAAAAATATTTTATCAACCAAATGTCCGTATGAAGTTTTCATATTCTAGGTTTTGACTATAATTACATTTTTTGTTTGAAACAAAAGAAAATGGTCGAAGATTCTTCAATTAATGGGATAATTTCAGTTTATGTTTGTAATTTGAGTGAGTCAGATCGCGTTAGTTTGAAACCAAAATAATCAATATAGCACAGAAGAGTAACTTACAACTTGTTAGATATTTTTACTAAAGAGTTAAGTAAAGACTGAAATACGCGCATAGCGGTTTGCAATGGAAAATCGAGTGTTTTCTGTTGTCTTGATTAATAGTAAGGCCTTCTCGGATTGTTCTAGAACGAAAAATAAAAAATAATAAGTACTACAAATACGATTGGCTAATGGATAAACTCACCAATGGATTCGGTCTAAATCTGTAAGCTAACATCATTCGTTTTCTGTAAGCTTCATATTCATCGTCCTGTGGTTTCAACTCGTCTGGACGTTCCTGACCAAGACCAGCTCGTTCCCCAATATTAGGATCTCTGGAGAGCCAAAGAACATTAGCAAAAATGAGAAAAGGATAAATAATAAAATAGGTGATTCGTCGATTTCTATCTCTCTTGCATTTTTTCAATCAATTTTGCTTATTCTTTCATCTGAAAATTTGATTTACTCAAGTCGGTCAAACTACCAAATGGGATAAGATATTGGAATATACTTAATCTATTATATGTAAGTGAATTGATTGAAAAGGGTTGAACAGAATGCAAGAGCACAAGGAAATTTTTAAGATACTTACACATCGACTGGCTTGGTCGTTCCTTGATTATCAACACCTAGTCCTTGACCCTCAGACCATCCAAGTTTTGCCAGCATTTTGTAACCTTGATTTTCTGATTGTAATTTGAAATCTCTATAATCTTCATCGAAGAGAAGTGATGTTGAACCATCTTTTATCGCGTCCCATTTTTTCATGAATCTTTCCAACTGATCAGGAGGCAGGAAATCACCAAGATGATGTTTACCCTTATTCATCTCTGTCAATTTAGCAGCCCATTCAGCAGTTTTCTCCATCTCTTTCATTCTTTTCCTGTGCTCCCATGTTCCACCATCAACTTCTTCATCTGAATCATATTCGTATACATTTTTTCCACTTCTTTCCAGCCTTTCCCTCTTTCGTCTCTTTTTCTGAATCATTTGAACCAAAACTTTCATTTTGCGTTGATCTTCTAATTGTTTCCATTGATCGGATGTCAAGTCACACCTTCCATAAACTTGAATAGCATATTTGACCAATTCAGGATCTTGAGGTAAAGGAACCGATGAACTTGATTCGCTTTCTTCCTCATACTCATCTGTTTGATTAGAGACTGGTGTAGATGATGATGGTTCAGACCAGCGACTTTCTTTCTTTTTTTTGCCTTTTCCATCCAATGGATTTCGATCGTCGTGGTCTTGTAAAGCAGGAAAATGTTCAGGAACAGTAGACCATGACGATGATGATGCAGGTGGTGTGGACGATTCGAAATCAGCTGCTCTTGTTTTAGCTTCCTTCAGTTCTTCAACTCGTCTTTTGTAATATTGGTGGTTCACATTATCTTCCTGGTATAACCATCTTAGTTTTTTTCATATTAGTACAATAATATTTGTTTGGGTTTTATTTTTTAGACAAACCTGTAGTCTGAGTCATTGATGCAATCATTTTTTAACTTGGCTTCCGCATCTGAACCATTCATAGCAACATAGATAGCACTCTTCTCAATCGCCATTCTTATCTCATCATCTCCTGATGGAGAGACTTGAACGGAATACCCATAAGTAAAAAGGAAACATAAAGAGTTGGGAGGAAGATTGAGAGGGATACAAAGGGTGATTTCAATCAACACTTAATTGATGCAACAAACTCTCTTACTCACAGAAATCACTCTCTATCAAAACAAAGCAAATTTAATATTGTGGGAAAATTTCCTAAGCTCGTTAATGTACTTTCACACGATTTGATTTTACTGCACATAAAACATCCAAGGTCAAAGTTGCATCAATACCTTTCGTTTGTTGATCCAAGAGTAAATCGCAATCCTGCTTAGGGAATTTAACTCTTTCATCAATATCCTCCAATTTTGGTTGAATGTCAGAATTCGTCTCCTCCGTTTTTTCAGTAGAAGATTCACTGAAAAAGAAATAGATAAACATTATAAATAGGGAATTATAATAGAGAGTTAATTTTAATGGCTTACCTAAAAGATGACTCTGACTTTTGCTGTTGCAATTTTTTAAACATCTCAAGAAAGCTTCCATCATTTTGAAATCTATTTACGAATTGGTTTTCTTGGGAATCTGAATTGGTCGTTTCGGAAGCAGTGTTGGGCGAAGATGTAGATGTTTTTGAGATTGATGTCGAAATGGATGATATAGTTGGTGATGAAAATTTATCAGGCGAGGTTGTTTGTGTCAATAGAAATGATGGTGAAGTTGAATCATTTTTTAAAATATTCTGCTCGTTTTTCATAGACACATCTCCAGATGATTTAAGTCGTTCCTCAATTTCCCGTTTCTTAGCCAATATCAATTGTTCCTGGTGGGTTATTTCTTCCCATCTATTAGACCGAGAGCTTCTATTTCTATTGGACATTTTCCTGTTGAAAAAGGAAAAAACAAAAATAAGAATACATGTGTTATTCCAGTTGCTGTTAGTTTTCAATGAAAAAATTAAACTAACCAGTTTACAACTAATCGAATACACAATTAAATCTATCAATCAACAGAGTAGTACAGTAGGATAATCATTTCAATCGTAAATTTATAATCGATTTGCTGAAATCCAAATGAAATAAAATTCAAATAAAACACAACAGTGAAAGGACAAGCTTACAGTATCTCTGCAGTTTTCAATTATTATACGAGCCCTTTTACTGTAATGCCATTTCCAATGGGCCATTGGTTTTTAGCCAAACTTGCAATATGATAATAAAGCTAACAGATGTTTTATTTAAATTGTTGCATATTTATTGTTTAATTAGTCATTATACATTGTGATATTTTTAAAGTTATAAGGTATACTCACCATATCTTTCAAACCATGTCTTCAACAACCAAATTATCGATTACACGTTGGTATACCACAGAGATTCAAAACATCATGTAAGTAATCTGGTTCAGTCAACCGCCAAAATTTTAATTTCGCCATTTTGACTTAATTTCCACTTTAACTGTCTATTTTGTTTTTTTCATGTTGAAGGCATGGATTTGGTGATTCTTCAAGACCAATGGCTGAATCTGCATATCTAATTGAGGAGGTTGTTCATCAACAAATGTCACAATTGGTATTGTACTAATTTTATAATCATTTGATTAACTTTGATCCAATTTAAGAGTCCATCTTTATCTCTAAAATCGCTCCCTATACTCTGATTTTTTAGCTCTATGAAGTTAATAACATTGCTAATATTAGGGGTTCCAAGATCGTTGGATTGGAAGAAGTTTTATTTTTAATGCGTAAGGACAAAGTTAAATTGGCAAGGCTGCTGCGTTATTTATCTATCAAAGATTTAAAAGGAAAAACTTCAAAATACAATCAAGATGATAATCCAGATGATATCCAGTCGTCGGATTTACCGCAATTGGAGTCCAAGTATCAGCCATCCAACCAACCTCAATCAAAACGAATCAAACTTTGTTACGATTTTATTTCCTCGATTGATCAAACAGGAGAACTATTAAGTGCATTCAATGAAGACTTTTTCGATGAGATAAGACACCAACGAAATCTGGTAATTATTTGTAATTCTATATTTCACCTGCCTTTTAGTTTAAAGATACGGTCTCTGAAAAATTATTTCTAATATTTTCAGAGAATGGATCGAATGACGTTTAATATGACCAAAGCTCAATACTTAAGATACAGTGAAGCTAGACAAGCAAATTTTGCCAATAAAGAAAAGCCTAAACGATTCAAAGAATGGCTATTGAAAAATGATTCTCAAGATTTGAAACTAAATGCTTATGCATGGGAGATTTTCCAATATTTAGCTTACGAAACTGTTGCTGAGGTAATTATTTTTTAAACTTTTCTTTGAGTTGACCAACAACTTATATACATATTCACGAAATGAAATCACAATAATAATTCATTTGAAAATATAATTTAATGATCATAACTTTTAGATTGTAGATATCGCATTACTAGTTAAACAAGACCGCCAGATTCAAGATAATGATCCAGTTTCTGGTTTGATATCGTCCAAAATGAGAAACCCGGATTATCCAATGTTCACTGTGCCTTCATTCAGTCAAAAAAACGCTACAGCACAACCAAAGGACGCTGGTGACAACGATGATGATATCTCTGGACAATCTGCTAAGCGTATGAAAATTGTGAGTTGTCAGCGTATTCCATATCATATTATTTACTTTCTCATTTTATTGACTAATCTTGGCTTTATCTTTTAAAGGATACAACCGAATCTTTTGCTACAAGCAACAGTATAACGCCATGTGATATACGAGAAGCCCTTCGACGGTTCAACCAACCTAAAGGCGTTTTCTCAGTAATGGAAAAATGTTATACCAAATCACCTAGAGTCTTATGTTTATGATGTTTCCATATCTGATATCAGCAATGGTGAAGGAATTTGGTTGTAAATCGGAGTCTCTGTCGTCCGTCTCAAAGAAATGTCTGAAAAAAGTACAAAAGTGATTGTTAAACGTAAGATTTTTCAACTGTAAATTTGAATCTTAACCCAAAATAGTTATATTAAATTATTTTTACATTTTTTCGTTAACCAATCAATTAGCAGTTCTATCAATTCAATGGCAATTGAAGCTCAATTTTCCATTAGTCATATTTTTAACTAAGCACTCATTTGGTCTGAAATAAATCAGAGTCATTTAACGTTTATCAACTATGAAAAAATCTGATTATGCTGATAATCTCATTCTTTTTCTTCAATACAAATAAATTAACAGTCGACATTCATGTCATTAAACGTTTTCCGACATCAGTAAGATTTTAAAATGGAAAACTTACCTTTGATTGGATGAAATGTTGTCAATTGGTTGTTGATGGATCGACTTGTTCCTGTTGAAATGTAAAAAAACATTAAACCTTCTAAAAACTATAAATTATTTCGATTGCCCACAATTGGCCAAACTAATGAACACTAACCTTGCATTACCATGGTTAACAATAAACACAAGCATCCGAAATACATTATTGATGATATATCCAAAGAAATAATAACTTAAAATGTTACTAAACTGAACGCAGTTAGATTGTGAAGTGTCGAGGAAGTCTTGATGACTCTTTATGCTCACTTTTCAGTGAAAAGGCAAATTAAACAATTGGAGCTAAAATTTGGTTTCATTTTGTCAAAATTTTGCAATTACTCAATACTCATTACATGATATATTTTATATTTTCGTACTCAACGGGAGATTGCTTTCTTAATAGAGTATAAATGTTAAATAATGTCTTTACTGACCCTTTACATACCTTTCTCTTATAGTGTTAAACTGGTTAAATCACCAACAATCAAAAATTTTAAAGGCAAAATGAGGGGACAAATAAAGAAAGGCCTTACTTGATACTTGGAATCACTTGGTTGACTCGGTTTATCCAGCAAAAAAAGAGTTACACGCAACGTTGACCAAAAGGCAAAAGGCTCGCTCCACCTTAGGATTTAAGGTTGAAAAAATTGGATAAAAATGTTTGTATTTATTACCATTATCTGAGTTTGCATCGTCAAATCAAGACAATTCCAGATATAAAGATCTACATGAAGCATCGGGCACAACAAAACCAGGTCACTTGTTCGACAAAAATAATAATAGCGATGTTAACAATTAAGTTGGTGTACAAAAAGTTATGATTTTTTAAGGAAAGAGGGAAGACTGACTTAATTTGATTATAATCAAAGTCAATAGTCCCATTCTTTCCTTCAAAATCTTTAACGGTATAACTTAATTGTGACAAAAGAGTAATTGATTCAGCAACAGAATAGGCAGAAACACTTAAACAAGGCAACAATTTCAAGATATCCGATGGTAGATAGACTGTGATTATGAAAGCTAATTAAATTATTAGTCATCACCACTAACTGGTTAAATCAAAATAGTCTAGCGTTGTAATGATACTTAATGGTTAATTGTCGATGAAAGTGATTATCCTTGATGAATGATTGAAACAAATGCTCAACAGAGATGCATTTTTGAACACAATCTTGGATATTACTTTATTTTCAGTAACAATGGGCAGACACTGATTAAAATAGTAATCATGCGAACGACTACGATTGAACTGTGATGTTTAGCTTATCACAAACCTTTTTATACGAGATTTTTAACATGTCTACTTGTTGATTAGTTCATTGCTTGATCCCTTGATTGTGTTCAATAGATACGCCCTAAAGACTAATATGAAAACAAGAATTATTTGATACCTAGTGTAAAAAATAATTACAGCTCAATGGCTGTTAAAATAATATGATCAATTGATTGGTTTGTAAGGAGAAAGTAATCTCTGCAAGGAAATTCATCTCTGGTTAAGTCTAAAGGTTAATTATATTTGGCCTTTACAGTTTTAAAGTAACTTATGCTATTGCTTTCCAGTGAAACGTTTGGGCTTTTACAGACCTTAACTCTCATTAATTTTAATCAATCTTAGTCTCTCTTCCTCTCCAGTGTTAAATGTTAGATTGTGACAGTTGGTAATTATTTAAACAACACCCAATCAACCTCCATTTCCTAATGTCATATAAATGAGACTAAAAATGATGTAAAGCAAGTGTCGTTTGGTTTACATCTTCTAGTGACTGCAGTCCAGTCAGTTCAAACATGATACAGAGCTCTGAAACATAATACAGTTAAATTTATTCTCATCATAGTACGACGTTCATTAAATAAAGCACCTAATGTCTCTAATAGTCCAACAGATGGCTGTAGTAAGTTAAAGACTTAATCACGAAGAAGAAAATATCAACGCCATCTACTGGTGCTGCAGTCAGCTTACCCGATTGAAAATATCTGGTATTCAACCATCAAATTCAGGTTAAATGTCATTTTAAATAAATGCTTGAGTTTTTTAGTCATAATTACAAAATAATCTGAAGTAATAAATTGTTAATTAACGATATCTGCCTTTGTTTTGTTTCTTTATTTGGGACCATTGACAAAATGATTGTCATTATCTGGTGCCTCACTGTATTGATATTTTTGTTTAAATCGCAACTTGCAAGTTGTTAGATGATTAAGTTTGGTATAATTAGTTTAGATCACAATATTTACTGGCAAATAGAAGAGGATCTGTCAAATCGCCTGGGCTTTGATTTTTCTGTACCAAAATTCATCAAAATACTAATTTTGACCATGAATATCAGATTGAAATTTCAATTGTTTCCTTTACTGTCAGTTTAGGGAACACTAATGCAGAAAATTTATATTGTCTTATTCAATAATTTAACAAATTTGAATTATTTTAATAAATAATTTCTTCTCTTCTCTCTTAAGTTTCATCTAACCAAAAATGAAGCGCTCTCTCATGATGATTGCATTTCTAATGATCTCGATGTTGCAGATGAATAGTTTATGACGCAGTTGGAACTTAAAAGTTTTGTGTTTCCTGGTCTCTTAACTATTAATACTATGGTCTTTCGCTAGGTTGACATTCTAGGCAACTATGAACGAAAATTTTATTTATGGCGAATTTAATATATTCCAATTATGTATCAGCGAAACTACCATAGATACCATCTTAGGTCAGTCTATCAACTAAAAGCTGAGCACTGACACAAAAGTATTGACAATAAAAGTGGACCAAGCTCAATGTCAGAAAATGAGACTTTAAAAGTGAGATGAAGATCCAAGATGAAGAAATCTTAATGAGCAACGAAAGCTATTTCGACCTGGAAGTTACAATTTCTATAACGCCCATCATTCTGCTTAAAAAATTATTGAAAACGTGCCTGATGTCAGATTTCGAAGGTGTTCGAAGTCTTCATCAACAAACCATGATTGGATTGCTATTGGTTCAAATGGTATTGCAAGCCTTATTTTTATCCGATAAAAGTGCCTTAAATTCAGAATTGTATTTGAATGATTGTCTAAAGGATCTCTATTTCCATCAAGAAATAAAGAGAATAAAAATGTTGAAATACTGTTTTGGCCTGATTAGCCAGTTATCATTACACACAGAAAACGCTAACGGATAAACTAGATGCCGCCGCTATTTTTTATATTTGAAAGGAAGTGAATCCATCAAATTGCGCCCAATTAAGACCAATTGAGGTTTTTGGTCCAATCCTAAGTTTTTGCAGATGGCTGGCTTCCTAAAAACAAAAAATATCTGATGAAATAAGCTTAGAACATTGACAAAGTTATTCCATGATTCAATTGGAAATATTAAATCAAAAGTGATTAAAGCTGATCTACTAGAATTGAATTCAACTAGAGTTAGTGACATTTTGTGTTAACCATCAAATTTGAAAATTTCAAAGATCTAGTTAATTAGGTTCGCCAAAAATTTGATTACTGTTCATTTCCACTTACCATACCTTATGAATAGCTGAAACTTTTTCATTAACATCTTACGATTATTGTACTCTATTGAATGCGTTATGAGACAAGTTCATTCCAAGCAGAGTAACGAAGACATTTTCCAGTTTTTGAGGTTTCCTCAGCAGCTGTCAGTTTTATTAATAGAGAAAATTAATCAAATTCCGAGACGTTCTTGATCATCAAAACTCAATGCAAAAGTTGATGTCAAACTAATGCGCTTCAGCATCAAATAACAAAAAACAAGAATCACCGAACATTTTTCTTTCATTTCAGCATTGAAAATTAAAATCTGACTGAATTAATGATAAAACTAATGTCTTATAAATGAACAAAAATTGGATCTGAAATTGGTAAATTGTCTCAACTCAGGAGTGATTTAGACAGACTCAAGTATCTTGATGCAGGTAATAGAGGGAAGCTTTTTTGTTCAATAATAATTAACAGAGATCTCAATATTATTTACAATTGAATTGATTGATTTGAACATTATTAATCCAGACCATAAATCAATTTAAAAGCCTTTCTTGATCTCAACCACAAATTCAGCTACAAAACAAAATCAGTGACTTAATGCACAATGAAAATCCCAATGAGACCATTATAAATTGTCTCTTTGCTTATTCAACCCTAATCATGATGATGATCACCACCATCATCATCATCATGGTCATCTTAATCTTCCAAGTGTAATCTTTTCATTTAAGTCTGAATCTGTGAAGATATCAAGTTTAAGTCCATTTAGGAATGTGAAAAGTAAAATGAAATCCAATCTCATCTCATGAGACTCAAAGTAAACTGCAAATTGATCTTCATCATGATGATTCAGATAGAGATGAAAATGATGATGAATTGAAAGATTGAAATCCAGGTAACCTTCTATACAAGTTAATCTTGTTCAATTCATTTATAACATTATTAAATAACATTCAATTTGATTCAATATAAAAATGATTGTCACTGTTCATTGAAAAATATTAAATCTAATTTAACCGTCTAATGAGTGCAACTTTCATTTGGTCAACAATTTGAACAAAAAGCAAAAAAATGCCAACAAAATGAAACATTTTTTTCATTTCTCATTCAATTTCATCAATTTTGTTCATTTTTTTGTAAAAAATATAAAAATATCATTCATATTTCAATCCAACCTAATAATAATCCAATGATAATATTGAAATTGATAATAAAAGCATCTCAATGAAAACGGTTAAGGTAAAGGATTAGATTAGGTTTCATCTCTTATTTAATTAAGGTTTTGATATTTATTGAAACCTTTCAACATTCAATTCAATTATCATGATAATGAATATAATTGACGATAATAGCAAAAGCTTCCTTGGGCTTTTCATTGGAATAAATATTTCACCTTTAAATACAAAGAGTTAACCATTGATTGTAAAGGAACCAGGAAAATGGCAATTAACCTTAAACCATAATTGAAATCAATTGGCTTCAACAATAAACTCTAAACGTTTTACCCAAAAAATTTACCCAATCTTAATATTTAAACATTTTACTTGATCAACAGTTAATCTTGATTGTTTCAATTGATTAAGAGTATTAATTAAAGCGCAATTGAGTTTAATCCCACTTATTTTCAAAGTAAAAAATCTTGAAACATTAAACCAATTAATTGTTGAAAGCTTTAAATCAATTGAAACAATTGAATTGAAAAGGTTAAATGTTGGGTTAAATGGGAAAGTAAATGTTATTCAATGGGAATGATATGAATGTTGAATAAAGAGATTGATAATGAAATTTTGAAATGATGGTTAAACAAATGGTTTAACATACAAGATTAAATTGTCAATGAATAGTGAATTAAGGCGCGTGCAATAATAATAAACGCAGGGAAACAGCAATTTGATTAACTTGTAACTGGCAAGGAAAAGTGTGATATTTTTAATAAAAGCAGAGAGTAAAAGGGATTCCTCTGGATTCATCCATTGTAAGATTGAAAAGGATGATGAAGATGATGGAGATGATGGTGGATGGTGAAGCATCATGGTATGATGTTGATAATGAAAAAAAAGTGAACACACAAAATGAAGCTAACTTGAAGCTGCGAAAAGCCTTTTAACAAAGGGAAAGTTGAGCAAATAAAATTGATAAGATGTTACTTGTAACCTGGATACTGTAAGGTTATGCATGAAACTGGGGAATGACTGGGAGTGAAAACAAAAAAAATAAGAGTCTCCATATAAATGTATAAATAAAATAGCCTGCTGTTAGTTTTATTAACAGTCAAAAGGAAAGTTTAACTAAAAAAAGAAAGTAAATCTTGTCACGGGTTTCCTCTTTCTCTATCTTCTTCATTTTCATCTTCATCTTCTTTACCAACTTACCTTTTCGTTTGACGAACTCAAATTGACTCTATACAGAGCATGCGATCGGTGAAAAGTTCAACATCGAACTCAATCCGATTTCATCTCAAAACGCAAAATGCCAAAGAAACATTTTCTTTAATTTCATCTTAAATGTTTCAATTGATTCTGGTTCATTCCCGCAACAATAATCTTAATATTCATTTGATTGCAGTTGAAATATATTTTCATCTTTCCAAATTGATAAATAATCTTCAAATTTACCTTTGAATGAAAATTTCACCGAAATTTCTGGTCTTCTCAGTCAGTCATAATGAGTTTGTTTGTGCTTTTGGAGTTGACTGGGAGTGAAATGATTGACTTTAAAGAATCTCAATTTTCTTAAATTTTGATATTTATTTGATTCTGTTGATCATAAGAGACATAATTTTTCACCATTGAAACCTTAACTTGCTCATGATACAGATAGTTATTTAATATTAATAATAATGAATTATTTATTCACATTTTACATGTTTTCCTCATCCTTTAGTTTACGCTTGTTGATACATTTTCTGAGTTAATTTTTTCCCTTTTCAACTTTTTCTTCTTCTTTCTCATCATCACCATGATCATCATCTTAGTCTTGCTCTTTTCAGTCTCTCAAATTGTTTATAGAGTCTTCCTATATTATACATATCAATCTTTTCATCTTCATCTTGCTCCATCTGATTAATCTTGCTTCCCACTGATTGCTATTTTCATCAACATCACCTAATATTGCAATGAAAAGATTCAAGTGAGTTTCTTCATTTCTTTCAATCTTCTTCTTCTTCTTTCCTTTTTTCACTTCTCTTCCTTATCATCATGTTGGCAGGTACTTTGCATAATACAAACCTTGATGATCCAAGTTTTTGTTGTTCAGGATTAACTTACTTCTTGTTACACAGTAAAGTCCATTTTTATTAACAGTTTTCTGAGTTTTACTCTGGCAACTTCATCATCTCTGACAGATCACTTTAGCTGTTCAGATGACATAAACGCCAATATTTTGGCCAATTTCATTTACTGAAACATCAACTAAACATTACATAAAGTAACAATTCATTGAAACCAGTTGATCAAGTTCAATGGCTAACAAAAGTATGAAAATGTTAATCTCCATGGAATCGGAATCAATCCATGATTTAACAATTATATAAATATTGAACAAAAGGGAAAATCTGAGTAAATGAAAAAATGAAAAAAAATCAATAAACAATGTTGCAAAAGTTGAGGTAAAATAACTTGAAGCAGACACTGATCCTAAGCAATACAAAATATTCACTAAAATTTGACTGAATTTAATTTCAAAGGAAATGACTCGTTTTTCAACTCATCATTTACTCATTCACTGATTAATGGCATTATTATTTACTGAATCACCCTGGAAACTAAACATGTCTATCACAAGTACAATGTTCATTCGGCATTGTCTACCCTTCTTACCTTCAGGTTTATCATCCAACTCTTCACCATCTTCATTCTCTTCATGCACTTGAACAAATCCATATTCTCAGAAGACATTTTTGTTTCAGAGTAACACTGAAATGATCAATATGGTGGAGATGCTGATGATTCTGATGATGATAATTCAAAGTGCGCAGAGAGATTCAAAGTGACAGAAATGAAATAAGAAATAAAGTGTTTTTTTGACTAAACTATATTTTTGCTTAAGATTGTAAGTGGGTTGGTCGGAAGATAAAAGATGATAGTTAAAAAGGTTTTCCTTCTTCCTCTTCTTTCCTCATCTTCTTCTTCTTTTCAAATATTATCTCAACTCATATAGGATCGATTCTTGCTCTTGTTTTTTGCACTTTTGTAAATGATCATCATGTTGGTGATGGTGATGAGAAGGATGAAGTTGTACAAAAAATGAAGGTAAGATGTTAGTCCAGTGGTGAGAGGGAGGAGGAGGAGGAGGTAAATAGGTGACATGGGAAGGATAAACAAAACTGATGATATAAACTTGAATGAAAAGATGTAAACAAAATATCGTTTATTGGTGAAAATGTGTTTATCCTACTTTTTTTTATTATTTATCATCACCATCAGCTTCGATATCAGTTTCAGCTTTTTTTTGCTACTCTGTTTGGCGTTGCAATGAAAATCAATGGTTAAAATGACCAACAATTGATCTTTTAGTTGACTTTTTTAGGATGACAATGATTGCAGTTTTTTGGATGAAATAATTTACATTTTCATGGGGCTCAATTTACAGGTTTTGTTATTGCTAACTGTCTTTTATGAGTAGTCCATTAAAAGGTGTTAAAACTACATTAGTTAATACATTAGGTGTATTAGTTAACGCGATTTTGTATATTAAGCAAAAGATCTGATTGTTGTTGGGCTGTTGAGTGTAAAGAAACTAGAAACTTGGGTTATTAGTTAATACCTTTGATTTTTATTTTGGTAATGATGTGGCTGGTGAAAGTGAAGATGAAGATGAAGATGATGGTGATAATGATGGAGAAACGATTAAGAATGAAAGATGTCTGATGATGGAAAAAAAGATATTTATCTTCCATAGACAGACATTGATACAGTATGTTCAAGAGCTTTACGCCTCAAAGATGCTATACTTGTTCCTCTCCAGATATCAGGTGAATCGCCATGGCTTGGATTTAGTACTGAGGTTTCAGAGGTTATGTTTAAGGTTGATCCAAGAGAGGAAGATGAAGGAGATCCAGAGTCGGAGGATGTTGGTGTGCCCGGTGGTGGTGGTTGGTTAAGGGTTGTTGGTGTGGGTGGACTGGAAGAGACTAACATGGAGAGAGTCGATAAAGGCCCGGATTGCTGTTGTTGTTGTTGCTGGAGACTGAGATGGGAAGGGGAAGATGATGAACCTGACGATGAGGAGGGATGCGGTGGTGGTGGTTGATGAACATGGGAATGAAGATGGTTAAGAGTTAACATGGTCGCTCCTGTTGTTGCTGAGGCCGGTGAGGAGGATGAGGTTGACGTCGTTGATAGTGGAGTCAGGGAAGAAACTCCATTTCCTGATGGATTGTTTAAATGACTATTATATGGTTGATAACATGGTGATGAACCCAGGCCGGATGCATTGTGATTAAGTCCACCCATTCCGGTTCCATGGTGGCCAGTTAAACTTCCAGTTAATCCTGATTGAAGGGAGAGAGAGTGACTTAAAGGTAAAGTAGGACCTGAAATAATATACAGAGAGAAGAGAAAAAAGTAAAACATCAAAATGATGATCTTCATGATCATGTTCACTATTATTTAATCATTATTTTTGGGGATCTTTTTTGCTTCTTGTTGACAAGGTTGAAAAGAGAAGGGGAAAAAAAGAAAGATGTGAAGATCAATTGTCCATTATAAAAATGGCCAATATGCATCATCATTATTTTGTATATCTTATGGCTATTGGCGTGACTTTATGCTATATGCTAACTTAATATTTCACATTTTGATGATTATTTATAAAAACCCATTTTACCTTTTACTTTCGGTCTCTCCCTTCAATCATGTTTCCGTTTCCTATCTAACTTTGTTACATATACATTTAAACGTATATGCAAAATTAATCGGAAGTGAAACAATGTTCGATTAAATGTTAAACTTTAAGGTTTAAATTTATAATGATCTTGGGCCTTTTTAAGCATTGAAACATACAACGAGAATGTAGGTCTTTTACTTTGTGGCTTTGGTTTTAGTCATTCAGTTGGTAACTCATTTCATTATCATTGTTCTCGTTAAATGATGTTATAATGATTATGATATGGTTAATGGTGCCAATCAGGTTTATCATTAGCTCAATAATTTATAAAATAAATGCATGTGTATTTTATAAATTGTGTCACTTTGGTTGTGGATTATATAATGCCAACAACGGCTATATCTGCTTTATCGGCTGATCTCATGGTTTGGTCAGAAGAAGACGATGTTATACGCATTTATGGTTATGGTAATCAATGGAGATTTAAATGAATAGTTTGGGGTAGAGGCATTGAGATGTAATACCTGTAGTCATTGTCCATCTTGGATCAGGTCCAGTTGAAAATGAACAAAGTCCATCAGTGGGTGAATTATATTTCCCACTGTTGACGGTCCCAAAGGTTGGCAAAGGATGAGACGGAAGAAGAGTACCTGAAGGATTACGAAGAAAAGTTCCCGACTTTTTACGCTTTTTAAATTTCGCTCGTCGATTTTGAAACCAAACCTGTTGAAAGAAGAAAAAATAAAATTAGTTAACAATAATAATTAAAACTATACCAACACAATTTACAATAAGATAGCAGCTGAGCGGTTAAAATAAGCCTTTGAAGAAAAATAAGTGTAGGGAAAAACCTGGCCCTCGGCAATATTTTTACCGTTAAATAGATTTGCTTTCAACTCATTTTTGACTTTTGGTTTTATTAATTTTTAATTGTTTATCACAACTTTTTGATTTTATTCATTCAAATAGGTTTAAAGTTGACTTATAAATTGTGCTCAATCAAGAAGGAAAGCTGAGTTCTCTGAGATAACTGAGATTCATTGGAAATGTTGTTCTTTGTATATTTTTAAATAAGGTAACTGCAAAAAGGAGTTTACTGTGTTCATCCAGCCATGATTAAATATTGATAATCTTACCAATTCCCTGAAGAAGCTGTATTTTTCATGTTAAATATCATGGGGTTTGACTTGATTTTTGTTTAACTTGAAAATGCTCTTAAAAGATTCACAGATTTGAAAGCTAATAATAATAATAATTTTTCCTCCTCTACTGTTTCATCTTGATATACTGTATCTTTATGCGACGTGTGTATATGGATAATATGAAATGAACAAAAACAAATAACCAATTGATTTTAATGGTTATCCTTTTTTTATTGTCTATTCAAACAAAGAGTGAAATAGGAAATGTAACGATGGCCAAGATGAATAATTGATCATTTTATATGTGACCGGATATTAAAGTAAATTAGGGTCACCATGAGACGAGGAAGTGGATCATCATCATTGCCATCCTGAATTGATTTAACCAATGTTTACATTGTCAAATCAAATCTGTCAATATAATCTTTCTTCATTACTATCATTATCATTATTACAATACATCAGGTAGACTACAGAATGCTACCAGAATTTACTGATTTACAGATTTACAATCAATCGACAGCTTCAATAACAAAAGAAACAATTATAATATCAAAATAAAATTCAGGTTAAAACCAAATCATATCAAAATCTCAATATTCAGCTTTGCTTCCAAGTTAAATGTAAATAAAATTTAACCTTATTTATGATTTATATTGTAAGATGAAACTAATATGATAGGAATCAGTGAAAGGTCAATTGTTAACAATAAAGAGGTAAACAAAGCTGGCCAGCAAATAATAATGGATGACCAGTTTACAGTTTAAATGAAGATAAAAATATCATTGAACTGCTTTTTTAAGTTTACATTTTGCCATTGACATTGCAAGGTTTGTACATTAAGTTGAAATAAGGAAAAGTAAAAGATGATTTGGGTGAAGATGATATAGAGATGAATAAGGATGAGGAGGAAAAAAGCTACCTTAGGGAGATGGACAAGGAATGTACATTTCATATTAATGTGGTTTTCCTGTCCCATTAAAAAGTAACATGAATATCAATATAAACATTATTTTCAGCTTAACATCTTTACCTATTTTATTTTTGCCTTATCATCTTTTCATTACCCTTGCCTTTCAATTTATAAATGCATAATGAATGTCAAAGACAACATTGATTCACCGAGGTTGATTAAAAGGTGACAATTGAAACAAACTTGAACATTTCATTTGATCTTTCAATGTTGAAAATCTTGAAAATCATGATTGTGCTCGTATAATTGTTACAATTGATAAATGTTTCTGATCACTATCATTACCATTTTAATGATTATCATCAGTGATGATAAAGAGTCAACAAAATGAAGAGTCAATGTGTTAGTCAACATTATTTATGGAATGGTTTCTCCCAAAGGATGAAAAGGAGATGAGGAAGAAGAAGATGAAATGGCTTGAAAAAACAGGTCGAAGGTATTTTTTTTCATCTCCTCAACATCATTTTTATATCATCATCATCATCATTATCAACAACAGCATCATCAGCATCAATATTATCATCTATACTGATGATTCTTATCTTTATCATTTTGGCTATTTATTTTGGCTTTTTCATAGAAACACCAAAACTACTCAGAATTCATATTCTCACTTTCTTTTAATGTATATAAATATTATAAGAGGAGGATGATGATCAGGATGATTGGGAAGCTTCTTGCTCATCCTCTCACTTTCATTCTGTAAATCCCTGTGGATGCCAATGGGAAAAGTGAACAATAATGTCAACCTCGAAATTAATGGCAACAAATAAGCTTCAATGTTTAACAATAACTGCAAACTGATGGGCTTAATAATGATCCATAAATAGTGTTACTCTTTCCCATCAACATCATTATTACACTTTACCATTAGTTTTTTAATCATAATTATCATTGATTGTTAAATCACAGCAAACATCGCATCAAATGTGAGTCTAAAAATTATGTAAATCGGTTAAATACTGAAACAAATCAATTTAAACACCGAGACTATTCGAGGTAAACATTATATTTAAAGAAGCCAAATCTTAACCTCAATTTTTCAGGATAAAATTGTAATCATTTTTATATGTAAATTGTGTTGATATTTTTACTTTCATTATCAGTTAATTTACCTGAACTCTTGATTCTGTTAGTCCAATTCTCATGGCAAGCTCTTCTCTCATGAAAATATCTGGATAATGAGTCTTTGAAAAGGATCGTTCCAATTCTTGTAACTGAGCTGGAGTGAAACGGGTTCGATGTCGCTTTTGTTTTGACGGTTTACAATCACTATTAGTTGATGTTGAATTACCCTGATTGTTTGATCCATTGGTTGTAACACTATTAGTTGATCCTGAAGATGAATTGGATGTCAAATTGTTACCATTGTTGGAAGTGTTATTACTATTGTTACTGCTGGTTGAATCTGTATTGGTATTGTTACTATTACTAGAAGTTGTATTATTGGGATTGGTGTTATTACTATTTGTATTATTATTATTATTATTACTGTTCACTGAGCTCACTGAATTTGAATTTGAAACGGTTCCATTGGATGAGGTTGATAGATGGTGAAGATGGTGTTGATGGTGGGTCAGATGAGGATGATGATGGTTAAGATGGTTTGGTGGTGAACCAGGTGAATGGTGAGGGGCAAGATGATGATGATGTTGAAATGGATTGGAGTGAAGATGATGAGGATGATGGTGTGGATGATGGTGGGGATGAAGACGTCCTTGGTTGATCGGCGAGTTGGTTGCTAGTGGTGGCGAGTAACTAACTTTACAAACTGGATTATCAATAACATTTGATTCACTATTTAACTGGTTCAAATGGTTGGTTAATGGTCCATTAGTTGACCAATTATCTATCGAGAACATTATTACCGTTTAATTGAGACTTGATTCCAGTAAATTGTTATTCACTTAATGACTATTAAATAGTCAACATTTTCAAGGTTTCCCATTTTCAACTGGTTTAACCAAAAACATTAACAGGTAAAAACACATGTAAACAATGGGATGATTACACAGTAAAAATGGTTAATTAATTCCGACATTTTGTTTATTCTCACTTATTACTTGATTAACTCATAATCATCGGTCAAATTGATTAGAGTTGAGATTCAATTAGATTTGGAGGTTGAGATTGAACAAGTTGAATGTTGAAACTGAAACAGATTGAAGAGGAATGAAAAAAAGATGAGATTTTTTCAAGTGGAATTTTTTGTGTTTTCGTTTTTTTCCTTTACTGTCAATTTGTGTGAGTCTTCAAACTTTCATCATCTTTTATCATCATCATTATCATCTTCTCATTATTTAGCCTCATCATTATCAGTGTTATCATCATTGGAATACAATTCATTGAGATGATCATTATAATGATGATGATATTAATGATAATGATATTACAGGTTCACATGTAAACTGTGAAGTTGACTTACTTAGTCTTGCTTTGTTTGGTCAGGCTTAACAAGGTAAGAAAAGTTTCTTTTCATCTTTACAGATAAACTGGATAAAGAAAGAGGAAAAAGAAAGGTAAAAGATGAGAAAGATGAGAAAACCTTTCTCTCTTCATCCCTCTTTGGGTGGAAACCATTACTTTCAATGTTCAACTTCAACCAATCATTGAGTGTCTTGAATCTGTTTTGTAACCAATAAAGGCAAGGTTTACACCTTTTTGTGGGTGGCTTTTGAGCTACTCTCATACATTATCATGTTCATCATCACCATCTTCATCAGCATCATCAAAATCATCAGTAGCTTTGCCCTTCCACCACCATTCAGCTACCTTTTGCCAAAGGTAAGGAAAACATTAAATTACATTAAAATTGTAAGTACAATCTGATGTCTAAATGATGATATCAAATTAAGAAACTGTTTTAAATTTGAGAAACAACAACATGGAACAAAAATATTCATTTTGATACAAAATTAATATAATTTATGGGTTAATTCAGTAAAAATTTCAATATTTTGCAACCTTTTCAACATTTTTAAATTGAGCGGTAAAAAAATGAGCATTTTTTTCGAGCTGCCATTTTGCTTTTCTTAAGCAACAACCTTTTCTCATTGTGTTGTTGTTGGTTAATCAATCATTTATTTCACTCTTAATTATTGTATTTTATTATTGTATTTTATATCGTTGTTACAATTAAGTCATCATCAATGGTTGAATTTAATCAATGGGAGAAACCATATTACAATAAACCTTAAGGTTGTTAAACATACAACTTGTTAACAAACGGTTTGGCGGTGGGTTTTGTTCGCACGTGTTGCTATCCATATTTACAATGTAAATTAACCTTGTTTAACATTTCCTATTTTAATCATCAACTTTTATTATTATCGTCGTCTAGGCATCAACTTCACCACCATTTTCATCATCAGAATGGTAAGTCAATGTGATGAATCAGAAAACATGAAATGCCTTCCCTTGTTCCCTAGAGGTGTAAGGAATGACCTTAAATACCGTTTTTGTTAGCTTTTTTTCATTTATTTATTCATATTGTTATTGTATTCAAATAATGATTTAGGATCTGTATACCAATCCCTATTTATATCACCATTTTTATTAAGCTTTAAGTAACAATAAATATAAATCAATCTGTACGGTTGTTCATCTTTTTATGCCTAAAAATCAAAGTATTGTATTTTTAAACTCTATTATTTATAAAACCAACAACAATTTATCATATATGCTAATTAAACCAGTTAGCTAACCTGATGATTATTTGATTATTTCATTCTGATATGAGGCTTTTTATTACTTCCAGTCAACTATTTGTGTGTCTGTTCAACTTCAATGTCCATTGAGTTAACACGTAAAGCAAAATGACTATTATAGCCACTCCATTAATTTTTGTGGTTAAACGGCTTACACTTAATTAATTGTCTCAGGCTTGGTTAGACACTTCTGCTTCACAAATCAATAAAAAATGAATTGATGGCTGTAAATTGTTATTATCAAATCAGATAGATGATTAGACAGATGAAGTTAATGATTAATTAAAGTTGTGTAAGAAGAGTTAACTGTTTTTTTCTTCTTCATCATATGTTTAATCAATTTGTTAAATTCCTTACGGAGCTTAACAAGGTAACTTATTACTTAATTAAGTTGGTTAATTTGATTAATACAATTACCATGAATTAAAATAAATGTTAAATATTACAAAAACAAAAGTCGACAAAAAGTTGAAAGCAATTAATCGATAATCGATTATAACATGTGATCAATCTGAATATTACGCCATTTTTATCAAACTGTGTTAATTGCTTTTAATTGTTATAATAGCTTTTAAATGAAGACAACATTAACCTTAATTACTTACTAATAGTTAACCAATAGTGATATCAGTGATATCAGTTGATGATCATTTGATTATGGCAAAAAGTCCGGTGTTAACCCACCTTTGCAAATTCTGGTTTCATCAGTATTCAATGCACAGTGTTACAGGTTAAAAATTTTAAGAAAATGTGTTTTTGTTTATTATGTTTGTTATTTTGACTGTGTCAAGTAAATTATCAACTTTATATTCAACTGACAAAAATACATTTGTAAATCAAGTGTGTAAACTATGTAATAACTGTAAGTATAACAAAAACGATTCTCATGTAAGAAAAGATTTGAAACTAAAGATTTTTTCCATCTTCTTTTTCCTAGCTCACCATCATCATTATCTTCTTTGCCGCTTTGATTGGAGTTAATCAAAATTTATATCCACCTAAAAAAGCTAAATGCTGAATTCCCTGTCATCATAGGAATTACTTGATAACTCATTGGATAGCTTTTCACCTTTCTGTTTGGGCCTTTATCTTTTACTGATAACTATTGATTTGCACATAAAAAGTGTAAGTTATATTTCCAAGTGAAAGAAGATCAAGATTTTTATCATTTCTTATATCTTTTTTTTCCATCTTCATTCCAGTCTTCCATATTTACTCCTTGTAAGGTTAATCCATAAAGATATAAAGATGGAAACATTTCTTTAACCTTACAAAAAAAAGCTATTTGGTTTTATGCTTTTGTCTTCTGGTGGACCTTTTTTATTTGGCATAATTTGATGTTAAACTGTCCAGTTGTGTTGTTTCTTGGTCCATCATAATTTATCATTTAATACAAATTGTGGTGGAAAATAAAACGTATTAAAGAGCACTGGAAAAAGATATTTGTTTCATGGTAAACTCAACCATTCTTCAACGCTTTACAATTTGCAGCTCAAGGTGTTTGCTATAAACACCAATGATTTTACCATTTTATAGATTGATTTTTAGTGAATCTAATTTTTTCAATCCTTTTTCAACCTTTTTTTACTAATGTACTTCTTATCTTCATCAACACCGTCATCACCATCATCATGATGAATCTTTAATCATCGAGAACATCATCAGTATCCTTCACAACACTTTGACTTGATCTAAAAGTCTGAACAAACCACTAATGTGTATTAACTTGATTTTGTTTTTGTTTTCCTTAAAAGTGTAACTGAATCTCAAAGTTTATTTTTTTGTCCTCATAATCAAATTTAATTTTCATCCTCATCTAATTTAATCATTGAAAGTGTGTACTCAGGTTGATCAGTGGAAATAAGAAATGATTTTCAACTTGAATGGAGTTGAAGGAAGTAGAGAAACCTTTCAATCATCAATCTTAGGTTACATATGATGAATCCTTTGGTAGACAGGGAATTGTCCTTAAAAGAAGAAGAAAGAAGGAGAAAAAGCTCATTTGCTCAGAATCATGATAAATATTAATAATGATGAAAACATAATAGATGATCGTAAATTGATAGTTATCTTAATTTCACTTGAAAAAAGGTGATAATGATTTACATTAAACAAACTGATCAAATCCAGACTCATTATATAAAGTGCTCTCAATACAAAGCTGCAACTGAGATACATTTTTCATTCGGAACCTTAATTTTTACTCAATGTTACTTTAATTGATAACAGAAAGACATTTAAATGTGAATTCAAATGTCATCCAAATGTCAAGCATTAAAGGCTGTTTATTGGTAATCAAAATGGTTCAGAGTGTAAATATTTCAAGCTGTAAGATGGTGATTAAAAATGATGATCAGCATCATTCAATTGTCAGTTACTTAAACATGTTCAAGTCTTGAAGAGTTTATTGTTATGCTTTTGCTGCCTTTCATTTGTCCTTTGCTTTTTTGTTTTTATCATCTCATCACAAATCTTGACTTGAATAGTATTGACTCCCGTTGGATATAATGTTAAATTGTCTCAGTTAATTTATCACCGAAAAAAGAGTTTGACTATTTATTTTACAATTTCAGCATCTACTTTTCATCTACATCTCGTACATATTATCAACTTCATTTTCCTTTTATTTTATCTTGTCTTCTATTGAATTTTATTAAAGCAAACCCATCAACATAACACTTTGTTTGTTTCCCTTATGAGCATGTTTTGCTTCATTCAACTTCAATCAAGCTATTGAGTCAACTTTAATCAAATGAATGTGACAGTTTCCATCCTTTCCAATTCTATCTTCCTTTTCTTCTCCTTCGCTTTTATCATCTTCTTTCCTTCATTTTTTACATGATAACTCCCAGGATACAGCGTACCAGAGTAAAAACTTTTGATACAAAGAGTGCATTGAAAGGGTTGAGCAGGAAAGAAGAGGCTTCAGTAAGATTGAATCAAATGAAGCCAAATACAAGTTCAAATGTAACCATTGTTGTTCAATTGTTACATGAGACTGACTGGTCAGCTAATTTATCAGGATTTATATATTTCCAGGAATTTCAAGTCTATCAGGCTGAGTGTTGGCATCGACTATGAAATTTGGACAAAGTCAATTCTTTTGATTCTTGGGATCATCATGTCTGTTTCTTGAATGCATCGATGAGAAGCAGAAAAATTGTAATGTTTTCAAAAATAATCTGAAATGAAAATGATATTGCAAAAGTTAGATGATTAAATATCTTCAAGTAGTCAACTCACCTTCAAAAGAACCAAAGATTCAATTCTAAATGTTTCACCAATGTAAAACCCAATGGGTTTGGTTGTTAAACGATCTATTGTTGTTAGAGACTTGAATTCAAAATTAATACTCTGATTACAATTTTACAAGATCACTAGTTACCTTTATCTTTACAGTCAGTTTAGTTGAATTACGTGCCAATCGATATATTATTAACGTTAGTCTATCGATCTGTAAGAAAAGTGGTAAACAATGATTTTATCGTTGGTTGAAGTGAAATGGCATAGATAGGGAAAAGACTAACTTTGTTATTGGCATCGACAACAAGTATGCGAACAAAGATGATGATTCCGATTAATGATAGAGTAACTGGTATAAGAATTGGCCATCTGACCATTGGATCATCAACTCCAACAATGAAACAAACAAATAAAGTAAAATTAATAAATAATGCCAAAGAGGAAAAGGTTGTCAAAGCCATCGATCTTATTTCCCGATTACCAGATTCAATGTTGTTAAAAATAGCATTACATTTAGCAATCCAGTTGATACGATAGACTCTACTTGAAGCTATGTTTGTTTGGGTTGAATCTTCAATGAGAATCAACTCTTTGAGGCGCAACAAAATGTACAAAAAATAGATCAAAGCGTGAAAATAAAACCAAATTGAACTGAATATCGAAGTAGTTGTGGCTATAGAGTTCATAACTACCCAAAATATCTGACAAAATGTTTGTAAAGACAAATATTGACCAGGCAAACATTTGAATGAACCGTTGAAGAAGAAGATAACATAACCAGAAGATAACATGTAGCAAGTAGTTTGAAATAAAGCCATTGATTTCAATAACAGGCGTAATTGAAATTGACTAGAATGTAAATTAATGTCCAGCAAGTGATTTGAGATTGATGAAGTGGACATAATAATGGTAAAAATATGGAAAAATGAAACAGTTGATTTTTCAAAGGGACGGTGGCAATCGGTGAACATCATGGATAAACAAATGACGGCTAGTAAGAGCATAATGGCCAGTAAATTGCGTTTTGGGAAGCAACTTGTATTGTCACCAAGAAATAAACTAATTGTATTGCATAGTTCACAATCAGGAGTTGATGGAATCAGAACAAGAAAAGTTGCACGAATTAAAACAATTAACACTAAACCTTTGAGGAGTTTATGCTTTAACAGCTGTTTTTGTGGCGGTGAACCAGTTGAGTAACCGTTTATTGTACCAACAAATTTTAGAGCACTTTTTTCACATTTTAACATTGTCTTGATTATAGATTGATCATTTAAATTGTTGGATATTAAATGAGTTATTACATTTTTAAGATGACTTATTAAGAATGATATTAACCGATTAAATCTGTTGAAAAACATTTTTACTCTTTCAATCTGGTTAAGCCTTAGCATATCAAATGGCAAACGAACGAAAGTTAAGGCTTGTGAATTAAAGTCACAATGTAACTCGCTTTTTCTGGTGCAACTGGTAAATACAAAACCAATGTTTAGTGTATTATACAAAGTAATAATTGTATTATCTAATGATATTTCTGCTAAAGTTACTCTTTTTTGGTTTTTTGTTTGTACAAATTGTGGATGATCGATAATTTTTTGATATAATTACGATTATTTACGTTCGTATGATATTATGTATGATATTTATTCGTGTTTGCTTGTTTTTAATGGGAGTTGCAGTTTTACCGAACAACTCTTTATTATTTTTATTTACATAATATGTAATATCAAAACTAAACAATTTCATTGAGATTGTTCGTGGGTGTATAACCAGACAATTTGAAAATTTGATTGCGTTTCATCTAATTTTACCAGCAAAAGTCATTCCTTCGTTTTGATGAAATATTCAACCATAAGTCCCAGACTTTATTGTATCGATGGATTCATAATTTATCGATGATTAGTAAAATGATCAGCAGGGTAATGGTGAACTGAATCTTGCGTGTATTGTTTATCAGTAAATGTAATGTTAACACTAGTAATTATGAGAGTAATTTAAAGAAATTAGATTATTTTAAATTAATTTTATTGATCAAAACTGTAGCTGTTTGATTTGCCCTTTTAATGCTTAATGTATTACCATCATCATCATCATCATTATCATCGTCATTGATTAAACATTGTTTTAATTTACACCAACAAAATGAAGCAATTGAAAAATTAATTATTACATATATTAAAGCAATTAAAAGCAGAAAATATTAATCTACAAATGGATGGTTAAAATTGGGTTAAAGGAAGAGTTGGATGAGTTTTTTGATTGGTATACAAAAAACAAAGAGACAAAATCAATAACTGAATCTTTTGGAAATTGAAATGCTGTTTTTAATCATTGAAATCACAGATTAGGAATTAAAACTCAACAATTAACCTTTTGTTTTCTTGTTGTGTGTTAATCTTGACAATTTGTTGAAAACATTATAATTGTAAGAGGAAAAAAGGTTTGACAACAATCAGATTTTCTGGTCAAGTTTTGTTTTCCTTATTTTCAAGCTGATGATTTTGGACTCATTGTGTGTGTTGGTTTCAGAGTAATTCAATGAATTGATTTTGTTTTGTCGTTTTAATTTGTTAATGGTATTAAAAAGGATGATTAAATTGTGAATCCTGAATGATGAAAATGAAGTATCAAGATTGTTGCTCAGTTGAGTCAATGTGCACCAAAAGTCTATCTTTGTTTAAGTATTAATTCCGCAGGTCTTGAACAGGTTTTACATCCAAGTTTAAATAACTAAGTCTGTGAACAATTTAATAATTGGTGAGCAATTTGTCTTGGTTTTTAGTTGAAATAAAATTGGACATAATAATAAGTTGTATGATGATCATTGTTGGATAAATGATGATAATATAGTCAAAGTAGGTAACTCCATAGACAAACTATTACTATTAATCTTTCCATTTTTCCACTAATTGACACAATGCTACAAACAATTAACAGTGAGAAAAGAAATTAAATGATTTTAAGCTAACGAAAAATGAACAAAATCAACTTAATTTGTTTTCCTCTTTATCGTGAGTCTCGTGAATATATTGATTGTGTTGCGTGTATTAAACAATATTTCATGTCTGCTTTTGTCAATTGTTTGGTTGAAGGGTTCAACTTTAATTTTGTCACTTTCAATCGGCTAATCCTGGTTTAATCAAACAGTTTAATGATCAAGCTTTCCTTGTTTAACTGGTGGTTCAATCCAAAGGAATCGCATTAAGAAATGTTCATTGGGTCAAGGTTGGTTTAGCTGCTTTTCTGGTTTATTCAAGCTTTAATGATGTTTGGTCAATGTTTCACTGTTTTTGGTGTTAAAACTGAATCGATTGAATCGTTTGTTGTATTTCCTTCTTTTTTATTAATGAAATTGTTTGTTTCTTCTCTAAATCAGCTATGAGCGGACAAAAATTTATAAATCCTAGTTTTTTTGTCAGATTTTTTTACTTAAATCTTTTTTTAGAAGTGAAATTGAAAAGAGCAGGAATGGGTTAAGGAATTACGATTAAAAATGAATGAGAATGTTGCTTTGCCTTGATTATTTGCCATGATTAGTGTGATGTTAATGGTTGCATTTGATTGACTCTTTTGTTTCCACTGGATGATTGAGAATGTAGCTTGAAGACTTGTTACATTGTGCTCAGCATTTTCATCATTTAATCCATTCTAGTTTAACCTAATTAATTTGCTTTGCATCACTCCATTTTTTCCTTTAATCTCGTACCATCTTTGATTTATCCTTTTACTCTGGTTCCTGAATGTGTGAGCTTTGGTGATGGAATGTTGGTTTCATTGATCCTTTAATAAATCTGTAAAAGACGAGATAAAGAATATTTTAGACATGGTTTACTAAGATCTATACGAAATTTATTGAAATGCTGTATTTACGTTTCAATGTTTTTAGTGACTTGATCATAAAGCTTTAGGCTTGCACCAAAAGTTAATTTAATCAGATACGAAATTAAAAGTTGGATCAAAGAGATTGATTATGCACGGCACAGAGATGAGTAAACTAGGAATTTTTTGGTTATGAGGATTCGTTGATTAAGAGTCGGTTGATTATGGTAATGGTAAAAACAGGAAAAAGAAACAATATGATATAATATAATGTAACATTAATAAAAACAATAATAAAAACAATGGAACAAAATGATTTGAATTTGAACTAAAAATAGACAAAATAAATAAATAAATAAATAAAATTTGAAGAAATCTTTGGTGGCTTTCTGTTGTTTTTGCTTTCTTAACAATCTCTTTCATCTTTGCTTAATTAAAACAGATTATCAATCTGTATCATAGTTAAAAATTAATCAATCGATAGATCGATTAATTATATTTAAATATTTATACTTTTAAACTAATTTCTTATTTTGATGAAAAGACGAGTCAAATTAAGTAACTTAAAATTGAAAGAAACATGAGAATTAGATGAGAAGGTAATCAGGCTTTGGTTTGATTTGTAAAAGTGGGAGTGAAAAGCGTGATTTTGAAGGTGAAAGATGTCATGAGGCTAGAAAGAGGAAGAGTTGAGAAAAGAGCTTTGATGGATATTTAGAAACTCCTAGCAGCATTCATTTTTTTAGTAATAAGTCTCTATTTCAACCCAACCGCCTGGATTGCGTCTAATGATAAAACGACGAGCTTCATCATAAATGAAGATTAGTAATGAAAATGGCATTGCTGGGAACCACCATGATAGCCTTTAAAAAAAGAGATGGAAATCAATTATTAGATGAATTGTTTCAAGTAAAATGACAAATTAACTTACTTAATTGGATACAATTTAAGTACAACCGACATTCCAGGAGTGTAAGAAAGGAAAGCAGCCAAGAGAGTTTCGAAAAGCAATCCAAAGTTAAGTGCGTGATTCCTAAATAGACGAAGTAGAAGAGAAATGATGAGAATTTGTAAGAAAAAAATAAAAATGAAATGAACTTACTTCATTCCTTGATGGACCAATGAGTTTCTTCTGGTTTTACATACGATGAGATCAGCCCATTGGACAATGACAATGGCAATGAAAAATGCAGTATGGCAAGTAAACTCTAATACTTTACGATTTTTATAAGTCTGGATGAATGAACAAAAAAATGAGTTAGATTACAATTTTTAGAAATTAAATGTGAATCAAGATTGTTCAAATGTCAACATTACCCATTCTTGTCCGTAAGAATCTTGTAGATCATTAATTGCCTTTGAATCCCAATCATTTCGAAGGCCAAAAAGGAAAGATGGAAGAAAACCATTTTCTGCCATAATAACAAAATAAGTAAAGAAACCGGCAGCAGCTTGGATAAAACCAATTTGACCATAGGCCATTGAAATTAAACGCTCGTTCACCAATTTATCTTTTTTGGGATTTCGTGGTTGACGTTTCATGATATCACTTTCAGCTTGCTCATAAGCTAGTGAAATGGCAGGAACCATATCAGTACCAAGATCAATACAAAGGATGGTGACAGTGCCAAGTGGTAAGGGAACATTGAAAATGATAAAGAACAGGAAAGGTGAAATTTCAGGTATGTTACTAGTTAGAGTGTAAGCAATGGATTTTTTCAAATTATCGAAAATCAATCTTCCTTCTTCAACTCCAGTTACGATGGATGCAAAATTATCATCCAACAGTATCATGTCAGCAGCTTGCTTGGATACATCTGATCCAGCAATTCCCATTGCAACTCCGATATCTGCTTTTTTAAGTGCAGGAGAATCATTGACTCCGTCACCGGTTACAGCCACAATAGCACCTTGACGTTGACATCCTTCAACAATAATCAGCTTCTGTTGTGGAGAGGTTCGAGCAAATACTATTTCTGTGTGGTATTTCAAGATATCATCCAATACATCAACCTCCATATCTCTGAGTTCACCTCCATGAATAACAGCAGCCTTAGCATCTCTTGGATTAACCTCTTCAACAGGAATATTCAGACGTTGAGCAATATCTTCAACTGTTTCATTACCTTCTGAGATAATACCAACAGCCTTGGCAATAGCTTTAGCAGTAATAGGATGATCACCTGTTACCATGATGACTTTGATACCAGCTGATCTGCATTTTGCTACAGCATCGGGTACAGCAGCACGAGGAGGATCAATCATAGAAACAAGGCCTAAGAAGCGAAGTCCATCAAGAGGAAAGTTACCTTCATCAGCATCAAATGGATAACCAGGAGGATATTTATCGGCAGGTAATTTGAGATCACAAAAACCAATTACACGTTCACCTAAACCACCTAATTCAAGGTAAGCACAGTTGAAAGCTTCTTTCATTTCTTCATCCAAGGGTCGATCTTGTCCATTAATGAAAATTGATGAACAGCGATCAAGAATACGTTCTGGAGCTCCCTTCATAAGCAGTAAGTAACTAGGATCATTTGGATCATCAGTTTCATGAATGGTAACATGGTATTTGTTGGTGGAATTGAATGGAATTTCACAAATTTTAGGATTCTTTTGTCGGTAACCAGCAACATTTCCGTGAGCAAGCTCCATACATTTAAGAATGGCAGATTCTGAAGCGTCACCAGTAGTATCCCTGTTTAAACAAACAATATAAATTAGCATGTTTTGAAAGTATTTAACTATTCAATTTCAATAATTTACCTTTTGAGGATTGGAGCATTCTCTTGATTTGGTTTGAACTCGGCTCGACTGCACAACATACATACTCTAGCCAATGCCTTCCATCCTACTGAGCTCTTGTCGTATTGGACACCTGAGTAAAAATTATAATGTTATAATTAAGAGTCAATTATTAAAAGGTTAAGATCTGACATACCTGATTGATCTTCTGTTGTATCGGCCTCTATGATATGGTTATCAAACCACATGTGAGCAACAGTCATACGATTTTGGGTGAGTGTACCAGTTTTGTCAGAGCAAATTGTTGAAGTTGAACCTAAAGTTTCCACGGCTTCAAGATTTTTGACTAAACAGTTCTTGGAAGCCATACGTTTGGCAGTGAGTGTCAAACATACTGTTACAGTAGCCAACAAACCTTCTGGCACATTTGCTACAATAATACCAATTAAGAAAATGACAGCATCAAGCCAATTATAATCTAGCAATAAAGCGATAACGAAGAAAGAAACTCCAAGGAAAACGGCAACACCAGTAATAATGTGAATGAAATGTTCAATTTCCTTGGCAATAGGAGTTTGTCCCATCTCCAAACCAGAAGCTAAGTTAGCAATACGACCCATTACTGTTCGATCACCAGTGTTAACTACGATACCCTGAGCAGTTCCTTCCACACAATTTGTTGAGAAAAAGGCGATATTACGAGTTTCTAAAGGATTTTCATTAGTTAATTCTGGGCTTCGAGTCTGAGGTTCTGATTCTCCAGTTAGTGATGAATTATCGACCTTACAGCCATGAGATTTGATAACTCTCATGTCTGCTGGAACTCGATCACCACCTTTAACCTCAACCAGGTCACCAGCAACAACCTCTTCGGCAGGGATAGTGTTTTTCTTTCCTTCACGAATAACGGTAGCATATTGAGGAACCATAGATTTGAAAGATTCCATAATAGCAGAACTTTTGGCTTCTTGGTAATATGAGAAACATCCAGTCACAATGACGACAACAGCTAATACAACACCAAGATAAAGCTGGAAAAAAGTCAAGGTACAAAATTAATAAATCATTCCGAAATCGCATGGTTAAATGAGTTGAAATGTACAAATTCAATATAAAAAAGTACTTACATTATCAGGAGATGGATCTTCAAAGCTAGTAGCTTGAATTGAGTAAGCCAAAAAACATAAGATGGCACCGATCCAAAGTAATAGAGCGAAGCCACCGAATAGTTGTTTGCAGAACTTAACCCATTCAGGTGTAGTAGGTGGAGGAGTTAGGGCATTGGGTCCATCACGTGCTAAAACTGTTTTTGCCTGAGCAAGAGTTAATCCGGTTTCACTATTAGTCTTTAACCGAGAATATAATTCCTCCAAAGGTATTTTGTGCTCATCCTAAAACGCGATCATCCGAAAAGATTGAGTTGAATGAATTGTGGGAGATAGAAAAAAAATTATGCATCAAAACTCATGGATACCAGAAAAAAACCATAGAATAAAAAATGAAGTCAAACAAAAAAAGAGAGAGAAGAAGAAAGTAACCAAGGTGAATGGTTAACCGGTGAATACACCCAATGTCAATGTGATTGAAAAGTAATCCAGAGGCACCCAAATAATTACAATAAATCAAATACAGCAATTATCAAAAAAAGATCCAGAAAATGAGTTAAATGACTGGAAGCTTCGGAAATGGACAATAAACATGCAATATGTAAGCTTTAAATGGACTTACCATGGCCACCTCTTGTTTGAGGTCATCCAATTCCTTTTTCCTCTCTTTTCGTTTCGTTTTTGCATCTTTCTGTACATGAAATAAATCAAAATTAAGAGAACACAAAAATTAATCAATAGCCAAAATTATGCATTAAAAGCGACAAATTTGGTTCAATATGTTAGCTTTTGGAGCAATGAGAAGAATTGGAAAAAATGCAAAAATTGTAATATTGCCTTAAATCAATCAATCTACAAAGTTAATCAACTGAAAGAAATGGAATAAGTTGAGAATAAAAATAAGAACTGAAAGGAATGAAATAAGCGTAAAAGATGTTACTGCTGATAAGACATAATGCAACCTCGACAGGAAAGTAATCTGTAAGGAGGCAAGAACTTCACACCCAAGATTCAGGGTAGAAGAAGAAAAAGCTTGTCACATTCATATGGAAGACAATTAAATAATCAGGGTTCTTAAGGCAAATTGGCAACTTGTCGATGAGACAAGAAACGGTGAAAAATACAGAAGGTACAAAATTGGTGAAAAAGGGCAAACAAGAAAGAATAAAATGGGAAAGGAAAAATTTGAAAAAGAAAGAGTAGAAAGAAAGAGGCAAGGAGATATAAAGGTCGAGTGAATTGATTGTTGCAAATACGAGTTACAGTTTCTTTTTTGCATTAACAATAAGGATTGAAAGGCAATTTTGCAAGTCCTGACTGAACCAAGCTGTTAATTGTTAAATTAGAAAGGTCAAACAGTTAAGCACTTACCTTATCGCTACCCATGATTGTTGATTATAATTGAAAACAATTAGATAATAACAAACTGAAAAGGAGAAGAAGAAGGTTTTACTGTGTAAAAAGGTTCGCGATGCTTTTCAGTTGTTAACTGTGTTCCAGAGACTGATCAGTGCGTATGCGCTTACCCAAAAGAACCTGCAAGTAACTGAAAGGCTGAGTGACTCAAAGTCCACCCCTCGGTAGCCATACAAAGCTTGACGAAGCATCATTACAATGAAAATGACATTTGAATACACCGCTATTTAGGTGCACATCATCTTCAAGGCAATTTTAAATTTTTAATTCTGTTCATTTAAGTTGCCAATCTGGTCCATGGACTAGGAGGAACCCCCTCGAACTCCTTTTTTAAAATATTTCCTCTTTTCTGTCATATTAGGTAACCAGAAAAGTTTTGGTACTATTCAGATCTAATTTCAAATACAATTAAAGTTCAAAAATTAATTCAGCAAAATGTTGAATGAAAAAGTGGCTGACGGAATTCGCCTGAGAAATTGATTTTTTCAAACTAATTTTTTGAATGTTAGATGACATGAAAATAAGATGTTGCTAACCATTTTTCATATTCGAGGCCGTTTTCGCGAAATGACCTTAAGAATTTTTTTCTAAGAACAAATCATTTATGATTAATCTCATCATGTTGATCATGAATAAGAAAAAATGAACAAGATCGGTTTTTTGATACGACCCGTGGTTGCTGAGACAACCTGGAAAAGTGTATAAAAATAAAGAGCAAAACTCTAGTGCAAAGTACAGTAGTCGCCTTATCGTGAATTTCATTGAAATTTTGAAAATTTTTATGATTCTGAAGACAGATTATAACTGTTCGAGGAGATCCTCTTTTCAACAAGTACATGTTCATAAGAGATGACAAGAAATCCATGATATGTTAACCACTACACGACAAAGAGTTGGCTTATTCTGATTTGTTCTGATGTTGCTGCTAGACAACAATTGAAGTCTAGCAACAAAGTGTTGATAGTGACCGGCTCATTTAAGGGATTGCTTGATAAATATTGTAATGCACGGTGTAAAAATTTATACCGCTTGGTGGATTGATTCGACCACTAAAATCGCCATCTCCTTCATCCATCATGGATAGTGATAGCACGATAGCATCTCGCACTCATAAGGCCCATTTCATTTACAACTAAACTAATTGGATGTCATCCAAATCAAACACCGAAATGTTTCATCAAATAAAACCTTCTTTATGGGTCGATCATTTGTCTCAATTAATCAAAGCATATGGCATAGGTCAATAAAACTTGAGTTAAGCTTAATCATCAAACCGGAGAAATTTCAAAGAGTTCAGGATAGTAATGGGTGAGATGGACACCATGAAGCCTGAAAAGAAAGAGAGAAAGAAGAAAGAGAATGAAAAGTCTTTCTCTCACTTGGGTTGTGACCGACTCAAAGGTAACCAAGATTTAGATTCATTACAAAACCCAAAAAGCAGACAAAGAGCGACTCTTTCGTGCAGAGTTGGACGATCATTGGAATTTTGATCGATTTATTTCAATCGATCAAAGATTTGTCTTGATCGATCGATTTTCCATCAACAAATAATTCAATTCCTAAATGGATAAATTTCAACATAAAGTTTTAAAATTCCGGTTAAAACATGCTTCTTAGCCTTTGATGCATCTTTTTGCACCTTTGATCATTCAAAAACTTGATCGATCATGATCATCCCATCTTTCGGGATTCTGCTCTGATTAAAGTTATTTTAATTGGGTTAATCTTCTTTCTCTTAATTTGTGATTTAACCATATTTAAGTGTCCTTACATCAACTGTTTGATTGCTTTGTGTTTAAATTAAAACATGCTACTGCATTGACTGCCTCCAGATGCTTTGCATTGTCAGAACAATAAATACACCAGAATAAAGTTAATACATTTTTTGAATAAAATCAATGAGTACAATCTGATAATATGAGAATTTGTCTGTTTTATAAAATTATTAACATTGATAACATTCATTAATGTTATACGATTTCTCTCCATTGTAATTGTCCATTCATATGGACTCATATTGAACCTTTAGCCTCTTCAAGAGATAAGGATGATTGAATTCAGAATAGTTGCCTTGGCTTCAGTTAATCTTAAGCTGTTTGAAGAGGATGACATGGAAAAATGGAAATTGAAATGAAAGAAACAATCGAAAGAACTACCGAGTTTAGCATAATTTTTCAAGATGAATTCTTGTTTCTATTCCGTGTAATCTCTTTGAAATATAATTATTTTTATTCTTCATTTCAAATGTCAGAACTGAGTGAATTTCACTCAACTGTCAAGCTGTTCATGGTTTTGGGTACAATAACTCAGCTGCTCAGTCGTACTATGCATTTGTACCCAGTTGTTGGGTGATGTCAATGAAAGGCCTTTAAAGTTCAACTGTCTACCTTATATCATCCTTAAGGCACACTCTGTCTATCATTTCCATCCCTTCCCATTCCAATAATAATCATCATCTTTTTTATTGTCATCATCTTCATTATCATCACATTTTCCCTGTTCAAACTTATTCTTAATGTTCGTTTCCTTAACATCTCTTTTCTCGTGAGAGTTCATCGTTTGTAAATTGTTTATTTTTGGTTATTTTTGCATTTGATTGTCACCACATTGTATCTAACACTGATCAAGCTTTGTATGGCAACTGAAGGGTTCATAAGCAACTCAGGCCTTGACTTTACGTCGACGCGTGCGTTTGAACCGACTGAATCAGATAATTCGGTTTATATTTTTCTTGCAATCTTCATCTTTTTACCGTTCTTTTCATCATCATTTTCCTCACTCTATTTATCCTTTCTTTCCCTCTTTCTAAAAGGCAATCCAAGGAAACATTTTCTCGTTCACTTCTCCTTCTTCATGAGAAACCGTTTACATCCATTGAATCTTTCAAGAATCTTTCTGATAACCAGTTCTCTCCATCACTGTCTTTGTCTCTCCTCCATTTTTTCCCAAACATTTTTCCTCATCAGTTTCACTCTGTTCTCCTTATTAATCTAAAGTTTACCATTCATTTCCCCTGTGTTCATCTCTTCTCACCGTGAGATGCAGACTTTCATCTAATGATTCAAGAGGAGTTACTCCTCTAAATGTTTAATCTTGCAAATGAATGAAGAGTTTCATAGTGATGATGAGCAGCTAGTTATGTAAATCAAATTGAAAAGATGAGCAAACATGAAAAAGATAGGCAACCCTTTAAATTGGTAAATTTCTGGTTATCTGGTTCTTAACTTGTTTTTACATTGTTAATTTGGTGAAACCAGAAAACATTGAAAGTAAAAAGGAAACAAAAAAGATCACTTAAAGAAAAGCAAAAACTGAAAACATTTTCAGATTAAACTAAAGCTTCTTGTAAAATGTTACATTTTTTGACATTACAGATTATTGCATCTTTTATGGTACATTTAATAAACAGAGTTAAGTAAAGGAATAGGAAACAGGGAATGTCATGAAAATGAGATTCACAGATTGAAACAAAGTAAAGAACAAAATGGTCAGATTATTCCAAATACATTAGTTCTTGAATTAACATGGTAAAAGCAATCCAAGGATTTTTCTTGTATAACTGTTTATATTGATGTTGATGAATTTATTTTTAGCAATATCGACCCAAAATAACAACTCAAAGCCTAGCCCAGATCATCATCTCACACCTTTTTTTTCATTCTGGTTCCAGATGAGTCTGTTCATTGTGTAAAGAAAGGAACAGACAAAAGAACGTTTTACTTTAACAAGGTCAAGGTCAACTTATGGAAACAAAATATTACAATCGTTCACATGAGAGTTTATCTTCAATATAATTATTTAACTAAAGGAAACATTTATTGGACAACTGAGGAATGGATCGTTCAGTATTGATATTTATTATCAATCGATACAATTGACATACTTCGCAATCAAAAGAAATTGGTTGTGCAAATTCAAAATAGCAAAACATTCATTGAAGATCACATAAGCTTTTCAGATGCGGAGCTTTTCAATTTCACCCTGTAAAGATATTATTTTTGGTGTCAATTGTCTTCTTACATTGGCAATGATCGAACCAATAACACTGAGTGATTGGAGTAATGACCCTCACGAACCGTCAACACGAAAACGAATGGAGTTTGAAAACTCATTGATTTGTCAGTTTATTGGCAAACTTTGTATCAAGCGTCGAGGTTTAGTATTTTCTCAATCGTTTTTATGTCCTCCGACACACCCATTCCAGATTCATACAATGTCCTGCGTGAAACCTGTACATGCAACAGTAAAGATGGCTGTAATTACGGTTTTATATCTCACGGGAATTTATCAATCATTTGGTTAATGTTTGCCATTTGCCAATTATTCTGAATAAAAAGGTGAATAGAAATATTCATTCAAAATTCCGGTTGCTTGTTCATTGAAGTTACGGCGAAGTTAAGTTTTTTGCATCGAGAAACCTCTAACGAAGATTATTAAAGCTTCACTGGTACTTATTTGACGCTGGATTGTATTTGATTCAACTTTTTTGGGTCATCTGTATCATTCTTTCAATTATTTTCTGGTATCGGATTGTCAGAGATCGTTCTCGTAACAGATTAATCACATGGGTTGTGAATTCATTGCTAGCCTATGAAATAGAGTGAAATTTTAAATGAAGATTTAGCTATATTTTATCACTTTTTTCGAGTATGATTCAACAGCTTATTTTCCTGCCTGTACCAAAATTATTATAATCTGATTTAATTTTTATACTATCCACACTCGATCGCGTCGTCTTTAGCAACAAAACATTGAGAATAAATTTAGACATAATATTGAAAATAGTTGAACTATTATGATAGTTTCCAATTCATTAATTTTATATGGAAAATAGAACAAAAAATTTCAAAAATTAATTAAATAAGGAGTTTTTCAATTTCACTCTGTAGAGATGTGATTTGAGGTGTCAATTGGCTTCCTTCATTGGCAATAATCGAACATGCAATAACTGATCTTGATACTCCACAAGCACGACCAAGAGCTGAAAATAAATGAAATATATTATATTAAAAAATGGAAAAGGTTGAAAAAATATTTAAACATTTAAGAGAGCAAAAAACAATGAAATATCTTACCATGTTTAGATTTGACAAAAACATAAGGAACATTTTTATCTTCACATAGAAGAGGCAAGTGTAATAAAATTTCCAATGGTTCAGCATCAGCGGCCATAACTATCAATTGGGCCAAATTTCTTGCTAATGTTTTGGTAGCCTCATTAGCTCCTTTCTTAATTTGTTTATAATTTGCAGCTTGTTGAATTAGCTTCAAAATTTTAGCAGTCAATTGGTCATCAGCTAATGGATATGCTTTGGGATTTATTCCTTCGGAAGTCTGTTGAGAAAAAAATTGAGACGCATGAATTTAAATGAATCTACATCAGGGATATTATTCAAAGAATTGAGAAAATTACTCACCATGATTAATGATAAATATGGAATAATCAATCAAAAACGATTTAAATAATGAAGAAACACAATCAACGAAAAACAAAATACAAGTTTTCAAACCATGTGCTGGTCGATTTGCTAAGTAACTTAAGTTTTCATAGCAGCGTCATCTATGTAGCAAAATGAAAGTTTTTCAAGATAGTTAAGCGCTGAAATTGAATCTCGAAATGCTTGTGTTAATAACAGACTCAACTTTAATTATCGAGTTATGAGTTGAGCCTTGATGAGTCCTAGAGACATAAAAATGAAGTTTTCTCATGTAATTGAAACAATATGATGACAGCTTTTGATAAAATCGTGTCGATGCATCTTTTCAGTACTATTTGGTTTGGTGTTTGCATTTACTGAAGATTGAACAATATAAATTTTAGATGCATAATAATTTCATTGTTATAAGTTCTGAATTGGTTCAAATTTCGATTAAAAGATTGATTGTCCTTCTTTTTCATCAATTTCTGTATTATTTTATTCGCCTTTTGTCAGTCTATCAAATTTGTCAGCGATTTCCCAGTTGATTTGCATGCAATTGTTGTAATGAATAGACTAAAGGTCTTTTCAAAATAATTGTCAACTCCAAATCAATTTATTTATCTCAATATTATATTTAAGAAATGTCTGAGTAATAAATTTTTCCAGTTATAAGACGTAACCATTGATGATTATTCTGGATAAAGAAATAAATGACAGATGGTTAACCTTAATTGTTAAATTTGCATTCGGTTTTAATGTTTCGTCTAAACTCGTTCCTTCAAGTCTTTTGAATAATGATGATTCAGTTAATCTAACAATTCATGATCAGTGTTTTGGTGAGCAAAAAACTATCAAATTTGTTGTTTCTATTTAAAAGTAACATAAATCATGGAATTGAATATTTTTATTGCGTTCAAATAAACACAAAATCTGCCAGAATGGTCTATAAGTCTATTATTGTATCAATGATCAGAATTTTGTGTCTTTTTGGTTGTCTATTTCAATTGTATAAGGTAACCAGTAATTTTCTTGAGTTCAGAGTGAGGAGCGAAGTAACTTTCGATTCACCTAAAAAGATTGAAATGCCAGCAATCGACTTTGCCTTTCCAATAGCAACACTAATTAATTTAACTGCTTTGGAATTGCATTCACCAAATGTATTATCTAATGTGTGCCAAGAATTTAAAGACAACAAAGGGGGAGACCAGCAATCGAGATGTGCACAAGCCTTAAAATCTCCAAGAATTATGACTCAAAAGCTGGTAAATCATTTAAAAACTGGCGATATTGAAAGGTTTACTCGTGATCCAACCAAATATTTCACGTTTCTCAACATACAATCACAATTCGATCCCAATCTGATCGAAAAAAACTGTTCATTTAAACGCTATTTCAATTTTCAGAATATATTTGTTCGTATTTCTTGCCTCAATGGCTCTAACCCGATCTTCATTGATACTAAAAACCTGTTGGTTGAGGATTTCCCTTTTCTAATGATGGGTTTGACAATTGATGGACTTGGCTCTTTTGCTTTAAGACTGAGTCCTGTTAACAGTCAGATAATTGGTAATATGAATGAATTCAGGTTGATCAATCTCTCTTCCGATAAATTTAACATTCTTAGAATCTCATTTAAACGAAAAATAACCCGAATGTTGGGTCCTCCATTTGAGACCAATTGCCGTGATTTCAATAAAAAAGCAGCTCTGGAGGAATGTGTCAACAATAAAACACTTCAATATTCACATAAATTGTTTCGAAACATCGCTGTTCCTTTTGGTCGCTATTCAGAACAAATTGGCTTCTCTTTAGTCTTATCCGATCTAACAAAAAAATTACACAGTGAATGTGCGTTTAAAATGAATTTCAATGAATGCCAATCAATTGATTATAGTCTCGAAATTGAAAAGACTATAGAAGAACAGAAATATGGATTCTGTTTTATTACTTTAGAGCCAGTTACTCCAGATTTAATTTACATTTCCCTTCCAGCTCAAAACTGGCTCGAGTTTATCATATTTGTTGGTAGCGTACTAGGAATGTGGTTTGGTGTTTCAATGTTAAGCCAAATGATGGCTATAATGCGATTCTGTGAAACTTGCACTCATCCAACATCGGTTCATGTTGAATCGTCAGGAGTGAGCTAGGAATGGCCAGCAATGGAATCAAGTCTTGGATCAAAACGATCAATTATAAATTTCCGGCCATTTGCTTTGTACAAAATTCCAATCAAGATAGAATGTAATAAAATGAAGATAATTAATAAAATTTTGCATCTGATATGTTCATAACAAAAATATTCCTCGCTAGGCAGTTTTCCCTATTCTTTTGGTCTTCATCCTTTTGAAATTTATAAAGATAAAAACTGAAAGATGATTTTTTTTTAAAAAATTTTATTGAAAATCAGCAAATGACGCATATTTTTTGAATCAGCTTTTCTTTATTCTTTCCGATATACACTCATTGAAATTGTCACCTTTTAAAAGATTTGACTAGTTTAAATCATAAGGATGAACGCAAGAAACGTTGGAAGCCAGTTTCTCAAACAATTAGTGGATGAAATTAACTATGTCTACTTTTTTTAAATCACTTTGAGAGGGCATAAGAAGGGTGAAAAAAAATGAAACAGACAGAGGAGAAGAACAAGAAAAATTGAATAACCATTGGCTGGATATTGACAAAAATGATATGTTCATTTGGTTGCAGTGGCTGTTGATGGGTTAGGTGTTGATGGTGATGGTAGAGTGGGTGAGGTTAGGTTAGGTATACATGATAATGAAAATGATGATCTATCGCCTGGTGTTGTTGAAAATGATGGTAAAGGTAAGAAAGAGCATAATCTTTTAGATGAACTTAAAGCTTGTTTAGATGGTGGAATCGAGAGAAACGGAGGATCAGACGAGACTGGATCCAATAGACGGTCTCGCCTTAATTGCTTCTCAAATTCAACCAATTGTCCAAGAAAATTAAAATTTGGTGATATAGTTGGTCTTTTAGACTTGACATATCTGAAAGTAAAAATAACAAAAGATTAATACAATTGGCAATCAATTTTCAACCTGAAAAAAATGTAAAAACATACCTGTAAGCATCTTCATAAGACATTTTTGAGTGCTGCATGACATAAGCAATAGCTATCGTAGCTGATCGAGAGATACCGGCCAAACAGTGAACTAACGCACAACCACTTGATTCACGAACTTTTTCTGAAAAACAAAAATTAGAAAATGAATTTAAAAATTAATCAATTTTAGTGATTTCTTTGTTTCATGGGAAAAATTTACAATTGTATCAAATTAGCATTCCTAATTCAATTAAATCTTATTGTTCAGTTGATTGAATTATAATTTTATTACATAATGGAATCGGAAAATCGATTGTTTATACGCCTGTTTTACCCTTGAATGCAACAGTTTTGTAAATCGCGAAATTTACCAATCAATTAATAAATGGAACACTAATCAATAAATCTATTCATAGATTTCAACCATTACATGTTCATAGTTACACCCTGTAAATAAACAACAATGCAGGACACGTAATCCACAAAATTCAGGTAAAAATCAATGACCAAGAATAACAAAAGATTATTAAATAATGCAAAAATGAATTGAAGACCTTATGAGGTAAGAAAGGAGTTGAAATAGTTCACAAAATTTAAATCAATGATCGATGGTTAATTGATTTGGTTTCAGACTGTGGAAGCTTTCAAGGCATGAAAATCAAGACTATAGTGAGAAGTGTTGATAAGGAATATAATTAATAATATTCAATTTCCTTTTCGGTGAAGACATTTTATACTTGTATTAGTCTTCTCACTTGTTCATCATCTTATTTTCCCCATCAGTTTCTGTTTATCTTTCCTCCCTTCGCCATCTTCTTCGTCATCATTTAGAAGACATAAAGAGATGAAAAGAGTGACTTGAAAGCTCAGAAGGAAAAAAAAGTTATCCTGGTTTTATCCTCAAAAAAGCTATTCATGACACCAAATGTATTATACATTATATATAAATATTTTTCCTCGCCAACTCAACATTACTCACTCTCCATTAGTAAATGATGGTTTTGCTTAACTCATTTCATCGATTGCTCACCCAAATTATTTGGGAAAACAAAGTTATGCTTCTGAGTTTAGCTCATATAGCTATGGATATACCTCATGTAAATGGTGTTTCAAGATCAAATAAAGTGAGGTTGAGGAGTGAAGGGAAGGGAATGAATAAAAGTAATAAGGTGAAGGAATGAACAAATAGAGGTATGAGTAAACCTTCCAGTTACCAACCAAGAAATGATCAATTGAATAGGTGAATAAGGATATAGAGTGACATGGCGAGAATCTAGTATATTGAATATTTGATAATCCTCACCATTGGATATTCATGAAAAATCGGAAAATATCAAAATTAGTCAGTAAAATGTATATAACAATACTAATAGCTTGTCAAGAAATTGAAAAAGTGTTAAAGGCTGTTCAATGAAAAAACATCAAAAACAATTCTTGCCTCAAGAATTTCATATTGGTTCATGATAATTAAAGTGATAATTTTCATCAAATTAATGAAAAACGAAGGACAAAAACCTTATAATCATAATAATTCACTTTCAAGTCAATACTACATATAATACTGTATTTGAATAATAACAATACTGTATACATAATATTTGTTTTAATAACAGCATGCAATATATTGGGGTTAACTGTTTGCAATGAGTATTGACATGATTCTGAAACAATTTTCTATGTAAATTACTATTTTGTCTCAAGTCAATTTGTGAATCAATAATCAAACAAATATTCAATATGATGAATGGCTCGATAAGTTAACAATGACCATTGAGGGAAACTTTATACTCTTAGTATTAATCGAGGCAATTTCTTGGCTATTTTAATTAGTTTCTTATGTTAGCCTTGACAATCAAACGGTTCTTACAAGACTGACCATAGATTAGTCAATGCAAATTGAAAGGTACAACATTAACTATTAATGTATAGTTAATTAGTCATGAAAATCAATAATTAGTAATCGAAAATATATTTATAGATAATGGTGAAATAATAATTAGCAGTTTATCCTTAAGCTCCCACAAGGTGAAAATGATTGATGACTACATTACAGGTAAAAATACTTTCAATACAAGATTTGTAATTTTAACTGTTAACCAACTTAAAATGTGCATCCTGTTTCATCATTCAATTGAAACTCATGAAACTTTAAAAATACTTAAAATTATATCACAAACTGAAATATCATTAGACTATGTTTACAGTTACTAATAAATTACTAATTAAATAGCTATTTTTGATTACAAAAACATTGCATAAATTCATTACTAATAGTTGAGCTAGAACTGAAGAGCTTCAAAATTTTGAATGAAATTCTGAATGATGAACAACTTTGGTACCTTTGGTAAAATTTTAATCAACGTGATACATTAAATAACTCAATATAGTAGCTTAACAAAATCTAATAAGTTTGATTAGGTTAAGGTTAATTTTGGGTGAAAGAGGCAAATCAAATAAAAAATAATGCGATTTACTGTTAAACGAGAGGAAATGTAAACAAAATAATAAAATATAAGGTACAATTATTCAATTGAATCAACAGCGAAACAACATGATTACTCAGCTGCAGAACAACTGAAACTCAAAAATAATAAAATTGAATCAAACAATATAATAAGAGTCAGAAAAAGGTGTATAAACTGATAAATATTGATAAGTAGTAAATAAATACTAAACCTATTTGCTTATTGATAATTAAAGGCTTTGTTACTTATTATTCAACTAGACACGAAATGGACATTAAAGTCATGTTGATTCAGCACATTTTTAAGCTCTTCATGAGATACTTGTCCAGAAATTTAATAAAATTCATTTGATATTATTCATAATTAGTAATAATTTGATTTTCTTGAAATCTGTTCAGTTAAAGTCTCAACTTGTTTGATATTGACTCTGTAATATTTCGGTTTAGGATTTAGTTGTAGTCGAAAGTATTTCAATTATTAGTTGAAAACTTACAATGAAATTAACGGTATCTCATGATTTTTGGCTGAAAGTTTCGAAGGTTTTCATTTGCACGATTTTTAATGATGAGCTCATGAACAACGTCGGATTTGAATTCAACAAGATTATATTTAGCTGTTTATTTTTAGCAGGCATGTATCGAGAACTAAACAATTAAATTTAAATTAAAAAGAATACCCAAGGTTTGAGTTCTCTGAGAAAAACATCATGAATGAAACATAAATTTTATTTGAATATCAACTCAACGGATGTTTTGCTCCCAATGAAAAGCAAAGTTTCCGAAAATGTAAATTAAAATTAACTTACCAAGAAAATTAAATGCCATCGGAAAATAAGGAAGCAATTTTTCACTGTAATTATCGTTAACAGGTATCCGCATGAAATGAGATTCTTGAACAAAGTCAGGCTTTGGACAAGTAATGCTAACATTTAGCTCGTACGTGATATTATGAGTCTGTATTGAGAAAAGGAAAGAAGCTGGATTAATATTTGGTAAAGATAATTTCATGAACCAATTTAGAGAATTTTAAATTGAGGAAAAAATTATTTAAAGAAATAACTAGCTTAAAATTTCTTCTCAGTCAAAGTTTGAACAAATATTGATTTTTAAGGTTTTTACTCTATAAGTTTTTTCTGTTGGAAAGTGAGAATTAATTGTCATCAGGAAAACAGCGAATTACGATAATCCCATATTGATTTAGCCCAAATTGATGATTGAAACTCCTGGAGTTCTTTGTTTTTCATAAATTAAAGAAATCATCTAAAATGAAAAGGCTTTATAGCCAAGGTCTGAATTCATGTAAACTGAAACAAGCCATTATTTTCATTGGAGTTTGTTTTTCTGTGAAAAATTCTTATTGGACTTCGTTCAATAACCAGAGGCTGAATCTCAATCTGTGACTTCATAATCGATGGTAAGATAGCAACACATATCCAAATCAGGTAGTAATTTGATGAAATACAAAAGCTTGTTCAGAAAAATATGTTATCCAAAAATACAATGAAACCAATTGATTATTTTAAGAGCCAAAGGTTAAAATAAAAGAGTCCATTTCATTTTAGGGAGAATTCAATCTTCGTTTCGGGTTAAATCAATATGTTGTAGTAATTCTGGAAAGAAAAATCAGATTGTAAGATAAAAATTGACATTATCCACACTTTTCCTACTTGACTTGAACATGTTCATCTCTTAGAGCTGAATGAAAAGATTATGTTATCCAAGATTTAACTTCTTATGGCTTGAAAAATTAACGTTGAACGTTGAAGAAAAAGATACACTTAACAGGACAATTTATAATTCAAGCTATCAGCAATTGTGTTGAAATACAATGTCAATCTAATAGAGAGTATTCAAGAATCATTCATACACTAACAATAGCCTGAAATGTTCATCTATAAATACCAAAAGATAAATCATTCATTAAAATGAAATATTTTGGCAATTTATATGAACTTAATTAGAAATAACTTTTAGGAATTACATAAGAAAGCTATTCATTGGCAGCATTTGATAATTAGTACCTTTAAAAGCTCTTTGTTGTAAGCATCATGTTGAGAGCCTAAGTAAAGGAAAGGTAAAATTTTTGTAGGTCCTGGATTGATTGTTGGAAGACAAGGTTGTGATAATGATGTTAAATATTTTTTGGCTTCACAGAGATCTGGATATTTTGACTGAAAGTTGATAAATCCTCCAATCAGTAAGCTAACATTTTTGAAAGTTGATACCAATTTTGATATGAAAACAGCAAGAAAACAATCCTCGGGTATTGAAGTGAAATTTTTTGAATCATGATCATAAAGGATAATTTCCACATTTGGATCAGGCTCACAGCCAACGACATTAGTGATCATTTCATTAGCAGTTAACTAAGTGGGAAAAGAAAGAAAGAAAATTAGAAAGTTAATCAGAAATATATGAAGACAATTTATATAGAAATTAAAACTTTATGGACACTAATAAATTATTGATTAAGCTACTAACCTTTCCTTGTTGTAAACGTCTTAAAACAAGCTTTGATGAGGTGACTTGAGATGAAGTTGAGATATGGCTTGTGTTATATTCAAGAAAAGATCTCATATCCAAGATTAATATATTTTGCCGACCATTTTTAATATATGAGGCCAGTGTGTCAATATCGACTAAGTTTAAATTGCATGTTGCTTGCTTGGTGACTTCTGGTACATCCATTTGGTATTAATTAAAGTAAGTACGAAAATTGGAGTTGAAAGAGAGAAGATACAGAAGACAATTTGAAGATGAGTGTGGTTGATAGGGTCACTCGTTGGTATTAGTAATGATTGGTTATGATCGTTGTTTTATAATACTTATGATAGTATTATATAATTAACTTTGCTTTTTTTGATTTTGGTCGAATGATCACATCAGTAAAGGGAAAGAGGATTGACAAATCAAAGGATAAGACGACAAAATGAATTTGTGGCTGGATGATTATGATGGTTATTGATAAAAATTGAGATTTAGTGGGTAAAGTTAATGATGTGTTTGTGATTATGGCGAGTAGCGGAAAACGGCGACCACTAAGTTGACTAGAATTGTGTTACCAGACATGAAAAAACTCTGTAAAAGTCTGAACTGGCGAAATTTTCATTCCTTCGCCATAATAGAATTCTTTGTTCACTTGAGAAGATTTAGTAAAAATTGATTAGAAGATTGTGAATTGATAGCTCTGGGATGATTATTCAAAATTTATACCGCTGTTTGCCAAGACCGTTAGGTGAGATCAATAGTTGTCACTTTGGATTATCGTTAATCAAAATCAACTTATTCATCAAACGTGAAGAAAAACAAGTTTGAAATAGAGAGAGAGAGAGAGATAGAGAGAAGTTGATAGAATCAAGGATGAGTGAATAGATGAGTAAACGAGTGTTTAGAGAGAAATAGAGATAGAGGGAGGGAGAAGAGCAAAAACAGAGAGAAAAAAGAGTTGATTCAATTGCACTCGAAGACCCGGCGATTATTCAACTTAAAATATTTCAAGTATATTTCCGGTTTATGCTAATGGCTTTGGTTTTTGATTCTCTGTTGCCTTGTTTAGTATTGGTTAGTGTGTCTCCAAATTGGCTTGCGTAAAATATCAGGTTCAACGTTGATTGCACTGCTGTTGGTGGTTAGTTAGGCTTGACTTGAAAATCAACTGGTAGACGTAGTAATAACATGATAATAATAAATTAATATGGTTAATTGAATAATGGCAATAATGTATCAATAATAGCAATAGTATTAATAGTATAAGTACTATGATAATAATTTTCCTTCCTTCCTTTCTTTATGTATGTGTGTGTATATATGCGTGTGTTTGCTCCAACAATTAATGTTACTATTCAATTAATAACAGTGTCTTGATGAATTTCACCGTAGGAAAAGAGGTGAGAGAGCAAAAGAGAGGGGAAAAACAGTTATCAACGATGAAATAAAAGAGATCTGATCCAACACATTGATGATTGCACTGGTTTAACCATCAAATGGCGATGATTGTAGTTGATATTGTTGTTGATTAAAGATGGTATAGACTTATTTACACTGTCGATGAAAATTTTAAATACAAGTAAATCACTGTAATAATAATTCAACATTATTATTGGGCATGTTAAACCGTTTTACTGGGAAACAGAGAGTAAAAAAAGAGGAAAGCAAAAGATGATGATAAAGAAAAAATAGCGAGAGCAAAAATGTTGAGAATAGGGAAAGACTTTAATAGTAAAGATTATCAAAGTACAAGAGGAAGAAAAGTTAGAACAATTAGATTTAGGTGATGAGAATTATTTTATTAAAGACACTTTTTGATAAATTAAACTAATAAATTAATAGACGAACAGAAACAAAACAAGAACAATGTTTACACCGTTTTGTTTAATGTCTCAACTTATTTACTAATTGTTCTTTCCCCTTATGGTTCAACTTGTGTTCAGCTCTTCAACAAAATCACTTTCACAACATACTCAAGCTTCCACTAATTACGTCATCATGACGTTTCTCTCGATGAGTCATCATTGAGGGAAGGTCACCTTCTTTACCTAATCATTTGTTTCATAGATGGCTGTACTGAGCTAAACCTAAAGGACAAATTTTGTCATCTTACAATTTTTGTTTTATTTCTGTTTGTTCCTAATTAATTAATTATTTTGGCCTTAATTAAGGTAAGTCTAAATTATTATCTATCACAATGCTAACCATTTCTTAGAGCTTCAAGGATTTAGCCAGTTCATTATGGTACTGGCTTGATTGAACTCTAATCTTGTCTGTATTGTTACTATAACTGACTCTTGTTTGTTTTTTTTGGTCCTTGCAATTATTAGGCTTGTTTATCAGGATGTTTGGTGCACTAAGGAAAGCTTTACCTTTGATTGCTCGCCAGCAAGGGTCTGCTAAATCGTTAACCAGAGCTGCATTTGCTTCGGTCAATAGGAGATGGGCTCATTCAGCTGCTGGTGAGGTTGGTGGTGTTTCTGGACCCTTTTCAACTGAGAGCATACTTGAATTTACAACATTTTATTTAGTTATTCCTATAATTATCTGGGCTCGAATTCATTCATATTATGAGATGCAAATCGAAATTAATGAAGAACCTGTATTGCCACCTCGTTACGAGTACTTGGGAGTGATTAGAAAGAAGTTCCCATGGGGTGATGGTATTGAACCGCTTTTTGGATGGCCTAGAGGTCGATCACCAGCTGAATATGCTGCTCGTAGAGAAGCTGGTTTACCAATGCCCGATTTATTGGATGATCTTCCAGATGATGATGATGAAGATTAAATAGTATATTTATCAGTTGAAATTGTGCTTTGCTTCTGATTAGTGTAAATTTATTCAAGTTTTAATTCTAATTAAAAAACTTGATTGTTCGAAACTATCCAACTAAATTTCAAAATTTACTGGAAAAGATTATAAATCTATTTCAATCCATCATAAATTATCTGAAATATATCGAATTAGACTTAATTTTGACCAAAAATTTTCTAACATCTGAACTTTCCTTCCCCTCTAACTATAAACCGGTTACCAGTAACCAAGACACCAATACTTTCACCAAATGAAAACAATAATTTATCATAAACTTTGTTTTATGATATGAAATTTTGATCTATTTTTAATTTTTTTATAACTTGAAGTGAGATTGGCTGATCAATTATAGAAATTTTAAAATGAATAACGCATCAGTTCTGATGATTCTAGTTAGCTTTATGACACTTTTTCATTCAGGTAAGTTTACTGGTCAATCTGCTATCAATATTTTCTGGTTGCAACTTTTAGAACTCTTATTTTCCTTCCATTCTCGTAAATTAATTTATATTTACATCCAGGAGCTGCTATCAAGTGTTGGCTTTGTAATAGTAGAACGGATCCTAAATGTAATGACCCATTCATTAACGAATCAATACCACTAAGTGATTGCAATAATGACCCTCATAAACCGTCAACTCGTAAGTATTCCTATGTGATATTTTGGTCATATCTTTCAATCTTATTGGAAATGATTTCGACAAAATTTATTTATGATTTATTTGTAGCCAGTTTGATTGGAGTTAAAGCAACAATGTGTCGAAAGATTAGACAGAAGGTCGACAACGAATGGAGAGTAACTCGATCTTGTGCTTATTTTGGTGAACCAGGAGAAGGAACTGGTAACGAACATGTTTGTAACTACCAAACAGGTAAGATTAAAGCGGAGAGAGTTAATTTGATTAAAAAATTACATTGTTCTCATTGATTTGTCAGTTCATTGGCAAAACTTTGTATCAAATACTGAAGCTTAATATGTTCCTAATCGTTTTCATGTCCTTTCCGACACACCCATTCCAGATTCATACAATGTCCTGCGTGAAATCTGTACATGCAACAGTAAAGATGGCTGTAACCACGGTTTCATATCTCACGGGAATTTATTAATCATTTGGTTAATGTTTGTCATTTGCCTACTATTCTGAATAAAAAAGTGAATAGAAATATTCATTCAAAATTCCGGTTGCTTGTTCACTGAAGTTACGACGCCATCCTTTTGCATCGAGAAACCTCGAACGAAGATTATTGAAGCTTCACTGGTACTTATTTGACGCTGATTTGTATTTGTTCAAACTTTTTTTTGATCATCTGTATCATTCTTTCAATTTATTTTCTGTGCCATCGAGTTGTCAAAGATCGTTTTCGTAAAAGATTCATCACATTGGTTGTGAACGTTAATTTGATTTGTAAACATTTGTGTTCGTCGTAACTATTAATCTCTTATTTTTGTGTTAATCATGGGTGATCATCAAATTAATCGTCCGAACTATCAAGTCAACCAGGAGATTCTGGACCTATTTCCTAAACTTCATCGCAAGTCTTTTGACATGGAAAAAGAGCAAAATTTTGAACAAAAACCTTCAAACTTTAAATGCTTCAGATATATTGTCATTTTTTTCTAGCCTGCATTCAACTTTTATACTATCCACTGCTTATCCACACTCGATCGCGTCCAGTCTTTGTAAAGAATAACATTGAAACATTGTTTCCAATTAAATAACTTTATATGGAAAATAGAGCAAAAAATTTCAAAAATTAATTAAATAAGGAGCTTTTCAATTTCACTCTGTAGAGATGTGATTTGAGGTGTCAATTGGCTTCCTTCATTGGCAATAATCGAACATGCAATAACTGATCTTGATACTCCACAAGCACGACCAAGAGCTGCAAATAAATGAAATATATTATATTAAAAAATGGAAAAAGTTGAAAAATATTTACACATTTAAGAGAGCAAAAAACAATGAAATATCTTACCATGTTTAGATTTGACAAAAACATAAGGAACATTTTTATCTTCACACAGAAGAGGCAAGTGTAATAAAATTTCCAATGGTTCAGCATCAGCGGCCATAACTATCAATTGGGCCAAATTTCTTGCTAATGTTTTGGTAGCCTCATTAGCTCCTTTCTTAATTTGTTTATAATTTGCAGCTTGTTGAATTAGCTTCAAAATTTTAGCAGTCAATTGGTCATCAGCTAATGGATATGCTTTGGGATTTATTCCTTCGGAAGTCTGTTGAAAAAAAAATTGAGACAAATAGAGATTTAATATCATTAATACAAACAATCGTTTGTCGGAATTTTAAAATGAATAAATACTTACCATAATTAATCGGTGAATTTACTAAAACAATCTTTAAATCAATATTTATTCGGCAATGTATAGAACAATCGTAAATGATAAATGATTCAAACTTTTCAAATTTAAAGCATGTGGCTAAAACGTGAAATATCAGTCAAGTAAAGAAAGAAATAAACCGAAAATATAATAAACGGGTACTTGAACCAGCAGATGGCTCTCAAGTAAAATACTTTCTTTACTTACTTTTTCTCTTTCTTTCAAGCATAAACATTTTCTGCTTCAAATATGGGAGAATCGATTTTTGTTGGTGTGCTTGATATCGATAAATATCGATGTTATCGATACCATGTGACTTGCAAACGAACCAATGGGTGAATGAGATTGGTAACCGAAAGTTGCACATGTTAAACCACGTTAATTTGAATTGTAAACATTTGTGTTCGTCGTAACTATTAATCTCTTATTTTTGTGTTAATCATGAGTGATCATCAAATTAATCGTCCGAACTATCAAGTCAACCAGGAGATTCTGGACCTATTTCCTAAACTTCATTGCAATGATGCTAAACTCCGTTTGAGTTCAGCTAACAAAATACTTAAAATAATTTCTAAAGACAAGGTAAGTAAAATATCTCAATTATAGTTTTCTCTTTATCTTTCTAATATTCTGTCGTTTTATTTTCATTTTATTATCTGTCTTTAATCGTCGTGTTATTTTAATCTGTTATCTTTTTTCTCATTTTCTTTAGAAGAATTGCGATAGTCATGATTTCAATTATGTTGTCGAGCGTCTGATCAAAGGGACTAAATCAACTAAAGATGCATCAAAAATTGGCTCAACTATTCTTCTTACTGAAATACTTTTTTCATTTCCTGATTTTCAAATTATTAAACTATTTGAGATTGCCAAACGGATCCTTGGAGATGTGAATGATCTTAGTTTAGAAGGCGTCACAGGCTGGACGTTGATTTTTACTGCTATCGTACAATCCAATCGTTTGGATATCTCTGAGAAGAAAACATTGGAGCAATTAGTTCGATTTATGGTTCAATTAGGAGTCAAAAAACCTAAGTGTAACGTTGCCATTTGTAACATCTTTGCAAAGCTATTTGATAGCCAATTTGAGCCTGATAGTTTTGGTAAAATACTAAACTCATCGCTGAAATTCAACGAAGGAGGAGATACGCATCCTTTCCATTTATATCTCATCTTATTGATTAATAAACATCCGGTAATTATTCGAAAGTTTATTCAAGGGTCCATTCAAGAGTATGTTTCTTATTTATTCATCTTTAAATTTGTCATTGTTTATGTATTCAGGAGCTTTCTCTGGTTCTTGACCGTATACCTACTGTTGACTTGGACTCTCCTGATAATTTGATTGACTATGTTAAGGTAAGAGAAGTCATTTCCATCATTAATGTTTGAACATTTTAATAATCAATGTATTATTATCTTCTCTTCTAGGCGACTGCCGTTCATTTACCTTTAGTGCACCCTGCATGTTTAGAACTTTTTCTGTATCTAAATGAAAATGACAAATTGGAGGCTTTTTGGGGACCTGTCTTCAATGGTAAATCTAAAATCTATTGATCTTCTAGAAATTTGTTAACCCCATTTTATTCATCTCTATTTAGATACCTTATTTGGTCTCGATCATTCGAATAATGGTGCATATCACCGCTTGGGTTTCTCTCTCTTAACCTCCATTCTACCTCATCTAAATGAGTCCAATGTTAGTATTATTTTTTTGTAATTTGTAGAAAACCATATTGATTATTGTTCCCATTTCTCACCTCAGGCGAAATTAATATTTTCTAAACAAATGATGGACTTATGGATGCAGTGTCTCTCTAATCGCAGTAATCGTCTTCATGATGTCGCTATTAGTCTCGTAAGTCTATTGTGTTTTTTTTATATATTTCGATTCAATTAACCTTTTTTGTTTTGTATTTTCCAGAGCAAAGAGCTCGTTGAAAAATATGACGACTACAGTGCTTCACTCCAAGAAAGTATCATCACACTGTTGACAGAATCGTAAGTTTTGTGCAGCTAGCCATTTCATTTCGTATTTCAACCATTTATTATTCTTTATAGTCCAGGAACTGTGAACTTTGATGATATTACGCATTCAAACACTGTAAATCAGCTTTACGTTAAGGTTAGTAGTTAATAATTTGTTTTAATTTGGTATATAGTTTATATTATATGATTTTTTTATTTTTGTAGACTAAATCTGAAGCTGTGGAAGTCTTGGTATCTCGCACTATCGAAAAAATCAAGGATTATAAGGCTCTGTCCGCTAGGGATCGAATGAGAACTTTATACGTTGGGCAAGTAAGTATTTACTATGAAAACTTGAATTAGTTCTATTCACTAACATACTATCTTCTATTGAAGCTTCGGGATTTGCTGAAATCTTCCCATTTAAGTGAATCCACTGAAATAAAATTGAATGTATTAAAATTTTTCTTGGCGCATGGTTATTTTGACGTTTCGCATGTTAATTCATTGGTAAGTTTAAATTTTGTTAAATCCAAGAATTATTTTTATAACGATTGTCTTATTTCTTTACAGAAACTTTGCACTCCTGCTACAGAAGGTCTCATTGATAAAATCAGAATATTATTCTTCAAAATTATCAGTTCAACTTGTACTAGTAAACTTGAAATATTAGAAAGTATTGGTCTATATGTACTTCGATTACAAAAGGCAGAAGTACCTTTAAAGGATGAAAAGGTTTGTTTTTAATTCATTTATTGTCTTTAGATACTTTTTATTGTTTTTATTACGCGTTATGTATTCATTGACTTTTTATCTAACTTTGAACAGAGTTTATCGCTATGGAAAAAAGTCAAAAAGATGAAAAAACAGTTCTTAGCCGATAAAAATGAGGAAAAATACAGCAAACAACTTTCTATCTTCAAGCCTTTACTTTATGGAATCGCTATCAGCTCTTTTCAAGACAAAGCAGATTTAAATGCATTAAACAGCGACTTTGAGGTATGTAATGGTTCAAATTTTAGTCTCATGCCAATGTAATGCAATTATAAAATATATCAACTTATATTTTTATTTCATCACAGGAGCTGATTGAGTGTTACAAACGGTCATTAGGAGAAAATACCGAAGAGGGTGAACCAGAATGGCCCGATGTTTTACTTGACATGATGATTTCCCAATTTCCATCGCAATCAGTTTTCTTATCCTCGATAATGATTCGTGTTTTTCGATTGATTGTTTCCAATATAACTCTCGAAGGGGTTGAACAATTGAAAATAGCTTTACTTGCTGATAAGCTCGAAGATGATGATGATGAAGTTGGTGAAGGTGGCGAAGAAGAGGAAAATATCGAAAAACCCGGTGGAACATCGGATTCTGATGGAGATGAAGAAGAGGATATGGACGATGAAGAACCAGATGATGTAGATGACGAATTCAGAGCAAAAGTTACATTAGCCCTTGGACCTGCAGCAGAAATCGGTGATGTAAGTTTACTGTTCAACTCTTGAATGAAATTTTATGCTTATAATTTCTTGATATTTACAGGAATTTGGTGCCACAGTTGACGATGAAGAAATGTTTCAATTAGATGAAGCACTAGCTGAAGCATTCCGAAGTAAATATTCTAAAGATAAAAATATTCAAGCAACACTAAAAACACTACGAGCAAGGTTTGTTTTCATTTCATAATATTTATTTTATCAAAATCTTCGGCGACTAAACTATCTATTTTGTTCTAGGTGTTTGGAGCTTGTTGAAATTATTTTTAAATCCAAAGACGTGTCTTACGAAATCATTCTTCATCTCGTTCCTGTTCTCATCGATGCTATTAAGCTTTATAACGGACCAAAGGATTTAGAGTTACGGAATAAAGTTGCAAAAATTTTGACGCAATTACCAGTCGTAAAAAAATTAAAATCTCAACAAATAATTGACTCTAAAATTCTAGAAAGCATATTGAAAAAAGCTGTCGACTTGGCTTCTAAAATAGATATCCTCACTGTTCAAAAATGTGCTGCAAGAATTTATGTTTGGACAGTAAGTATTTAAGCGTTTTATTTTAAAACGAATTCGAATATTGATGATTTTTTTCGTTTTAGATGTCTATTGGCAAACTTATTGAAAAAGATATTGACTGTGGATTCGACAATCTTACGAAACTATTGGCTGATTTTTTCGTAAAAGCAAACAGTTGTGTCTCCAAGGAGTTCTTCTTGATAACTTTTCAAAATCAGCAAGTAAGACTTTTGTGTTACTAATTTCTAATCAAATATATTAATGATACATTATTACTCTTAATTATAAACTATAGGTCCATAATTCTAAATTGATGGAAACTATGTGTACGCATGTTTTCGGCAATCTAAGGCCATTCAAAAAAGTTGGGGGACTTTCTCTGCTCAGTGCATATCTAAAATGCTTCAAAAACGATATCATTCAAGATGCTAAAAGTAAAAGCTTATTGGCCACAATCAGAAAAGAATCTGCCACTGGGCTGATGAGTGCAGTTAATGCCAAAAAGAATCTATTAACAAATGAATATCTTATTCTGTTATATGTTCTCAGTAAAATAACTCCTTTAAATGTAAGAACTTTTCTATTCAACCAAAGAATATTTCTAATTTTTATTTTTTATTTTAAACAGTTAACGCCTGAAGAGGTTGAAAAAATTGGATCCATGAACAAAAGTATTAGAGGAAATTTAACAAAAGCTGGTAAATTGGCGCGAAATAGAATTTTGCCTTCAATGGATAAAAGTGATGATGAAATGAATCAAAGTGATGATGAAGAAAATCAAAGTGAAGTAGAAGATGATGAAGATGATGTTGCAAATGGTCAATGTAATATCGTAGAAAATCACAGTGAAACCGAAACGAAACAAAATGATACCGAAATTGTTAAGTGTATCAAAGAAGAAGAGCAAAAGGATAAAGAAAATAATCAAAATACCATTGATGAGAATGTAAATGATGTCGAAGAAAATCGAAGTGCTACTGAAAGTCAACAAAATGACTCAAAAATAAGCAAAACTGATATCGATGAGAATGTAAATGATGTCGAAAAGAGCCAAAGTGATAGTGAAGAAACTCAAACTCCTAGTAAAAAGCAAAAAAATAATAGTGCTAAAAGTCCTGCTATAAATCAACAAAATGATACCACAAAAAGTCCTGGTAAAAATCAACAAAATGCCAGTGAAAAAACTCCTGATGCAAAACAAAAAATTGATAGCACAAAAAGTCCTGCTTTAAATCAACAAAACGATAGCGTGAAAAGTCCTGGTAAAAAGCAAAAGAATGGCAGCGAAAAAAGTCCTGGTAAAACTCAACAAGATGATAGCGAAATAAGTCCTGTTAAAAAACAAAAAATTGCTGTCGAAAAAAGTCCTGCTGTAAATCAGCAAAATGATATGAAAAAGATTCAGAGTGATATTGATCAAAGTCAAAATGATATCAAAATGGACCGAAATGATTGCCAAGAAAATCAAACTCCTCCTAAAAGCCAACAAAAGGATACAAAAAAGCGTCGAAGTGATATTGTTGAGAGCCGAAGTGATATCTTGAGTAATCAAAATAACATTGAACCAAAAGAAACTGAGAAACCAGCATCAGAAGCTATGGATGTTGATCTTAAAGAGACAAAATCGGATAAATCTAGCAAAACCATGGAACTCAGTACACCAATGCGATTAACAAGAAGTAAGGCCAAAAGGGTAAAAGTTAAATCTGAAGAGGAACAATCCGAAGCTGACGATGAAATGCCAAGTTTCTCAGTTCCTCGTGTTGCGGTCGTTGATACTCCCTTAAGGCGATCATTGAGGAATCGAAAGACGTGACCAAAAATAATTACCATTTAAAAACTATTACTGAATTTATATGAATGTTTTTTTGCGCCTCGCTAGCTCTGAACTGTTTACCGTAAAATTGGTCTTGATGATGTTTTGAGTTGAATTATGTTAAACAGCGATAGAGTTAAATTAATGAAAAAATATGACTTCAAAGTAATTAAGATAAAATAAGCCTTAATAAAACCACTCTTGACACAAATCTGTCTTATCGTTAATTAAAAAATTGATAAAAGAATCATTGATATGTTCTGATTTAACAGTGTTATAATTAAATTGAATACCGTAATTCCCAAAAAAATTAACAAAAGTTAAACAATAACAGCATTCCAATTGTGCAAATAAAATGATTTACATTTATTTTTATCATTAATAAATTTGCGTTTATCATTTACTCTCTGTATCTATTTGTTCATAACTATTAGATGTTTTATAACTAATAGTATGAAATATTTTAAACAGATTCATCATACGATTTCCTATTAGTCTGCCAATCGACTTGGAGAGTGAATCGAGTTAAATACTTCCTGCTGGACATGATCAACAATCTGTAACAATGATGATTAACAGTTATCAGGTTAGTTTGGTGGCTCAAAGTAAGGGACAATTGCGTTAATTAGCATAAAGGGAACCAAAATATTATTACAGTTGGGTGAATCGTTGCATCTCGATGAGAAGAAACTTGAGGCTCAACATATTTTTTATACATGACAATTTAGGCATAATATTTTCTTTTTCACTCTTATTTTCATTTCCATTTTCATTTTCGTTTCAGTTTCAGTTTCAGTGGTCAATTTCATCATTTAGTTGATTCCAGGATTTTTAACTCATTTGGAGACTCAAAATCGACTAATAAGCCAAAGAGAACTCAAAAAAGTAACATTTTCTACATTTTTGTGAACCAAAGTGAACCAATTCCTCTGATTTTGTGTTAAATTATCTTTTTTCATCATGAAGAGACCGTTTTCATTGATTTTTACAGCTTTATTAATGCTAACAATCATATCAATCATTTGTGTATCAAGAGTCAAAGGAGGACGCAGAAGGAAAATTGAACTTGCCAAGAAAATCGGTGCAGCTATGTTTATTGTTGCCAAGAATAAAAAATTTATGCTTCCATTGCCATTCCCAATACCCTTACCAATTCCGTGAGTACTATTAATCTATCTAAAGGATTATTTGTTCTGCTATTGAATTAGAACTGTTTATCGATAGCTGATATTGCACTTCGATAATTTATTTAAGCTTTCAATCTATAAGTTAAAAACTGTAAATATTTTATCTTTGTATCATTCTTTAGCATTTTCAAAAGCTATCAGCCTGTAATTCATGACCCATTGTTTTTTAAGCATCAAATGATAAAACAACACATTGGCGGACACCTCGGAGGACATCTTGGAGGATTCGGTGGAATTCATGGATAAGCTAGAGATTTCAGACTTTTTAACAGTGACTTCTCAACATCGGATTTAATCATAATTGTATTTCAATTGTATAAGATCAGTGTGATTTAATCAGCTCAAAAGATGTATCAATAAACAAACTACAAAACAAGTTGAACAGCTAAAGATTTTATTCACGTGAAAGGCTCAACCATTGATTTCACATGAAATCTTGTATCAACAAGTTTTATCATTGATTTAAACATTGTCCAGAATAATCTTTTGAATTGATTTGGTCAACTTGAGTGTGTATTTTTTGCTTTATCAGCTGTTCTCCAAAAAAACAATGTTTGATTAATTTGAGAATACAATACTCAGAAAATATAATTTATGCTTTAAATATTCCTGTTGGCATAGAGTTTGAGTTGAATTTATTTGTGATCCATTCAAGTTTTTGTTTACAAACAGTCTCGATATAAAAAAATTCCTTTATTGTACATTTTTAATCATAATAGTGATAAGAGCTTCAATTAGTAAGTCAATAGATTCTATGAAATGAGAAGATTGTTATGCTAAGCAATCGACGAACAAAATGTTTGAAAACTAACTTTTTTAGAGTTTGATTGAAGTCAACAAAAAAATCTTGCTTGGTTGGTTGCTTTGTAAAATATTAGGAATAGGATAATTAAAAGGGAAAAGATGTTGGTCTGTCCAGAATAGACATTAAAATCTTTGGAAATTATATTAAATGCTGATAAAATTCTAGTTTTGATGAAAATCTTTCAACTGGATCTATTATTTGAACCTGAAACACCTAAAGGACACTTTGAGTTAGGCTGTCTGTACGTACTAAGCGTACGATGTTTCTTAAACCGAAAAATAAATAGAGTAAATAACAAAGGGAATGATTACATAAATTGTAATGTCTTTATTGATTATGAATTTTTTCACTCGATTTTATACATTTGATGAAAGGCACTAAAACTTAAAACCTATTACATTTAAAATGAGGCTCTCAATTGATGGATTCGAAGATTCAAAACTTAGTAATTTAGTTCTGAATTTATAAGTGTGATAAATAGTCAATACAGTTATTTAATTTGTAAAACAATTTTAGAAACATTCATCTACTTCTCTCAAATGAGACAGGGTGAGTAGAGTTTGCAATTATAAAATAACTTGATAAAATGAAGAGAAATAAATATCCATAAAATCAGGTAAGTCACACAACACTTAAAGTTCAGCTTGAATAGTTCGAGTTCGTCGCATTGAATTCCTTATGAATAATGGATGTCCAGATGTTTAAAAAGATGGTGTTTCGGAAGAAAAGTGTTTTAAACACATATCTAAATGGTGTAAAATATTCAATGTAAGGTTGAACCAGCGGAGTAAAATAGATGTGATTCAATTTTCTGGTTATCTAGTCGATAAAAACATTCCTGTGTCGGTGCCAATAACATTGACATTTTTCGTAAATTGGTTGACCATTTTTGTCCAGCTTTAGCGTTCGTGGAACCGACACCTCGCTTGGATTAGGATTGATTTTTTTAGTTTCTTCAATTCTAGCTTCTTCAGCATTTTGAGCTTCATTTTCATCAGGTTCATAATCTGTATCCTCGTCACTAGAAGAATCCAAAATTGCTAAGAATGAAGAACGATTAGGTAAAGGTTTAATGGTCCCGGTGACTTTATGAAAAGTACTTTGACTCAGGGAATCATCTGAAAGCATCAGCGCCCGTTCTTTCATCAGGACACTTCTAGGTTTGGGTTTAGGTCTTGCTCTGATTTTAGGCATTATCGCTATAGTTGTTTCAGCTGGTTGGTCATTCAAGGGTTTAATCACAGAATCATTTTCACCAGTTTTAAAATTTTCCAAAGGTTCACTATTTACAACAGATAAAGGCAATTCAATGTTAGAGTCAGTTATTAAAACAGGCACATCTCTATGAGTATAATCAATACAACTTGAAACGAGATACTTTTCTTCCTTTGGATTCATCAACCAAGAGATATTTGAAACTAAATTCCCCATCTTAACAACTAAAACAATTAATCATCTCATATTATTTAACGATTGCAGAAAATCATTAACTCATACAAAAAAACAAGCGTTTAAGATAAAGGATAACGATAATATGTTAAAACGAGCAAAGTTTTAAGTTTCTAACTGCTAATTGGTTAAAACAAAAAAACCAGAAATCTGGTATCAACATAATTAAGAAAAAATAAAATTTACTTACAGAATTGTCAGATCAAATCAGTATTAATCCAATTGAAAATGAAATACAATGCCCAGTTAGATTTTGTTTTAGCAATAGTTCAAAAAAACCAATAAATAAATCCGTCCAGTTTAACAGCAGTTGAGTAAATGTTTGTTGCAAGTGTGAGAAAAGAGAAGCCAGAAAATAGAGAGTGATAATAGATAATTAAACTGATATCGATATGATAGATAGCCCGCGAAATCTGTTAGCAAAGATAAAGAAACAGTTTGTCTTTCTGTTTCTATTCTTCTTTCTATTCTTCTCTGTCTGCATTTGCAATAGACAGACTTTTTTACGTAACTTTTTAAAAATGTAAAAAACGTTGAAACTTTCTGAATATGTAGCATTATTAACTTTAAATAGTGAAATGAAATCTACAGTAAAAACCCTTTTAATTACTGTAACTACATTTTTCGATTTTCAGTGTTCGTATGCAACTGTTTAAAAAAGTGAATGGTTCCATCGGTATTTGCAGGTCATCAAACTAAAGTATGGTTCTGCTAAACACTTGAAGTAAGTTTAAATTCCTTAAGACATTTTTTGCTCTTATTTTTTAAAATAAGTTAATTTATGGTGAAAAATTTGACTTTAGACAATCGACTTGTGAGATACCACACCTTTTAAATAATTTGAATAAGCCAATGATTAGTAATGAGGTTACATTCAAAGATCTGGTATAGATAACCGTTTTTTTATTGTCAACCTTGTGACTAACAAGTTATGAGACTCATGTTTCATTAAACAGCAGATGTCATTTTGTCGCTAAAGTCTCCCGGCTGAAAATGATTTTGAATACTAGATTTAGCAATAAAATTGAGATATTTATTGTATTATATTGTAATATATTGCTGTTACACGGGTTATGAATAAGTCACAATTTTTAATCAGACGTTATGATCACATTTAATTAAGTAATACATTTTTATTTACATCCAACGCTTCCAGATACGTAAATCCATTTGGACTGTGCAAAATTGAATCTTTAAAGCTTCTAAGCGCTACGAGAAGAAAAGCTACAATTTGAGTTATCTCTACAAATTATTACCTGAAATCTGGCTTTGGTTAACGAAAATCAATAGAAATAAGGGATAAGTCGATATGGCACTAATCGACAGTACTCTTCCCATTGCTTACCATACTTGAAGGTACATTTATCATGAATCCAATTCATCCGATGAACCAAATAAATAAACAAAAGACTAGGATAAAAATAGGAAATGGGATTCACAGTGCACGCTGGAATTGACCACAGGAGTGCGGTTGTCAATTCAAATGTATAATTAGGATGACGAACAAATGACCATAAACCAGAAATTAGCAAGACTGTTTCTTGAGGCTGTAAATCTTCATCTAGATACTTTACTTGGAGAACTTTGATCGAACCAGTTAACTTGAGATTTGACGTTCCATTTGTTGATCGAACAACTGTTTTCTGCAAATCAGCTAAACATAATAGACAAATGCTTATAATACCTGAAACAAGAATAACACAGGCGTGGTTGAAACCGAAATTTTTCATTGTAGGCCCATGTTTAACCAGATAGATTGCGCCGAGTGAACTAACAATTGGAATCCAGACCATTGCTTTGTAACATTGAATGAAGCCAAACTTGTTTTGTGCGATATCAACTGTTTCGATGAAATGCTTCTCCCAAATATAATGTTTGGCTATGTAAATCGTTTGAAGAGCAATTACTACCCAAAGGGAGCAATTAACTTGACCACTCTGATAACTGGTCAAGTAAAATTCATAACTAGCTTTACCTACTATCAAAAGAATCAGTTGCCAAAGAAAAAAACCAAAGCGGCTAATGAAGATTATTTTAACATCTACTGTGTTGTTGAAACCTAATCGTGGATAGAGTTCGATGCCGTGTAGAAAATCAACCAAAACATTATTAGAAGATCCAAATACTCCTGGCGATGGACGAAAGTAACCCTTAAGTAACAATATTATCGAAACAATCAATGAACCTAATGTTGAATAACCAGTGATGGTCACTAGTGACAGGTAAACATTAGACATGGGAAAATAGAGTATAATCGGTACCCAATAAGCCATTGAAAGAATGTAAAATTTGACTCCATTTAATTTGTAATGAGGCTGATAACCAGAGATGGCATAAGGTCCAGCAATGTGCTGACTAGGAAGCAAGGTCAATGAAGCAACTGACCAAATAAGAAGGCAAAACGCCCAACAAGGATACTGCCATTGATTCCAGCGAACTGATTTCCATGCATAGAAACATGTTGTAGCCCAGTTTTCAGTTGAAAGGATTGCGATCAAATCACTATTCCTATGAATAACGATATAAACAAAGGTAATGGTCAAGTTGATTATAAGAGTGGAGATGCAAAAAGGTATTAAAGTTGAATAAAGAAATGACCACAGCAATTTAAAAGGTTTATAATTTGTCTCTACATTTTCCAATTCGACGGTATTCATTTTAACTTGAATATTTTTTTAAATTTTTAATCAAGTAGGATAAAATATTAGAACGACTATTGAAAATATAAGAAATATAATTTTCATTTCCATGGATACAAAATCTAATTGATTCACCAAATATCACAATTGATACTTGTTAATGATATTTTGATGTTTTTCATTACATCAGTTTATGTAAATCCACTTTGGCTATTAAAATGATGTTGAAAAATATTGATCGTTAGATGAATTTACCTAACAAAAAGATATTCTAAGCTTAAAAAGATTTGTTTATTGAAAAATCGTTTAGCTTCTAATTGACAAGTTATCTTTTACTAATTATTTAGCTTACGATTATTTTCATTATCTTAATTAGTTGAAGAACTTAAAAGCTAATCACTTTATCTTTATGAATTAACTTGTTCGGATGTTAACCTTAGATGAAAGCTTCTTTGCTTGTAATCCATTGGAAGATTATATTTGAACAACGCGCTTTTCATAGCCTGTTTTGTCTTTTATTTGATTGGTTACCAAGGTTTGTTGATTTGAGCCTGAGATTGACCGTTCTGATTAACTCATAGTTATTTATTGTCATTATGCTGGTGAAAACGATACAAAGCTCATTTTAAACTATTTTAATTCTTAAGTCTCTCATTATCATCTTCATTCATCATTAATTTCATCATAACATATGTATAATTGTTAAGTCAAAACACAATAGAAAGTAAGTTGATAAACCTTTCCTTCCTTTATTCTATTCTTTTTATCATTGATTATGTCATGTATTTAATCTGTTTTTTATTTACCTATTCCATCTTACCTTAATCTCCCACATCTCTCCAATAATTACCAAAAAAGCTATTCAATTTAAAAAACATTTCACGTTCTCTATCCTTCATTCAATTTCATTGTTTCTCTTTTTTCTTCTTTTCCCCTTTTCTCTCCCTCTTTGTGTGTTCTGCGTAATTTCCCTGGTTTGCTCTTTGGTTTTGTTTATTAATCTGTGCTTAAGTGTTTGCTTCAATATCCATTAAACATAAGTATTACGCTGGTCCGAAATTTACGGATCCGCCATCGCCATCAAGTCTACCCAAACCACCCTCTCATTGGATCAGTCAATTTTCATCTACGGTAAAATCAGGTTTGGAGTCAAAACAACAAAAGACAAAACATTGAAAAAACAAGTTGCTTTTGAATCATACATTAAGAGATCTAATAACGACAGAGAGCTTTGTAAAATTAAATTTATCAGATGTATCGACATTGTATATAATTTTGATCTAATATGAAATGTTTTTTTTATATTTTATAACTACATTTGCATAACGATAACTCTACGAGTTATTCAATCTCGAACATATTTACAATACGAAACGTAATGGTTGAGAATGCAATGGAAATATTGAAAAAAATCACCAAAAAATATAAAATGGGTTGAATTAATCAATCTTGCTGCTATTTTTGTCGCTGGATTAGAGCAAATTGCTCTAATCCAGTGAAATTTTGATTTAACAAACTTTCCCGCAAAGTAAGCTGATTAATTTTTCCTGCTTTTTTGGACAGTGGATGGTGACAACAATAACGAGGAGCCTCAAATTTTAATTAAAAATATTCATCCTAAATTGAAAAATCAATGTACATCCATTTACTTAATGAATTGTCACCTGTCAGAACGAATCCGATAATAAAAGTTAATTTGAATAGAAAAATTTATGCAATCAATTAATTTCAATATTTATTGATACGAAGTATTGAAAAGAAAAATAATCAGCTAGTGTAAAATTTAAATCAGAGATGATCCTGTCTTTAAAGATCAGCCACTAAGCCCATTAGCCTTTAATCTACTTGATTCTATTCAACTCCGAGTGTGGACTTCAATTCTCCGATCTCTTTGAGTTCCTGCAAAATAAACAAGATAAAAGGTAAGCTAAAACTTCATTCATATTTATATTAATTATAAGAATATGAATCAACTCAATATCCTTGTAACTATTGTAAAACTGTTTACCTTAATAATATCGATACCGCCAATGAGATTGGAGTTCACGTAAACCTGAGGATATGTGGGCCAATTTTTATAAGCTTTAAGTCCTTGTCTGACTTCTTCATCTTCGAGGATATCGAAGGTTTCGTATTCAACTTTCATCTCTTCAAATATGCTTACGAGTTCTCGACTGAATTTGCATCTCGGACCATCTCGATTACCCTTCATAAATACCATTACAGGAGCTTTACCTATTAACTTATTTAATTTATCTTCAAGACTTCCTTCTTTTTCTAATTCAGCACCAGGTAAAGCAGGCGCGTTGACAGGGAAATTTTTGAAGACGGCTTCTTTAATCTTTCTAGTTAAGAGTGCAATATTTATACCTTCAATGCGTTCGTACTCTTTTTCTTTGGCTACAATAATACATGTTGGAACCGAAGTAACATTATATTTAATACTAACTTCTTTACACTTCTCAACATCAACCTGCAAACAAAGAGCAGAAATTTGTTATCAATAATCTTAATTTTTTATCAATTTTGAAGTCGTTTGACTTACTAGTAAAGCTTCGACAGGTCCAAATGCTGACTTATTGTTTAAAACTTCGTCGAGGACATCATTTATCTGGGAGCTCCGTTGTTCACCGAATGATGCAGTAAAGTGAATGATCAAAACATTTTCTCTTCAGAGTAAAAAATTGGTATTAAATTAGATTGAAAATGAATTTTAACAAATTAAAATAAAGATAGACTTACTTTGATTTTTCTAGATATTTATTGAGCTCAGAATCATTGTTCAAGGTTGCAATCGACATGATGACAATTTTATCAAATTATTGTAAATGTCTAACAGAAACACTTGAAGGAATATCAAATGTAAGAATGGAAGGTAAAGACTTTAGCTGGAAAAGTAATGATGGTTGATAAACTTTATGACTCTTTTTGTCACTCTGGGCGAAAAGGGTTAGATGCAACAGATAGCGAAATAACTAATAGAGAAAAACAAATTTAAACGATAGAAAGACAATTTGCAAATATTTAGTAATCTATAAAAATGATTGTAAACACAATTTATGTTTCCCAAATATCTCTGGAAACAAGTTAAATCGATATCAAACCTCGATTAATCGATCTCTTCTGCTTGTGTAAAATTGTGAAAAAATCATTTGTTTTATGGCTCCACTCCTAGTGCTCTTGCTCTTGGCTGTTTTTTCATCGACTGTTTATTGTGTTTACCGTTTTTTCAATGATGCTGATTTGTTTATATATAAGTTATTTGTGATATGGACTAAACATGCCATTTCATGTCAATCTTGACAAGTACGGAGAAATGTCCAAGCGTACATTTGTCAGTGGCTTCAGAGGATCGAGTGGTACCTATAATGTTAGAGAAAACGAGTTGATTCAAATTCGTGAAAGACAACAAAGCAATAACTCAAATGCTACCTCGCCATCAATTAAGTCAATTAAAACAACAAGATGCAAAGTAATCTTTCTTGATGATGTGCATCATGTGTTTACATTAGATGAAAATAGCAAAGGACAAGCTCTCTTGGATTTAGTTTTTGAACATTTGGAGCTCATCGAAAAAGATTATTTTGGTCTCCAATATGTCGACTCTTATCACCGATCTGCTGGTTTAAATACTTCGTTTTCTGTTAATGGACATCTTTCTCTCTCTCAAAATTCAACTTTGAGTATCAATAGTCCCTCAACGCCAATATCGACTCATTCTTCTAAGACATCATTTAATTCTGAACAAATGAAATGGCTTGATGCAAACAAATGTCTTAAAAAACAATTAATAGGAAACTCTTTGCATACTTTGTATTTTCGTGTAAAATTTTACGCATCGGATCCGAGTAAACTTCAAGAAGAATATACTAGATACCATTTTTTCCTTCAATTACGGAGAGATATACTCGATGGTAAATTTGTGGTCCCGCCCGCTTCAGCAGTCCTTTTAGCTAGCTACAGTGCTCAATCTGAACTCGGTGATTTCAACCCTGATGAACACAAACCAGGTTATTTATCAGAGCTTCGATTACTTCCAAATCAAACTCCAGAAATTGAAAAGAAAATTAGTGAGATTCATCAGCTCCATAAAGGCCAAACTCCTGCTGATGCTGAATACAATTTCCTTGATCATGCCAAAAAATTAGATATGTATGGTATCGAACTTCATTGGGCTAAGGACCAAAATGGATCTGATATTCAATTAGGTGTCACCTCGTCTGGCATAGTTGTTTTCCAGAATTGTATTAAAATGAATACTTTTTGTTGGGCCAAAATAATCAAGATCTCATTCAAACGAAAACGTTTTTTCATACAATTGCGACGAGAAGGGCTTGAAAAATTTGATAATATGATCGGCTTTGACTTAAACAATTATCGATGCTGTAAAACTTTATGGAAAAGTTGCGTTGAACATCATACCTTTTTTAGGCTTCAAAGCCCAAAGCCTCAAACTAAAAGGTTCTTTTTTTTCTTTCAATTAGGCTCTAAATTTCGTTATAGTGGTAAAACAGAGTATCAAACTTTAGAAGAGGGCAAAAAACGAGTTCGCCCGGAAAAAACGTTCCAACGGACAGCAAGTCGTCGTTATGCTAGACAAACTGTTCCTACCTTGTGTCCATCTGGTAGAAACACAGTGATCTCAAATTCAAATGTTTCATCAAGTTCATCACCTCGGCGTAACTCACTCTGGCCTTCAAATAAATTAGTCAATGGCATTGGAGGTGCCTCATCAACATCACCTGTCTCAGGTCATGGTTCTGTTCCTACAGTGGGCTCTGGATCACTTAGATGTGGCTCAGTTTCACCCAACACTAAATCATTGCCATGTTTCTCATCAGAAACCACTGCCTTTGTTACCCATCATCAACAACAAAGGATAACAGTTGATGGTGTTGACGGAAACATTGGTAAAACAATTGATTCAAATCGCTCCAATAGTCAAAAGAACCTGTCTCGACAAACTTTCACTGACGATACAAGGATCCGGGAAAGTGCTACATCAGATGGAAGTCCATCTAATTACCGTCCATCGCCGCTCTCTTTTCGCAATTTACCATTTATTGACAGTAACGGTCCCATCAGTTTTAGTAAAGAACCCTCATTAGAACGACAAACCGATGCACCTTCACCAACACCACCTGAATCATCTTCATCTCCCGTATTATCTTCACCTCAACCGGCAACATCACCAACATCCTCAACCGGCAAAGGAAACATCAAAAATCTCCGTCTAAGCTTGTATACCGATGAATCTCCTACTCAGGGACAACCTGCTCTCATAACTATTCGCATGAAACCTGATGAACAAGGAAGGGTTTGGCTTCAATGTTAAGGGGAGGTGCGGATCAAAATCTGCCAGTATTAGTGTCCCGTGTTGCTCCAAATACTCCTGCGGACTCAACTATACCCAAATTGAATGAAGGAGACCAGGTTATGTCAGTCAATGGTAAAGACGTTGAGGGTCTTACCCATAACCAGGTTATCAAATTGATCCGATCAACTAAGGACACTGATGGTGAATTGATTTTAACCATACGACCACTTGTCTTTTCAAGAGATATTACAAATGAGGATGGACAAGATGACGAGGAGCCACCGTTTCAATACATTCCCGTTGATGCTTCACCTGCATCCAGATCAAGAACAAAGTGTGATCGACTTTTAGAATCCATTATGTTACTTAGAGAAGGCCTAGAATCTGGAGCCATCATATTTCAATTTGAGCAACTCTATCGTAAAAAGCCAGGAGAGGGAATGACCATTGCCCGTTTACCTGACAATCTTTGCAAAAATCGCTACAGAGATATATCACCTTATGATTCAACTCGGGTTGTATTGAAAAACTGCATCTCCGGGGATTATGTGAATGCTAGTTTTGTCAATATGGAAATACCAGGATCTGGTATAGTCAATAAATATATTGCTACTCAAGGTCCACTTTCAAGTACTTGTGAGGAATTTTGGCAAATGGTTTGGGAACAAGGTTGTAGTCTAATTGTAATGGTTACACCTTTAATTGAACGGGGTAGATCTAAATGTCATAAGTACTGGCCTAATGTGGAAGAATCGGAAAAGTATGGAGATCATTTGAAAATTTTTAGTTCATACGAAAGTGGAAATTCATCTATGGTTGAAAGGCATTTAAAAATAACCAATCTAGAAACATCTGAAGTAAGGGATGTAGTGCATTTTCAGTATCTTGCGTGGCCTGACCATGGTGTACCTGATGATGCCACTGAATTTCTAAATCTTATTGGTCAAGTTAGAAAACATAGATCTTCTTTCACTGATCCTATTATAGTCCATTGCAGTGCTGGTATTGGTCGAACTGGAGTACTCATTTTAATGGAAACAGCAATGTGCTTTATAGAAGCTAATCAACCAATTTATCCTCTGGAAATTTTAAAGGCCATGAGAGATCAAAGAGCTATGCTTATTCAAACTTCGAATCAATTTCGCTTTGTTTTAGAGGCGATAGTTGAAGTATACAAAGAAGAAATTGTAAAACCTTTGGTCCCGATTGACACTGAAAAGCAATAAATTAACTTGTATACAGGCATGATTATACCCATTTCTGTAACCAGACATTAATTGATTCGATGCTCAAAATCAAAGGACTGCAAAATACTTTGAAGTTCATCCACCCACCAGCCCATATTCAGTAATGGACAAATAATTGTGATAAAATGTGAACAATCATTTTTGAACACTGCGAATACCTAGCATTTGTTTTATTCGTCAAAAGCACAGTTTATAACTTAACCATTCATCATAAAATGACCAAAAGTTCCAATTTATAATTACTCAATGAATTGCTATTTAATTTATAAAATGTATAACTCCACCACATATGAAAGACTGGATTGACTATAATTGTGTAAACAGATATCGTTTAACTTATAGTCAATTCCAGTTTTGTTAATAAGTTGTATATTGTAAGTCTGAATTATATCTACCCATCATTAGAAACAGACAAAATTATCTTTAGAAATAATTACAATATTTATGTTTATATTTTTTGACTTTTTGTTTAATTAATAATAAATTAACTTGTATACATGCATGATTATACCCATTTCTGTAACCTTAAATTAATTAATTCGATTATCAAAATCAAAGAACTGCAAAATACTTTGGTGATGAAATCTGGATCAAACTCAATCTTCTCATAGACACAAGAAGATCCATTTGCAAGCAATTTATATGTTTTTTGATTGAGTCTGTATCATTGGAATAAAAAATTTTCCATTGGCCATCTACAAAGAGGACTTCATTAAATCCATTCAGAACATGAAAAAGTCAAAGAAAACGAGACTTGGTCAAACAAGGTTCATCCACCCACCAACCCATATTCTGTAATGGACAAATAATTGTAATAAAATGTGAATAATCATTTTTGAACACTGCGAATACCTAGCATTTGTTTTATTTATCAAAAGCACAGTTTATAACTTGAATATAAGTCTGAATAATATCTACCCATCATTAGAAACAGACAAAATTATTTTTAGAAAATAATCACAATATTTATATTTTTTGACTTTTTATTTAATATTTGACGACATTCCTGATGATGACAAGCATCACATGTCTGATTTTTAAGTTGATTTACAGTTAAGATTTCGAAAAAATTGAAAAGTTTGTCATTAACTATTTACACAAATATCAAGCTTTAGATTAAGGGGAGACCGGAAAATAGAAATAAAGCGAACAAAAGTTGATAGGTAAGGAGACAATAGTGGATGGAGGATTAAAGATGATGTGAATCCGAAATATAATCAGAATTTTCATTGAACAAAAGCTGCAGCTGGTATAGCTCCTTGCTTATTTAACTGCTCGAATACTTCGAATGATTTTTGTAAATCATATGCATTCTCTTCTAGACATTGAGTTGAAAATTGTAGATTCATATTTGTCAATGAACAAAATTGTTGTACCATAGAGTCTTTAGCAGCTTGGTCCAATAAAATAGGCTGAGTTTGAACTGGTTGGGGTTGCATTTGTGCCATCTGAGGTTGAATTTGTTGGTTTAAATTAAATCCTTGATCAAGTCCAAGATTAAGACTTTCCAAACAATCAGCACCAAATCTATCCTCTTTGATGCAAGTTATAATTGAATCATTTTCTAGAGAGCGACTGAATTTTTGGACCTGTTCCACGGTCGCGTTGGTTATGACCAAAATGTCATTTATTATAACAAAGCCTTGGCCTTGAGGGACAATAATAAATGTCCTGCCGAAGGCTCTCGTGTGTACTTGTTTCTTAGTGAATTCCTTGAAAACTCCATTCACGACCACAACGAAGAAATTTTGTTGGAAATAAAATGGTACGTCAATTTTCATTAATGAGGGGGCATGCTTTGTCCTTGGCATCGACATAAGTGCTTCAACAATTGCAGAGCCACCAACATGGAGTAGCTCAGTTTTGGCTTCACCTTCTTCTCGAATTCTGAGCAAGTTACGACTTCCAGCAATCATTGATTGGGTAAATGTGTTAATTCTAATGTAGAAAAGAAAATTGGAGGTTAGTTTTACATTTTGGCTGCAACAAAAAAATAATCAAAGAATATGTGAACTTACTTATTATCAGTTCGCCCTATGCTATAAGAAAAGACAGCCTGGTCATGATAAGCAGCGAGCATAGGTCTACGGTCATCTGAGTCGTAAATTTTGAAATATTGATCTAAGAATTCAGCGACAAAATTCTTGATCTCATTGGGTATGTGATGACCCTGGAAGTTGACAAAAAAATTAGTAAAAAAAGATTAATATACAGAAAGAAGACATAAATTGTGAGCCGAAAACTAACAGAAAAACTTCAAATCAAACTTACGTAAGAAGGTGGTATGTCATCAGAGTCACCAACATCAAAGCCAATTGCTGGTGGTAAGTCAGTTCCATCCTGTAATGAATAGGAAGAATTTAAGGTTAATAATATGAAAGTTACGAAAGGTGACGAAAGTTGTCAAGTAACTTACCAATTTAGCGAGTTTCGGGAAACGAGTTCGTAAAGAACTGAAAATTTAATAAAGACGAAAGAAAGTATATCTTGGTTAAGTTGCTCCAAAAATGGGTCCAGAAATTAGGTTGAGGCCGAAATTGAAAGCAATGAGAGAAAATACAAATTGTCAGAATTAGTCTCTAGAGCACGTCACTGGTTTAAATTCCAGCTTTTATGCTAAGAGAAAATTAGACTTGCAAAATATAACCCATTTCCTTTCTTACAAGCTTGACAAATACTTATCACCTTGCTGGTGATTTTGAGAAGAGACCCTAATTTAGTAATCAATGGGAAGGAGATCACATCGAGGAAAAGTGTATTTTTCAATATTGGTCATTGGTTCTTCAGAAGCTGACCGGGGCATTCACTCTTTCCTCATCTCCATTCCCGAATCGGACTTAACAAGTCCTTATCTATTTTAAACGATATTTCTTTTTAAGCCCCTTCATCGTTAGGCAAGAACTCAAAAGTTCATATAGCCTTTTTTTGGGTCAAAGTAGAACGGCCAATCAGACCTTCAGTAGCCAGCAAACGGTAAAGCTGTGTCAAGCAAATTTTCTCTCTCACACGTTCATTACCCATTCATATAATGCAAATGTAAAACTCTTGCTTGAAATTGAATTTGAATTTAAATTATGGACAAAAAAACGTTTTCTACAAACCTGACTAATGCACTTTTCTCCGATTCTGAAAATGCAGCAGCATTAGCAAACGGGTTTCCTTCGATAGCGATTTCAATTAAATCTAAACCTTTAATATTGTCCAATTCTGATATGGATCTTATCTGCAAGAAAGATATTTTAGATATGAGATTAGCTTATAATAATTAGAGTAGGACAAAAAAAATTACCTTATTTTTGGAGATGTCTAGAGCTTTCAAGTTTTTACAAATTGATTGAAGATGAGATAATGGTTGAAGAGAGGTCAATTTGTTATCAGCAACACTTAAACCAACAATTTCCGAATATTCTTTTCTTATCTTTTCCACAACCAAATTAAACACGGACGGGCGGCTGAGAGGAATGTAAAGATTTGCTTCCAGCAAGCTAGGCTCTTGTGAAAATGAGTTCAAATACAATGATCGCAGAGAATAATTGTATCGACCTTTTAAGGCATCAGATATTTTATCTTCGACCATTTTATTTATTGGTGGAACAGGAATTTGACTTGGTTGAACATTTATAGTTAATGCGTAGCCGTTGTTGTCATATATGCGTCTACTACAAGCACGAATCGCTTGCATTTGATCACCACCTTGCACAAAGAAAACAACAGTGTTACTTTCAGCGTGGAACTGAATAAAGAAAAAAAGAGAGAATGAATTAAAATCAATGAGAAAGACAAACTCATGTGTACACGAAGGTAGATCAAAGTTAAGCTTGAATGAGTAATACATACATTTAGTGCCATAAGAGGTAGACTCATATTCTGTTGAAGAGAAGTCATTAAATGTTCTTTAGGACATTTGGCACCCCTAGGTATCTGGTTATGAAAAGGAAGAGTAAAAGCGAAGAAAAATTAGTGAATATAACTACATTGATTTCAATAGGTAGTTAAGTACACGTGATAAACACATACCACAATTTTGAACCAACTCTCATTATCATCTTGAGAATCATCTTTGTTGTTTCGTTGATATTTATACCGGTACTTTCTGTAAACGAGAAAAAAAATGTAAATTATTGATTGAAACGATAAAGGCATATAGAAAAATGAAATCTTACCTTTTTGGTAGCTGCTTAACACCATATCTGGGACCGACTTCTTTTTTGGACGGAGACCTATTATCATTATTAGTGTGTTCATACTATTATATGGAAAAAAAATCATTGATACAGATATTAATTGGAGAATAAAAAATCAAATTTAAACACAAATCAGTAAAGAAAAGGCAATCAAAGTAGATTCATCACAACTACTCACCGATGATTTTCTATTTTCAATGGTCTTCGGATAATTGCTTCGCCTATTGGTGAACCTAGCTTCTCTACGCCAATTATCCTGGAAACAAAAACGGAGAAGGAATGAAAATTTAGAATATTTGAATAAAATGATAAAATAAATTAAAACTCACCATCATGATACAACGAAGAAATCACTAAAATGTTTTTCCCAACAGATAAAAATTGCCTTATTTCGAGTGGATCATTGAGGAAAACAGATGCTGTTAAACAAAAAATAGGCTAAATTAAAATTTGTGAGCGCCATCTGTTAACAAAATGTATAAAAATCAATGTGAAAATCTTTATGAAATAATTTTGAAACTATTGAATTGGTAGCAATTATGATTAGGTGAACTTTATTGCTTTAAATAATTTTCGATAAAAAGTCAACAATCAGCCCAACAATAAGTAACTACCAACAAAAAGACAATCCTTTTCAATCTGCAATTTAGCATTAATAAGCTATATAAGTCTCTGTGAATACTGTTGATCAATAAGTTAATCAAGAGTAGATCAGAACTCAATTTTTTTGTTAAAAGCTGTTTTAAACAAAATTATGCATCAGTCATAGTCTTAGTCAGTGAAATTGAATTTCAATTTACAAAGCAATCAGAGTGTTAATTAGAGTGATAATGTGTCCTAATTCATAATTATGATTTTTTTTGCTAGCTTGGATGGTCCGTTATGATGAAGCGATGAGATTACTTATCCAAAAATATTGGACAAGAGACTTGAAATTTTATTTAAATTTGAGGCAAAAGGTTTGTCGAGATTGTAATTGAACCTTGGGAAACGTATTTTCCAGTTCGCAGAATACCAAAAGGACCAAGGACCATTATAAGCTCGGGAAAACCGATATTGTGAGTGTAATTTGTGAATAAAGATACCAAATCAATTAGGAAAACTCATTGAACAGAAAGAGCGAAACATTCATTTATTAATTCTTGCATTTTCAAAGCTCAAAGCCTAATTGACTAATTTAATTCGTAAGAAATTTCTTAAAAGATAATGAAAATGATATCAGAAATAAGATAACTTTCCAGGAATGATTCTTCAAGAATTTTCTATTGATATTTCTAAGAATACCTATTAATGAGATGTTGATAAATACGTAAATGTAAAAATGAAATGTATTGTAACCCCCTGAGATCGTATTCTTAAGTTTTAATTAAGTTCTCAAGTTGTTGTTTCAAAATATTATTAAATCATCACAAGTGTTCACCAGTGTTTTATTTCCCTTTCTGATCCATATCCTTGTCAACAGTCGCCTTATGAATTTATGAAATGCAAGTGAAGTCAACACAGAGTCCAATACAGAAATGATTTATCCTTAATCCAAGTATTTTCCGAACAATAATGGCTTTCGAAGCACATAATTAGCAGTATCGTTTCCATTACTTCTCAATATTTATTTACTAACCCAAAATGAATGGTAATTTGCAAGATAAAGCGCGATTCTCCAAAGGCTGCAGTTCCATTCCTTTGGACATTATTCAAAGATAACAACACAGAAATGGTGAAGAGGATACCATATCTTGGATGAGTGATTAATTCAATAAAGGACCATAATGTGAATATAGAGAGAAACACGAATCAAATGAAAAGATTAATTACAAACCAAGCATGTTTCATGGCAGGTTAACCGTTTAATGAACAAAATATGCTATTTTCACATATCTTACAGTGAGAATAGGCTTTGTTTATGTGACAATTAGCTTTAAGGAAAATGCGAATCCTTAAAGCTAAAGACTTAAAATCAGTGTTTTTGATACCCTGTGAACCTTGTTAATTTTATCGTGACTCAAGTTTAAACTATCTAATCTGAGGAAATTGTAACAATTCATTTTAATAATGATTGCTGGAGACCATGGAAAATTAATCTCACAATTCTGGGGATTTCTAAAGTCTCGAAGATAAGTAATTATTTATGATTCATAATTAGTAACCAGTTTAAATGTTCAGCTTCCGAACTGACTCTCTTCACCCGATATATTTTGATAATGGCGTGGATCATCTCATCTCGAACTGTCTTGAACTTGGAGACACAAATATGAAAATTTATTTCAGAGAAAATTATCCATCAATAAACAAAAAAGTTACCATGTGAAATCCTGATCAAACCCTGGAATGAGTTAGCTGAGATCATTGATTGAGTGTTAGATTATGCTGCAAAAAGTGAAATTTTATTGATAGTGATTTTTAGTGAAATTGACACACTATTTCTCATCAATTTTTAATCAATGACTGAACAAATCACAAAATATTCCTGATCCCTCAATGAGGTTGAAGCACTGGCTAGATGAAGCTACCAATTTAGCTGATAACAAAGCAACAATACAAATTACGAATAACCAATTAAGTGGAACCCGATGCCGAAAGGGAAGCAACATTTGGTTAAACAGTGAACCCTTTTAAAACCAAAGAACAAGTAAAAGATCCAGAAAAGGTAATGAGACCAATAGGGACAGAATGATTAACCATGGACAAGTTGACTGTTGTTTTGTTTCAACATGAACCCATCATGGATCCATCCCTGCGTCATCGTTTCCTCTCCATTTGGATTTCACAAGTTTGAATCTCATAAATAATGAACCAGGTAAATGCGAAAAAAACATGTCAACAAACAAAAGCAAATCAAGATCTACCAAAACAAGAGGAAGATGATGATGTCGATGAGGATCCTTTTTGGTTGTCACCTGAAGATGTCAAGCTTTTCCATACGTATGTGAATCTCTCATCTTGTGGGGTACCATTAAGACTGGACAGTTGACTATTCAACCAACTTGTATCACTGTCGCCATAACCTGATCCAGACGATCTGCTACTACTGGCTTTATCCATTCAATAGCGTTTGTTGAAAGAAAATGAAATAACAATTAGAACAGGAAACAACAATGGAAACAAATCAAATGAACTCGAAACTATGTGACAAGTTGAAATTAACTCGAGACAATATTAGATGATAATTAGTCGATCGGACAACCTCAACAATCGAGTTTAGGAAAAGCACATGCAACAGATGAACAGCAAGTTAATCTGATTTGTAACAACTTTTAAAATACAAATGTAACTTTTATACAGAAAACTTGTGTTTATAAGTTGGTTGTTAATTAGTTTGTAGTTGATAAAAAAAGGATGGACTTGAGCTGATTAGTTGATTTGGTTTTGATGGCGCAAAAGTTAATTCATTGATCATCAGGTTGTGTCTACATTGCTATTGGAAGCAAATCAAATAAACCGCATTCAAGTTAGTTGTTATTTCGAGGAGGAAGGCAATTGTGATTGCAACTACAACAAGTTGCTGATAATTTCATATAACTCAAGCAATGTGCAATCTACAGTTGAAGCTGACTCAACTCACTCAGTTTAACCAAATGATACTTGTTAATTGAATCAACTCATTCACAACTTCATTCACTTGGAACAATTAAAATTTAAAATTTTGGGAAAACCAAAAAATTTATAAAATTCTGAATCAAATCTTAAAATACCCAAAAAAAAATGGATCAAAATTATGCTAAAATCTAATCCATATCAAATGTTGAACCAGAGATACAAACGAGCGCAATATTAAGCTATGTGATGGTCAATCTTGAGCAACAAAGGAATGGTCAATGACATCTGTGAGAATTATAAAACTCAAAATAACAAAGAATTTAAAAGCCAATGCTGTTCAGCAATTTAATGTTTTTTGGTGTTTATCGATGGCAATCAATTGAAAGACAGATGATAGTTTGACGTCCGAGTATTGGCCAGTTTTGAATGTTCATGGGTCCAAGTTATATTTCACCAGTGATAACGCAATATCACTGAAAACACTTTCAACCTGTTCAACAATGAAAGCGTAATGAAATGATAATTACATGTAAATTGTTACATCAATTGTTAACAGCTCAGCCTGATAGGAAATAACGACGTTAAAGAGTAAAGGACTTTACTTAATCATCAAGCTTGCTCATTTCAAAGCAATATTGAAGATGCTACCAACTCATTCATTCACATTGTCTCGCCACTCTGATTGTACAATCATGTTGATTATTGAATCAGATTAAAATGTGCTTAAAATAGAAATTGAAAATTATAATAAAAGATGAAAAATTTAATGTTTTCAATGTAATCATAAACACCCAAAATAGTTTCCACTGCGGACAACATAACCAAACCGTCAAATTTGAATATTTCAATGATTTAAACTCAAATTCAAAGCTGGTCAACCATTTGTTATCTAAATTTCCATTGTCAATTTTAATTGTCACAATAAATATCAAGTTACTAAATTGTGTACTTTAATTGAACTTTTACCTCAACACAAGGCTTTGATAAAGATCAGACTAAGATTTACAATGAGAATGGCTAAATGTAATAAAGTGATAAACTGGCAATAATGATAATAACCTTAAATTGTGTCAAATTGATAACTTTAAACCTTGAATGAACCCAAAATAACCAAGACAATAACCAAGATAATAACCAAAATCATCTCAAAAAGTACCAAAATCAAATCCATAACCAACTTAATTTATCCTCATTTATTGATACGAAATTATAAGTTAATCACAGTGATCGTAAGCAAACAATGAGGCCTTGGAATAATCCAAATCAAACAATAACAAACATTTAATAAAACCCAAAAAAACCTAAAATGTTGAACCTAAAACCCATTTTTATCAAATCTTTCAACATTTGAAACGAAAAAATTATTTTTAATTAATTGATATTAATAGCTACTTAATAGCTACTAGTGTAATCACTTGTAAAGTAGCCAACTAATCAATTGATCAATCTTATTCATCTTACACAATTTGATTTCTATCTATTATCTAACATTTAATGTCGTCAAAGCTAATCTTTTAATTGTTAACATGGAAATCAATGAATCATTGGAATACAATTATGTAAGATGATTAAAAATAACTTGATTTAAATGATTATTAATTTCAGAGTTTTCAGAGTTAATTTGCACGAGTAAATCATCTGTGTACAGTAACCTGGATAGACAATGGTAAAGGCAGTGAAATGAAAATGAAAATGAAATAACAATAGCTATTGCAAGCAATGAAAAGTGAAGACAGAACATTGATTTAATGATTTAACAAATTTAGATTAGATTACAATCAGTTGAACCAGGAATCGCGAAGTTATGAGATAATTACTTCTCGATGTTATTACATGAATTAAAAACGATGCAATATAAATTGAAAATTACAGTGAATTAAAGGTGAATTCAAGTGAAGTGAGGTTAAAAAATATTTGACTTAATATTTCCGAGAATCTAATCAAAATGAATAAACAAAATTAAAGTTTTAATCTCATCTAATGGCTGGAAACTGAATTGAAATTAAAATGTAAATGAAGATGTAAACACCTTTGATTTCAATGATTTGAGTGGGGCAATTTAAATGATATATTAAACATAATATTCAGTGAGACTTGCCATTTCAATGGTTAACTGTTTTCATATGAAATACAATTTACAATGGAAAAGAGTTGATCCTTGAGAAAGTATAAGTTAACGGGTTAAGAGATTGAATTTAATTGTTGATCAAATATATAATAATCATTATTCCAAGCCATTTAATCTGTTAGCATAATAAAATCAGTTGACATTGAAAGTTGATGAAAAGTGTCAAAATAATGGGAAACAAACAGTAACCAGATATACACATAAATATATGAATACAAAGAGAGTGCAAAAAACGGTTGTTGGTTAACGATAAATCAAATCCACTCAAGATGATAATCACAATGAAACAATCATTTCCATCCTAATCCATGGTTAAGATGAGAGGAAATGAAATTAAAGACAAAATTTATTAAGATTTGAAAGGGTTTGTCCAGTAAAAAAAGCTAGAACCATTATTATGGTTATGATTAAGGGTTGAAGCCATTGACATTAAAAAATATCATTATTCCTAACCCAATGTAAACTTTGAGCAATGCTGCCTTCAACCCGTTCAAATGAAGGAACCTTTTTACCAGATCAACCCTTTTCCACTTTAATAATCATATCAGTGATTAACTATTATTCACGGACAATTATTGAGTTGAATATAAAGAAGTTAAATCAATAGCAAAGTTGACAAAAAAGTCAATCGGATTAGCTTAACTGGATGTTGGTTTGTTGGATTAAAGGTTCATTTGGGAAAGTGTCAAGGACGGTTAACTCAATCAACTTGATTAGAGATCTTGATTAGTGGCTTTTCATTGGAATTGTTCATTTTGATTGTTGGCTCCATCGGAAAATGGTTAACCAGAAAATTTGTCAAATTTTGGTTCACCATTTTTTAGTCTTTTGCTCTTCCATTTTGCTAATGGTTTACATAATATTTTCATGGTTTTATGATCATTATAACCATAAATCATAACCACAATTGTTGATTGAAAATCTTTATGCTTCTCTAGATACTCAATTAGTTGATTCAGATTGATTATTTAAGTGAAAATAATTGATCTATCGATACGCTTTAAAAGCTGTTCATCACCTCGGTTCTTGTAACCCAATCTTTGGGTTCAAGAAAATAGATTCATTTTTTGCTCTCTTATTCCTACTTCATCGACTGTTTTTTATATCATTGGTTATTAACAATTATAATAATAAATAAAAGGTGACCAATTGTCCGTAAAAGTGTCAATTGTTTGTCAACAATCAACTTTATTGATATAAATATACGTCCAAGTCTTTCAGTTTGGCTCAGCTTTTTGTGTCTGCGTTGGTTATTGTTGAAGCAAATAACATAACATAATATAGCCTCATCAATCATATTTTATTATCATTATCTATTTATGTTTTCATTTGCGTTCATATTTTGTTTGTTTGTTTGTTTGTATTGTGAAGTGTGAAATTGTGAATAATTTAATTCAAACAAATGTCAATTACCTTTCTTAAAATCAACAAAAGTCACAAGCATCCATAGAGTCTAGTAAAGTTGAGTTGAGATATTGTTTTTATTTTATATCATTCTTTTTGTTACCAAAATCATAAATGTTCATGTATACAGAAAATATATTTATATATAATAAATCAAATATAATACAATCAGTTAAGCACAAGGTTAAGAAGGGTTAATTGAATGAAATATATTTAAAAATTGAGTAGAAAATTAGAAAATTAAAAAAGGTAAAATAACTTATAACTATGATTAGATGGTTGTTGAGACAAGCTAGTTGGTAAGTTGAACATGGTTGGTTGTATCATTGTTGGTGCTAGATTTATGGCAAGATGATAATTTGTGGCAACCACAGCCACAAGACGATGATGATATCAATTGATTTGATGTAACATTCATTGAAGAATCATTAAATTCCGGATTAATTAATGTTTCAACATGAGTCTCCATTTGATCCGTTATAATTGTACTTGTTGGTGGTGACACTGACGCTTCAAGTGGTGAAGATGGTGAGGATGAAATGGCGGCCAATTTAACCTTTAATTTTCTCATGTTTACATTGTCATTGATTTGGTTAGTTGATGTTGGATTAACTGTTGATGAATTGTGCTGAAATGGAATGTAATGGCTTGAATAAATTTCATTCGGAGTAAATTTAGATTCCTTCTTGTGTTTAACTCGACGATTTTGGAACCAAATTTTCACTTGTTTTTCACTTAAACCTAAATAATGGGCAATCTCAATTCGCCGTAATCGGGATAAATACATACTCCGAGTGAATTCACGTTCAAGATGGACAATTTGGGTTGATGTAAAGGCAGTTCGTAATCTTGTTGATCCTTTGGAGTCATCTGTAGATGAGGTGGAAGACGATGAAGATGAAGATGACGATGAAAGAGATGAACAAATTGTCTTCTCTGGAACCTTTCCAGTTTCAGTTGATATTGTTTTTACTGGTGTTACTGTTGGTGTCGGTGTTGATGGTGTTCCTATTTTACAGTAATAGGCACTTTTAGTTGAGCCTGATAAATTCAACAAGGAATCCACAAAAAATGACTTTGAACCAGTTTTGTTCATAATTTGACAATTATCAGTCCATTCACTTCTCATAATTCATTGACTTCACACTGACAAGCTACAAATCTAAATCGGTCTTGGATGTACTTACTCCTGATTTACATAATGGTTTGGATTCAAAGGCAAACTACAGTCTGTGTGATAAAAATTGTGAATCTCGTCCTTTTTTGAGGTCTAAAAGGCCACACGAACTTATAGGCTGGTTAAAATTTAGGAGCCAATGAGATAACCTTTAACCTAAATGGAGGACGGACTTGGGTTAATAAACATATCAAAAGAGTCTAATAACGGACTTTTGCTCTTGTCAACTCTAATCCAATACACTTAATATTAATATGTAATTTTATTCTTTGTTTTCCTTATTGAAATCATTTGAAAGAGATGATTTAAATTATGATTACTATTCTTGGTTGGAAGAGATCTATTCAAATTTTGAATTTGTCATGTTCCTTGAGATATTTTAAAGCTTTCATCAGTTTGCAATGAAATTAAAGTTAATTTACCATTGATAACTTGTTTTAATTTTAGGTCTTTTTATATCAATTACATGAAATATATTTTAATTGTTAATTCAAGTGCTATTATCACTAATTTTATGTTAAAATAACATGGCAAGCTAATCTCACTGCTTGGCAATAAAGGAGGGAAGACTCTCTTGAAGTCAAAAGCATGGTTCATTGTTGTAAGTTTATTGTTTATTGGTTTTAATTTTATTCTAGTTGATTGAATTAAATTTATTTACTGTTTAACAAATTTTCTAACTCCTTATTTTTTTATTTTTATACAATTTTAGGAGTTTTGTTCTGGTTAAAGTTGGTGTTTTTATGATATATGTCTACGGGTTCATCAAGACGCTCAAAAACACAATTGATGGACCAGATTGCGTAAAATGGTTGACTGCAAGTGAATCAAACGGATTAAATTATCAACATGGAAAGTATTAGTGATCAAAGGACAAAATGACAACGTAAATTGTTGCCCTGATGACAAAAAAAAACAAAAGGCGAAAGATGACATATATCAAGGGTTATTAAAGTGGTTCCTGGTGAAACATATCTCAAGATTTGGCGATGAAGACAACTAGGAGTTAAGTTCAATATGAAGACGATTTAGGAGATGAAAAGAAGTTCTCTCATCATTGATTGAAGTCCATAAAAGCGTAAAGGAAGACGTTGATGTCTTTAAGTAATGTTAAGAAGCAGACAACAACAAGCGAGCAAGCAAGCAAGCAAGCAAAAAGGTCCCAAAACAATTTAACTGATTGTTGATAACAATAAGAAAAAGTAAAGTAAGGTTATGGTTTTCACCCTTCAAATAGCCTTAAGCAAATAAATGTACAAAGAGATGAATGAAAAGGAAGAAGAAGAAGATGAAAGAGGGTGGTTCATCATCATTATCGACATCATCTTTATCATCATAAGTATAAATAGATTTTTCAATATAAAAAAAAGTATAATCACTTTTCTTCTTCACCTTCCTTTTCATTCTCTTTTTTTTAAGGCTGGTGACAACCATTACTTAACTATGTGAGTGTTGGCTGTGTCTGTATATGGACTGCATGTTGAGCAAATTGTCACATCAACAAGTGATGTTGGTGATGATCAGTTAATAATCATCATAAACAACATCACCATCGTCGTCATCATCATCATCTATCCTCCTAATCAATTGTCATAAAACTGAATTGATCGACAACTGAATAGAAGGCCAATTTGATTGCAACTTGTTTGAAAATAAAAACCTTATCTGGTGAAAATTACATGTTAACACAATATACATTTATTATTGAATAGATTGAAAAGGTTGAAAGGGTCAGAGGTTGGTAAACGATTTTTACCGGGCAAACCTTTTTCTTCCCTTTAATCATAGGTTGTGTAAAATTTATAATGTTGATAATTTATTGAATGGCAATGAAAATTTTATTGATTTCTTTACATCTGTTTAACATCATTATGTTATGGAAAATAAATGATTGTTATGAATAGATGAGGAAGAGGAAAAGAGTGAGAAACTGGGCGATATGAATGATTGCTGGCTAAATATTATCAATCTTAGGCTAATTTCAAGTGATTTAACCTCTAATTGGGTATGATTTAAACGTAAATACAGTTAATAACAATCTGTTGATGTGACAATAAGCCTTCTTGATCAAATTACAATCATTTCTTGCTTCAACTTTACTAATGGCTTTCTCATTGTTGTTTCAGATTTTGGACCCTTTTCAATTATCATCATCATCAAGGGACTCCATAAATTGTGATTCAAGTAGATGACTTAATAAAAGTTGGTCTGATTGCTGGAAAAAATCATTCTGATTAAAGTCATTTTAATATAAGATGAAAACCAAAAATTTAGATCCATTCTAAGCTTAAAAACTGGACAATTGTTAAAACCTTTTTTAATACATCTTTTCACAACCTAACAATGGACACCATTTTAACCCTGAATTTAACAAACACATTAACTTGATTGTTATAGTTAGTGTTGATTGATTACCACTTGACTTTACACATTTCAAATGTTTAACAAAACCTTTAAGGTAAATCAATTTTAAAGTGTTTTCAAGTAACACCGAGAAAAATAACTAACCAAATCAAGTACAATATAAAATTTTCATCTTTACCCGAATCAAGTCTAGTTTGCAAACCATGAGTTGTATAACATTTGTAAATGAACCGGTAACCCGATGAAAATGTTTAATTGTAATCCCAAAATGGTTTGAAAAAAAAGATGCAATTGTAATAGTGAAATGTGAAATGCGATGTCAATGTTTTCCGGTTAATAATCTTTCTGATTATTTTATATTGTAAAGCAAAAATATCTTACAATTGATAAGCTCAACTATTGATATTATTATTATATATAATAACACTGAGCCATTTTGAAATTGGAAACTCATTGAAGTGAAAAAACTGAGAGAATCAAAAAAAAAGAGAAGCTGAATGAATGAATGATTGAATACAATGAAGACAAAATAAATACATAAATGGATATGCAATATTATATTAACCTTAAGGGTATTAGGATCATGTTAATGTTTATTCATATAAATATTATGATATTATTATTTACGATAAACATTTCAGGCCAAATGTAATGACACTAAATATAGAGAGTAAATCACAACAACAATACACATTTCATAGCAAAAAGAAGCGATCATCAATCTTAAATCATTTCTTACTTATTTACGGTCATTTTTATCGTTAATTTCATTAATTTAGCTTCTAATAATCTTATTTTTAATGTAAATCTGACCAAATTGAAAGTCAATGAAAATTGTCAAAATATTGAGATTGTTGTAATGATTGTTATTGAGTTGTCTGAGCTTTAGTTTTGGCTATTGAAAGATGTTGAGACAAAATGTTGTCCGTAATGTTAATTGTATTGTTACCATTGACATTATATCCAGTTGATTAGTGAAGTTAAATAGATTGAATGATGATAATTTGGATTAGGTTTAAATACATTATTTGGTTGCTCTGCTTTTTTGTGTATTCAAGTCTCCAATATTAGTTACATTGGCAATCAAAAATGGCAATATTTTTTGCTCCTTTGCTTTGCTTTCCAAAAGATTGGATTACAACAAAACAATGAGTAAATTATGGAAAGGATTAGCTGATTGATTTAATTTAATAGGGAAAAGGAAAGCTTGTGACAATCAAGAGACGATTTAACAATATTAACCTTAATTTCACCGTTTTTCAATTTCTTTGTTCCCAAATTGAAAGGTTCCCAAGGTATTAGACATTGTTATTAATGTTAATAAAAAGATCAACTTTAAGATGATGATAAAAATGGAGACGATCCTGATTGAAATGAAGTATTATTATGATGTTGAACAGGATTCAACCTTTTATAACTTTACAGTTGACACAAAAGTATCAATGTTCAGTAATTGTAATCAATATGAATGAGAAATAGATTGGACAAAAGATGAAATTATTATCATTTTTTTGTTATTGATTATTGTTATCAATTATTGATATTCAAAAGGATACTTTATCATGATGAAAATGTTCATTTTGTTCAACCTTTTCAACCTTTTTAAAAGCTTAAACAAGTTAAACCATTGACAATGTCAAGCTTAACTTACCTTTTCAAACATTGTATTACATTACGGTTTGTTTAACAGATTGACTGGTCATTTGGTTGTCCAGTAATGGCCATTCAACTGACAAATCATTGCCTTTTCAAGTCAAATCAAAATTCTAACAATTATAATTAGAAAATAGTAAAACAATGATTTGAAAAGAAACCCAAAATCTGTAAAATTATCTTCCAATGTAAAAAAACCAGAAAAAGTTGAACATTGAATTTCAAGCTTTTACCGATAAATCAGAATCAATTTTTACCCTTAAATTGTAGTTGCAGTCAATTATTAATATTAATGTCAAAATGATTTGATGTCTCTTGATTATAACTCAATTTATTCATAAACTGAATTAAGGTTAGTAGGAAAAGAATGGAAAGATTTTTTTTTGTATTCTTCTTCGCTTCTCTCCGTACAATTTGCTAATTGTTTGAAGTGATAATTTAAGATTGTGATTGATTAGCAAACAGTAAAAGTTGACATTTTGATTTGCTCAAACATTTACAAAGGTAAAAATGATTATGACAATAACAATGTAACAAGACTTCAGTTATTGATCATCATCTTTGTTGGACCCATTATTTAAATAACAAGGCAACTGTATAAACGGTCAACATCATGAAATGGACATTCAATAACTGACCTTATTGATTGGCCTTTTTTCTCTCCTTTATTATTAACTTCCGTTTGAATATTTTGCTTCATATTTTTGCGTCAATTTAAACATTTTTATTCATCTAATGATAATTATAATAATAACGATAATAATCTGTCGATATTAATATTGATGGCAATCTATTTTGATTCATTTTCACCCAAAATCACATTGTCTTCCCATTTTGATGCCTTTTACTTGCCTTTTTGTATTATTTTCAATTACAATCAATTATTTGCTAATCTCATCATTATTATTCCGTTTCATTGTTAGTCATAATTTCATAATCAACATTTTTCATCCATTCAAATATTTATTAATAAATATCAAGTCTGTTTTAAGCGTAAATTGCAAGATGTTTACACCTTTTGGTTCGAATTATTTCATTCGTTATCAACTTTGAATATTATCAGCTAACAATCTAGGAATGAAAACAGCTTCAAATTTTTCAATGATAGGTCGGTAAAATAATGGGTTTCAGCTATACTAGTGGTCAGGACTGGATGGCAAGCCCGAAGATTTTTTTCACAGTCGTGAATGAAAGTACCAATGAGATCGAACTTCATTTTGTTCAGCTTTCTTTGCATTGCTTTTTTCTTATCTCTACAATATGCTCGAGATGGTGACACCTAAAAATTAACTTAAGTCTGGCCCTTTTTTACAGTTCGATTTTTTATAAACTTGAATTGGCAAAACTTTAAGATAAAAAAGTTTTAACTTTAGTGGATCGCTATTGGTTAATCTTTAACAGCTTACTACGACAGAAATATTGTGAGATGGATGTGTTAGTATACGTAAAGCAAAGTAAACTGGAGGTTCTCGTTTACCCTTGTCCATTCGAAGGTTCAAGAAAAGATAGACCGCAAATAAACCATAAAGTGATAAATTCATTCGTTTTTAAATGTGGTTGAATGATTGCGAGTTAGCCCATTCAATCTTTTAGCTAATTGTCATTGTGAGTTCATTTTATAATTTTTTTGAGTTGGTTCAGTATGAATTTCAAAGGGTCAAAACCGAAGGGTCAAAAAGGTATTCATCATTGAAGGGCGTCCATTCTTCCCTGTTCGAGAATTTTTTGTCCACAGTAATAGAGGATGCAATCGAACACTGAAAGCTTCAAGAAAATTTGCTAATTTGAATTGAAAGAGGTAATATGGGATCGGCTTATATCCACCACTTTTTCAATCTTTTTGCCGCATTGTCCATCACTCGATTCCACCACATCCCTCGTATCACCCAAACATCATAATTTTTTGAATAGTTCACAACAAAATAGTTCACCACATTTTCAATCAACTTTTTCATAAGATTTTCCAACTTTTATATTTATTTTTGTTGAAGAGAAAGAAATAGCTCGACTCGGGCTATTTTGCTTGAACCATTTAGTCCCTGTTCTTCTTCTAGAGGATTCTTGATAATTCTGTTGATTAGACCTGATCACACAAGATTTAATTCATTATCCTTATACAAAGCAGTTTCTCAATGATGACTGTAAATGAAAAACCTTTCATAATTTTTGTGAGAATAATGTTTACTTCATCATCTAACACCAGGGAAACTTGTTCAGAAACTATAACACTTTGTAACATAAGAAAGCAGATTCTCCGCCTAAAATGGTTTGACCAAAAACATCCAACCACAATTGTACAAAACGCAATCGAAGACCGAAGTCGACTTTAGTTTTGATGTCGCCATCTATTGGCTCATTTCCTAACGAATATAAATAATTTTCCCGTTTTTCTGTCTCAATTGTTTACATTTTTTAAAAATAATTTATCAGTAAAATTGATTATTTTTAAATAACAATTTTTAGTTTCCAATGGAATCGAGTTAAGTTTTATACATGATGTTCAACGAAATTCAATTCCAATGTAATTTAGTACTAGAAATGCTTTATGGATGGCGTTACTACATTGGCATAAAGCACGAAGAGCATAACTAAAGCTGTCGCTCTTTGATAGAGCATTTAAAAACTGTAAAGTAACCGAAAGCCATCAAAAGTAATTTTTTGATTGGGTAAAGTATTTATTTGAAGAAGCAAGAAAAAAAAGTATTTCCTTTGAAAACATGGCAAGTTGAATCAATTCGGTGATTGATCAGGTATTGTTTACTCAGCAGCAAACACAATGAATAGCCTTTTGACGGGACGAGTTTTAATATTGATATCGACCTTTCCAAAGTTCAACCAATAGGTATCCATATTGACTTATAAAGGGAAATGTTAAAATGAATGTAAGACAAGCGAAATTTGACTGCAATTAAATGAAATTGATTTCTTAACAAATCAAAGTCCCTCCTTATTAAGGGCTATTGAAAAATTGAGTCAATTATTGGCATTACTCATTTTATGAGTTAAGTTATGATAGGAGGAAGCAGTGTAAGAGGTAAACTTTGTTGAGAAAAGTTTCTCACGCTCTGCTTTTAGCTGCTTTTTTTCAAACAAGTTTCTAATTCAACATTTGCTCGCTTGGTGGCTTTTCTCGTTGGGGGAAGGGACCTTTGCAGTAACAGAAGGCAGTCGTTTTTCAACCGTCGCTCCGATCTTAACGTTTTTTTGCTTTGGCTTCTCCATCTCTTTGTGGCCATGTTTTTTAAAAAACGTCTAACAGTATTCATTTCTTTGTATTAATTTAATAATTATGTCATCAATTATAATTTAGTTTTAATTAATTTTTTTATCAACAACTTTAATTTGACTGTAGTTTGTCAACTTTTAATTATCAATTTATGAGTGGTTTGACCACTCGCCTTAAATAATTTATATTTCAGTGATTCTACTTTTATAATCTATTCTTCATTTTTGGCTGCAATAATGTATCATTCAAGTCACTCGACGTTTCATCATTTCTCCATTTCATTATCCACTCTACTTTTTTGTGGTTTATTTTTACCAACTTTGGTATTTTCACGACAATGTCCAAGAGGATTTAAAGGAAATCACTGTGAAATTAATATTGATGATTGTGAAGGTAATTTATGTCAAAATGGAGCTACATGTATCG